TATAGGTGGGGTCTACTCCTTGGTCGATCAAAGCTCTTAAAATGGCGTTGATTTTCACACTATCGAAAGCCTTTTCGTAGTCGACAAAGGTGAGGACTAGGTGTAGTTGGTATTCCCGACAGACCTCCACGACCCTTGTACGGCTTGGATGTGATCGATGCAGCTGAATCCTTAACGGAACCTGGTTTGTTCAGATGGTTGGCTTCATCCAACGTCGTCGAGATACGCGAATGATCTTTGTGAATAGCTTGTAAAGCACGCTTAACAAGCTGATCGGTCGGTAATTCCAGGTCTTCTCTCCCGCCTTTTTTTGTGTAGGAGAATCGTGCGGGATGTCTTCCATTGGCTGGGTATCCTTTCCTTCTCCAGGTAGTCCGTCATATGAGTTGCCAGTAGACTGTGCAGCTTGTGACCGCCGGCTCTCAATAAATTTGCAGTGATTCCATCGCAGGAGCTGTGCCTGGTTTCATGCACGTTATGGCTGCGCGTACTTCTGAAGGAAGGATCCTTGGCGGTTGTTCTCCAAAGGGAATGACATGATCCGGTTCTGGCGTCGTGGACAGAAAGAGTTCGTTGTAGAATTTTTCCGTTACCGCTTCCATTTCGCGCCGAGAGCTTACTAATCTTCCGTCCTTACTTAGTAGAGCTTGTATCGGTAGTTCGTGTTCGCGTAGATCTCTTCGACATTTTTTCAGACTTTTCCTGTTCTGTGCTGCTTCAAGTAACTTCATCTGTCGATATCGTTCCAGATCCTCTTGCACGGCTTTTCTGCAAATGTAGTTGAACAGCACTTGCTCCAGATGTGGCGTACTTGGATCTGCGTGCAGGCTTCTCTTTTTCTGTAAAAGTTTCTTGGTGTTGGTCGTCAATTGTCCACTACCTCTTTCCACGGTGAGAACTGCCTGCTCAGCGCAGCTGCGTAGTCCTTCAACTAGCTTTCCTAGATCTTCTGTTGGATCATCGCTTTCTTCCAGTTGTATCTGGCAATGGCGCATCGAGAATGTGTTTGTCGTACACGGCTTCTCTTCTGAGCTTCGAGCGATAAGAGGATTTTCTTTCCATTCTCTGATCGATACGGATCTTCGCTCGCAGTAATCGGTGGTCCGAGCCTGTGCAGGACGACGTAACACCGACATCGACCAAACTCCACTTCCTACTGACAAGTACATGGTCCATTTACGCATGTGTCGTGCCATTTGGTGACTCCCATGTCCAACGGCGATGCTCTTTCTTCTGGAAAAAGGAGTTTCCATGAAATGATCGAGCCGCTGCGATGAGTCCGACGAATCTGTCTCCATTCTCGTTTCGACTTCCCAAACCGAATTTCATTCTATCATCTTCCTGTCATACCCTAGATAGTCGGGCGGCGTTCTGGGGCTGTGTCGAAGCAGTCACCGCTTCTTAGTAACACTGACGGTTTTTGTCTCCTCGCGACTTGACTGGCATTGTCAGGTAGGTGGCAACGGACCCTAACATGACGACCTAAGGTGGCCTGCTTTAGTTGGGTTGACGCGTGAATCTGGACCTTCTTGCTACCCAGGGGTATCTCGCCACGTTGAGGCAGCATACCATGAGATGGAGAAAAACAGAGCACCTCTCAAACATAGCTAGATGATTTCTGCAACGGAGAATAAAACCGGCCTGAGCTTCATTTTCTAGTGTGCGGTTGCAGGGAGGGTGAAGAATGTACGAAATTCGGATGTCTTTGAGCAATTGCTCTCTTAGTGGCATCTTGTTTTTCGAAACATTGCAAAATATTTAATGTCAAAATGCCTCGACATTACTAAATTAGTATAACACTGATTAAAAGGTGGTCTCGATGATTGAATCGAGCTTGAATCGGACGGTTGGCATCACGGCGCGGCAGACGCCATCTCACTCAAAGCTCGCACGCAGTTTTTTGGTTTTCTTCGTGTTGCTATTTCTCATATTGCAGCAATGTTCTTTGTCAGATTTTACGTATCGTTGACGCTCATCGTTGTTCTATGCGGTTATGCCCGTTTCCTGTACAATTTTTCAGTAAACCCGGAAAAATGATGCAGTTGGAGATTTTGATGGAAGCTCGCTTTTTTTGACGTGTAACATAAGCACAAGTATGTCTGATAAGATGTGTCACACATTTCCAGTAGAATGTGTCCAGTAAACTTTTTTTTTAAACCAAAGCTTTTCAAGAAGCATAGGTAAGTTTTCGGATAATGCATCGACATAATCGCCCTGCAGAGCAATATAGTATGTGCAACATGTGCTTCTCTTACTGCCCATAAGGGAACGGCCATAGGTTGTCGGCAGCGGTTGCCGAGGTTGCTGGCGTTGCCAGTCGTTGTAGGACCTCATGATAGCCTCCACGTTTCGCGTGCTCTCTGAGCTGTCTCTGACCCCGGCAAGCCAGCAACCTCGGCAACGCCAGCAACCTATGGCCGTTCCCTAAGGCGCTTTCACTCAGTCGTTGTTTGTTGTACCATCCGAAGATCTCCTGCGTTTTTTCGGATTTACCTGGAAACGTGACAACGGTCATCAGTAACGAAATCGTTGAGGCTGACAAAAAACATTGCTGCAATACGAGATATAGCAAGGAAACGCTGAGAAAACGAAGACTGATTGCGAATTTGAGTGAGGGGCGGCGGTAGACTCTTCAACTAATCTATCAGTGAAGTCTGGTGCGAAGAAGAGCGTCTCGAAAGCCTGCAACAGGGCCCGGTATGAGTCCGTTTCTAGGCTTTTGAAAACGAAGTCCCTCTCCCCCTGACTTTCGCAAATTTACGAAGTCCCCTTTGACCCTTATAGGAAACGTCATAAAAATGCCTAGCCTAACTTGTGTTTTTCGGGACCTACAAAAACAATATCCCCTTTGCTTTTCTGCTCCGACGAAGTTCCAGCCTGCTTCCAAACGATCTGGACTGGTCCTGGCTTAAAATCCACTCCAGAAGTACTTTGGACACCCCCACACGGGGCTGATCAATGAGTCGGGTGCACCAGCACCTCCGCTCCCGTGTGACCGCCTCGACTAGACTCTGCACCTCTCCGAATATGCTATCTATTCATCGTCGCAAGTTTAAAGGCAGTAGCTCGGCAAAATCAAACATCTCGAAATTTTTACATGGAAGGTTGCTTGCACCCCAAATATGAGAACAGAGCAGTCCGAGCGCACTGCATGCTGCCCCTGCCCCAAGAAAATTGCCCCTAACCCAGTGCGCGCAAGCCATTCTTACACGCGCTCGAACGAGCTTGCGATATCCCTCACATCGTCAAAAGCGGCACGCCGCAGTGCTATAAACATGAGGGTCCCACAACACTCTACGTCTGTGACCTTGGCACGGAGCGTTGCACTCGTCCAAACTCAAAATGAAGGGTTTTGGAAAATGCTGGTTATCGCCATTTTCGCGCCTTTAAAACTGAATTTTCGGAATCAGCGCATCGAATTACCCCAGGTAAGCGAAAAAAACCACAGGTTGAGGATTTGCCAAGCTACTGCCGTTAATTAGCGATTGAACCTCTGCCTTTCCCATGCTCATGGTGGAAAAGTGATAAGAGAACATGTTTGCGAAGGAGGTGCAGAATCTAGGCGAGGAGGCCGCGCGAAAGCGGAAATGCTGGTGCATCCACTCTGCAAATGATAAGCCCTGTACACGTATTCCACAGCAAAGGCGGACATGGAAAAAATCGACAAAAGCCCATTTCGCCATTTTCAAGCGCTGCAAGCCCATATATCAGGGTCAAGCAAGGGGTGTGGCACACGATCGCTGGTTACGACCCCCCCCCCCCCCGAACTGTACACTTAATATAGTATTACTTGAAGGCCCTGTCAAACATAATGGGCAAAATATCCATAATTAGCATGTCAAATAACCCCTGTAGACAAAGTGTGAGCGAATTCTGAAGATTCAAGATACTAGGCTACCTATGTGAAATGGTCAAATTCCAACATGGTTAAAGGCAGTGTCCCGGCAGATTTTGCACCTCCACCTTTTTGCATGTTTTAGGCCTTTTCGCCACGTAGAATCCGAATTGGAGCTTTGAACGTGCTGAAAAGGCCGATTTTGGGGCGTTTTCCTAATTCCAGAAAAGCAGCTTGGACGAGATTTTTAATAGAAAGTTGGGGGAGGTCCTCAGACGAAGATCCTGCCGCCTGTAATTCTTGCTTTGGATAGCATGCATCATGGGGGAGAGCGCTGGTGGGTCCCGCGCCGAACAGGCGGGGAAGGCCGTTCAAGCGCGCGCCAGTTGGGGTTGCGCGCGCCGGTTCAAGGGCCATTTTCTCGGCCCAGGGGGAACATCACCCAGCCGGAGTGCGCCTGGAGGTCGATGGGGTGACCAGGAACCCCACCACACGTATATCCCCCAGGACCCGAATCTGCCGGGACACTGCCTTTAACTTTGTTTCAAAGGTGAATTAGCTATCCGTTTTTGCACTCAAGACAAAGCACTACTCCTTCTTTGTCTACATCAGAAATCCCGCTTCAAAAGACCCCCAAACTGTGGAATTAGAAGCCAACCAAAATCTCATTTTTCCCATTTTTCGCTTTTAATGGGTGTGCTTTCACCAAATATCACTCAGAGCTAAGAAGACGAATCAGGCTCCAAACAGTCCTGTGGAATCTACAAGGTTTAGGCTATCGATTCATATAAGTACTGTCCGCCTAGATCTCCTAGTTTTCACAGGAGCGATTTGAAGCGCGTGAGGAATTAGCTTCGACCGTGACGTCGGCCATTTGCGCGCGCAAAATGCCGACAGTGCTGGACAGCTACCTGTTCACGCGCAAATTTCACCGCATTTCATAAACTGTGTAAGCACACTATTTAAGCGGAAAATCTACTCGACTGTATTTCTGACGTTGTGACCCTGAGGTTCCCTCGTAGATTTTCCGGTTTCTCTTTGACATTATTGTGTGGAAAAATTTGGTCATCTGAAAGCGGTTCTGTATCGCAATCTTTTGAATAAGTATGCTTCTCCATGTTCTCTTTGATTGCGGATCTACTTTTCTGCGTTCCACAGTAGTAATGCACTTTTTCAGGGGTTTTGTGCTTGTAGTCGGTCGCCAAGTTTCCTATCGGGAAAGGGAGGTCCCAGTCAAAGATGCAGCTAGTAAGTTGAAGCATGTTGTCGATTTTTCAAAACATCGATTTTTTGAATTATTTGAAAGCTTCTCCAAACCGAATGAAATCACTTTGCGTTCAATGTTTCATGACAACTCAAAAACGAATGATTTGGTTTACCCAGATAGCCCTGTGAGCCGAAAAAGCATAAGGTCGCTATAGTTCGCGGCCCTCCATTGGGGTTCTTTCTCGATCTTTGCTTTGTAGATCTTATACATAAAGCTGAATGTCTGTCTTTATGTATGTCTGTCTGTCTGTCTGTCTGTATGTCTGTCTGTCTGTCTGTACGTATGTTCCGAATAGAAAATTCCATTTCTTAACCGATCCGGACCAAACTTGGCACACATACACTTTGGGCCCCGGCGGGTGTCATAGGCTACTTCGTATCGATCGATATCGATTTTATCGATTTTTTGCAAAATTTGAGCTACGGGGCTCAAATTTTGCAAAAAATCGATAAAATCGATAAAAGTAATGCAGTTTCGAAAACTAATATTGTATTCGTAATCAGCATGCTCGATTACACCCCTCTGCCAACTCCCAGCCCCGTAGCTCAAATTTTGCAAAAAATCGATAAAATCGACATCGATCGATAACGAAAAGTGGACTGTGACACCCGCCGGGGCCCGAAGGGTATGTGTGCCAAGTTTGGTCCGGATCGGTTAAGAAATGGAATTTTCTATTCGGAACATACGGCGGAGCCGGGTAAGCCAGCTAGTATCATGACTTATAATAAAGCGCTAAGCGTCTGTCTGTTTGTCTGTGTGTGTGTATATCTGTCTGTCACGAAATTCACAGAGTGAGTTGCAGCCAGCCTCTTGATCTAGAATTTTGGTCATAGCATCCTGTCACCGCGTAGGTAAACTGTGCAAAATCACAAGCCGATTCAGTAAGTGGAACCATCGAAAACTGCGCGACGAACGGATCCACGCTACTTTTGGCCCTCCAAAATGGGTCGGTAATTTGACTTTTTGCAAAGTCGTGGATTTATTCAGCAAGTAAATTCTAAAAACATTGACTTCAGCTCAAAAAGTAAACAAAAAGTCTATTATTACACAAAATTGGCGCCAAAAAGATGTAACTGAGCAAATTGTCGATTTGCCAAGTTTTTACTATGAAAATTGAGAGGATTTTTGAATAGATATGTAGCCCAAGGTGGTCTTTATCCTTATGGCGAATATAAAGCCAAAATAAATTCAGTAACCCATTCAAAATCGCATTTGTTTTTCTGCGGGAAAATTTTTTCTCCCAAAATTACCAATCTTACATGGAAAAGCTCTAAAAATGAATGGTTGTTTACAATTCATTTGTGATGTTCAGCATCGCGCTTTGAGTTTCAAAGTCATTACTATGTGATCACGAAGAAGGCACGGATAGTAGAGCCAGTGCGAACCTCTGCGAAGCAGAGGTGATGCACTGGTGATATATAGACAGTAAGATGATTTTCCAATATTTTCACTTTTTCAGACCAGTCTTTCATGGTATCCTCATAGGCCCTGCATATTGCTTCGTTTCCAAAATGCTACGGTTTTGCTCGATTGTGCATTGGATATCTCGTCGTACAACGCATTTCTTCCATTTGTATACGACGAAAGGTATGCTACAACATTAGATAGCGCCCACTTCTCAAACATCAAATGTATTCGCCAAGTAGTTGCATCGTTTACAAGGAGAAAGTCTGAAGCGGAAATGGCGTTCACAAAAGAGTTCTATGTATCATTCGGTGCATCGTAGAGCGATTCAAATCCGCCGTTCCTAACTGCATAATTTCTACAAGGAAATCGTGTATGCAAAGTGCAAATCTTGATATGTAGTTCAGTTGATGTTTTGCGCACAGTATAAAGACACGAGGCTATGTTGGCCCGCCATCAAGCCAAATATGCATGCATATGTCCATTTTTGCATTTGTGTACAAAATCTCCTCTCAGCAGAATTGGCTACATTTTTGCTGAATAGACGATTAGAGGAATGAAGATTTCCAGCTCTTATGTTGCATCGATTAGTATAGATCACTTCTGGATTTTGCTGCTGACGATTCCCTTGTTAGTATCAATAATGTTGCTGTTTTCTGTAACTTAATCACTTAGATCACGCTTACGGAATCTACCTCTCTCTCATGGTGACGAATTACCATATCTGAAGCAGTTGAATGACAACGTATTCGTGGAAGGCGTTCCTGAGGTGCATCCTGTTCCGGTAAGTTTTACATATTCAGGAGTGGATAGCCCCGAGAATTTTTTTTTCTATTTCTCAGATTCACTTATGATTCATAAGTCATTTCGATTATAGCTAGATGCACTCTGTATGAGCACTGTCGATTACATACTGGTGTCCAACTGGCAATCTTTAGTGGCCTTGCCATTCTATACAGAAAACTCTGGATTCAAAGGCGTTGTGTATTCCACCGAACCTGTCGTACAGTTTGGAAGGTAACATCTATGACAAATGCGCTCATTCAGTCCCAATTCGTTGAAGCTTCTACTCGTCCGTTCAATTGCAGACTGATTATGCAGGAACTCATAGACTACCACGATCGCATCGTGTGTGATGGTGTGGACGACAAATGGAAGGATCCGTCCATATACTGGTACTTGGCTTACAGCATGTAGGAGAATCAATGACAGCATATGCGTTTTCTAGTTTGTTTCCTAATGCACCTACGCGTAATCCTCTTGAGTGGAAACCGTTCTATACAATGCAGAAAATGGAAGCTGCATTGTCTCGCATTACAACCGTATCTTTCAATCAGCCTGTTGTAAGATTGACATACTTGCCATCATTCCCTTTTTCCAGGATTAATCTTTTTTTTTCAGAATCTAGAAGGAAATGTGGTGGTGACTGCTTGTCCAAGTGGTTATACCATTGGGTCATCAAACTGGATGTTCAAAACCGAATATGAGCGTGTAAGTTAGCTCCTTTGCCTCAAGCTTTTGTAGCTCGTATTAGAATCAAAGTGTTGGGTTGGGGAAGATCAAACGCTGGGCCGATTTGGTTATGTTCAAATTTGTAGTTATCGGCAAAAAATTTGAAAAAATCGTGGTTGAGTTCTCAGTGTTCAATTTATTTTCATGGTTTACAGGTGGGGTATCTCGCGTCATCGTCAGTGCGTCCTACTCATGCAAGATCTGTCGAATGGGAGAAATTTCATGATGCCGATGCTCTTATCCTCACTTCTTTGGGAAGGAATGCAGATTGTAGTCTTGAGGTGGGAAAATAAGTATTAACACCAGGTATCTGTCTGTTTACTACTTCAATATTTTTTGCACTTCTCGTAGCAATGTATGCTATAATATGTTCTCAACACTATAGTTAAGAGCATGGTATACTTCTTTGAAGCATATAGGTCATGTAAGGCAAGTACTTTGGGTTATCATCATGTCTGTCACCCCTGTCCGCATTTCCCGAAAAGTCGCACAACATCCAAATAGAAAAGTGCTAGATTTCTGAGAAGTCAGTTTTTAGGGAGCCATCATGGAAATTGCACAGACTGTAGTGGATACCTTAAAACGTGGTGGCAATGTGCTCATACCGGTATCTCCCGTCGGCTCGGTTTACGATCTCATAGACATTGTTTCGAGAAGCATTGATGGTGCTGTAAGTTTTACATAACTTTCAAAAGTCTTGTTCGCTGTTTGCACTAGGGTCGGTCATGGGCAGAGTTTGCATTTTACTATGGATACTCCAGTTTTGCCTTTTATAAAAGTCAAAAACACCCCACCAACCTACAATAGTACTCACAAGGAGAGGATACCTAGTCGAAAACACCAATTCAAATGAAACATATATTATCTTAAAGCGCTTGAAACGCTTATTCCAAATCTATAGTTTCTAGCTGCAGAACGGTTTTGTAGAAGGAGGTATGAGGAGTGTTCCCCGATTGAGGCGCCCTCCAGCAGGTCTCCCCTTATCTATGAGAACTGTAGAGGAGTACCAACTGGTGGCAACTGGCCTATGGTAAGTGACTTGCTTGATAGGGAAAGTGTCAAGATTTTAATTCTTTCGTATGCAACTTCGCAATTTTTGCAAAATTGAGCTTCTAAATGGCTTTGAAGCCCTAAAGCCTGGCATTTCTGATGATATTGATGCTAATCGAAGTTAGAAGTGTTAAGAAACCAAAGTAACATGAGTAATATTCTTTATTGTGGTATTCATTCAGATTACTTACCATTACACCATTTTGTGTCTCTATAATACTCGTAGACAAGAGCCGACATCTGAAGGGCGCCTCATCCCCAGAGGGAAACACCCCTCATAACTCTTTCTACAAAACCGTTCCGCAGCTAGAAACAATAGATTTGGAATCAGCGTTTCAAGCGCTTTCAGATTATCTATGTCTCCTTTGGATTGGTGCTTTCGACTAGGTATCCTCTCCTTGTCAGAGTTTGATCGTCATTGCCTGCCTTGAGCTTTCTTGCGTAAAACTACGGCAAGTTGCAGCGTACAGTGGCAGTCACGACAGATTCTCTTTTCTTATAATCAGTTTTACTTCAGCCACGTCCTACGGAAATATTATGGGTATATTAAAATGAAACAGGCTGCCCGATCTTCCAGCTGTTAAGTAAAAAGTGTATGGTCTCATTTGTAAATTTTCCTATTTAGGGTGGTTCTATTTTGGAAACGCGGATATACTTTATCTCACCTGTCGCGAAAGGTGCTCTAGCATATTCTAATGTGAATGCTGAATGGCTTGCCGAGGCTAGGCAGAATGCTGTATATGTTCCCGAAGAGCCTTTTGTGCACATGGGGGTGAGTATTATACTCTTCGGTATCCCACTTAATTTCCGAGCCTCAATGCATGTTTTGAATCTTGAACTCTTTTTGCATCTCTTCCGCATTGTGTAACTGCATACATTCTAGCTAGTAAGGAATGGAAGGCTGAAGCTGTACGAGAATATATACGAATCATTCTGTAGAGAGTACAAGACACCTTGTGTGGTAAGTACATGTCTAGCTTAGTCATTTTTGTCCACTTCGGACTACCTGGAATATTTGGTTTTTCGTGCTTTTCCGCATATGTAAAATGTATCATAGGTTTTCACTGGGCACCCATCGCTACGAATTGGCGATGCCCCACACTTACTGGAAATGTGGGGCAACGACTCGAGGAATGCTCTTATCATGACTGGTAGCTTCTTTTTGTATTTGAATGCATGGAACCCATTTTATCCACTTTTTGTCTCACGGGCTTTTTTAACTGATGGTAACAAATATATATATATATATATCATTAATTCTTTCTTCTAGTAGTTCTTATAGTTCCGACAGCTCATGCAGGGGTCACTGCAACTGGAAAAACATAGGTTCTAGGTGGCACTGGCAAGAGTGTCGATAAAAAATCTACAGTGCGGGGAAGTTGTTATATCGCAGTTTTCATCAATTCAACACTATAAACTGATTTATGTGGAGATAACTTAATTCTTTTACCCAGATGTGATCGTAGGCTCAGGATATTAGTTTCGGAACAGACGTAGTTGTGGGCGAGATATGCATTGCTTTCTTCATATAAGCAAAAGAACATGTATTTTGCGGTCATCTTTCAGACCCGGACTACCCGCTCAATGAAGTCTATGCTCCTTACGAAGATTTGGCAATAAGAGCTTTTTACTATCCTGTCGAAACTCGCCTTGAGTTTTCGTATGTGAACACTACGCTGCTTCCGGTGGAGCTGCGGCCAAAGGTGATTATTTTGTATGTGCTCATCAAAGTTAGATTTGAATTGATCTCAATCAGAGGTGATAGCTTATCGAAGTCGAATGAATGTGGCGAGCGAAGCTCGTGCAAAAATTAGCTGTTGTTGCTGCTGTTTGTCCCTAGGTCTTTCATTCCTAGTGCCGCGAACCAGCCGTAAATCGTGTGTATTTTCATGATCCACTGCTTTTAGAATCTCATAATCCCGGAGGCTTACTCGATAGCTCATTGCTCGAAGTCCCCTACGCATAACAGGATAGAGTTCGTTGTTCAGTATGTGAGTTTTTTATGCTACTGGTTTTTGAAGATTATTTTTTTTTTTGAAATTACCGCATCTTTGTACTCATGGAAATTTCCGTAAACTGTGCAATTCTGAAGAGTCAGCAGTGCTTCGCAATGGCAAGTGATATATCTCTTAGATCGTTTTTGGACGTTGATCTCGTTGTGCAATAACGGGAATAATGCAATATGCATTCCAAATCAGCATGCACATTGAAGATTGAAGTCCTTTGTTGGCAGCCTGTCGGATGTTCAATACCAGACCGCCAATGCAGCAAAAAAAAAAGTGGGATTTTGACATAGTGGGACAGGTTTTAGATTAGAATGGCCGTTTAGCAGATTTAAAAATTCAAATACGATAAAGACAGTATACATTGTTTTACGAATGGATACTGCAATTGTTTATCCTTCCACTGTGACTTTCTATGAACGCTGCTCGAAAGAAATCTGGCCTTCATCAGTCAGTTCTCGTAGATACTTCTATGATTGTTTCACAACCAGTACAATGTCTGCCGTGTTAGAGATCTAATAATAGCTTTACTGACTTGTATTTCTCAAAACCCCATTGCTATTTTTTGGAAAAACACTAGTGTATTTCTCAACCCCATTGCTAAATTATTGGAAAAACACTAGATGTCATAGCAGCATAAGCACTTCATTTTTAAGAATTCTATCACGCCTATGAGGTACGACGAGCAACTATCCATCTCTCTTCCATCAAAAAAGCTACGAAAAAGAAAGATCAAGGTAGATCCCGACGTGAGTCCTAGTGTATTTTTATTAGAGTATGAATTTGTAATGAAGAAGGACGTCGTCAGTACCGACAAACTTGCTAGTTTTAGGTGATCAAACGGATAGAACTCCGTGGACATCATTCAAACTCGGAAATCGGTCTTGCTTCATTGACAGGGTATCTGTGTGCATATGACGAAGCCTATGAATTGCACGTAAGATTTCGTATCTACTTACGTATATACTTTACTGAAGCAGAAGATGATTGCTTGAACATAGTGTTGTTTTTTTTTGACTTGTCTGAATTATGGGTAGTTGGAAGCAAAAACATGTTGACCCTTTCATTCGACATGAATGACGGATATGTTCCAAGAGCACAGTTTGAAGTCATCCTTCTGATTTATAAAAACTTATAAAAACCGTTTCATCACAAATCAGCGCCTGTTTTTACCACATAACACACCACTTCTTCTTTTCACTACTAAAAGCTTCTGTACGCTTCTATACGCTTGACTTTCAGCCAGCAAAGAAAAAAGTGGGTGCACTCCGACCGAAGTTTGCTGGTCAGCTTACCACAGAGATGGTAATGAAAGCTCTGCAGAAGGTTTGTCCAGTCTCTTCATTTCTGTATAATTCCTCAATCGGCGATTTTCAGAGAAATTTGTCTGGTCGCGTCACAATGCATCCCGATGGAGAACGAAAAATTATCAAAATTGACTCAATCAACTCTGCAATCACCCTGAGTGCTGATGGAATGAGCACCAATATTCAGTCGCCAAAAGAGCACAGGATGATGCTGCTTGACGCTGTGACATCTTATCTTCAGTCGCTTTGTTGACGAGTCGTGCATAACTTGCGATGAGTGGAATGTGAGGTTTGTGGTATTCTTGGAAGTGGCTTTCGGATTTATGTCAATTTAGGTACTGCTCAAAAACGCATCTGGGGAAGAAAGCGGCGGCGCACGCCAATACTGAGATGTCTCACTGTCGCTCGAAGATCTAACTTCTGAAATCCTGGATCGCTTGGAAGAAATTGTTATGTACAGTAATTTACGATAATGATCTCTCCTACTGTATATTTCTTGCTCATTTTGATGATGTCACTTGTACATTGATGTTAAAATACTTTTGAAGTGGATAATCTCTCACTTTCATAAAATCTTCCATTTGCAGTGTGTTACACATTTTTAGAAGATTGCGATTCTCGCATACTTTTGAAAATGCTATTGTGATCAATGCAGTGACTGTTCAAGTAAGCTTGTCAGGATGTATGTCGTCATCGGAGTGTTATCACCGGATTTGCATTTTAGTGCACCAAAATAAATTTTGGAGCTTCAGATAGTTTGTGAATTAATGAGCAAGCGCAGCAGAAACCCCACAGATACTAATAAAGACATCTGGCTTATGTAGATTACAATCAGTGTAAATTTATTATAACGAGAAATTCAGTGGACTAGGTTCCAATTAATGGGGGGGGGGAGTAAGGATATATCCTCCGGCTAACGGTAGGAAAATACCAGAGATGCCCATCAATTTAGCGAGACATATCTGGCTTCCATCTCGTGCGCTAAATGACAGCAAACAAGTTTTACTCGCGCATCCTATGGAGGGCAACAAACAACAAACAAGCTTTGTTTACCGTGTGACACCCCAAATATTCTACGAGCAGTCGAGAAATCATCACATTACTCAGTCTAATATCAGCTTTTTTCCAGAACTACATCCCACTTCTCAGGCACGTTTTCTATGCAATGAATGCTAAATGTTTTGTTCGATTATACTGCAACATCGTTGATAATACGCGTCCCAGTTCGTCATCGTTGCCATTGGTAAGTTGGAAGTTATTCTTAGAATTTTTTCCATTTATTTCATTGATTGTTTTGTACAACTTCGCAGTCATTGGATTTTATTGAAATCATTTTCTAGTCTTTGAAGCAAAACCATAAAATTATCTTGCTATCTCCGAATTTGTCTCTGACTTTATGTCAAAAAGTGGTCGATTTATGGATCTGATAACAGCTAAAAAGGCGTTGTTGATAGATAAGCGTATTCTCACTAGCCCCCAGCAGGGCCCGGCAGGAGGTGGCATTTCAGAATTTTGAAAACGATATCCCCTTTGAAGCCAAAATTTCTTACGACTTCCCCATTGACCCTATTTTTGACCCCCGTAAGTCCCTGACAAACAGATATACACTAATAATAAGATGGGCGGCCCCAGCGCTTATTATAGTAGTACTACCTGGCTTTCCTGGTCCAGCCCTGGTCATCTAGGTTTCAGCTCAATGGGTTCATCCGCAAAGGAATCTATAAAAAAACATAGGGTCAAGATTTGCACAAACTTTGACGTTTATAAATCTAAGATACTACTCATTTATTAGTCAGCTGCGAAACTTTACAGTTTACAATAAGCAATTCCGTTTGGAGCGCGCTTTCCGAGGTCGATCACAACGCTGTGAACCCTATTTGGGGCTGTATCGAAGCGGTGCCTTCGTGGTTTTGGAAGCGGATTTGAACATATAGTAATACTCTCGACCTAGTCCACATTTATGTAAAGAAATCCGGGAAATTATGTGAAGGGAAGCAGGGAGCCACCCTAGGTGGCTCCCAGGTGGCGCGGGAGCCACCTAATTTCGAAAAACACTTACCATTTTTTAAATTCACATAAGTTTCTCATAATTCTTCATACTTTTTTTGTGCTCATGGCCCTCCAACTACACAGCAAATTTGGTGCCATATCGTTACTTGTGCATTGAAAACGAGCCTATTTTGTTATTTTCCTCTTACAAGAACTGCGATTTGAATTCGCGCCTGCGGGCAGGCTAGCGATCGGAGCACAGAATCTTCACATTGCTGGAATCTAAGTTCATAGGACAGTAGCATCAACAAGGAATGATGAATAAAGAATGATATGTGCATTGTTTATCGGTAAACAAAGGGGAAGTCGTATTTTGGGCTCCGCCCCGGACCCCAAAATACGATTTCCCCTTTGCTTCTTCGGGCCAAAAACGATATCCAGCTTGTGAAAGCGCCATCCCCGCCGGGCCCTGGCCCCCAGACACATTATGTATGTGTTCACTTTTCTGTAAATTACTATATCTACAAAGATTGTGAGGATTGAATGAGGGACACTTTCTTGATTTTAGCTTTGTACTTAACCCATTTTTGGTTCATTGAACAAAAATAAAATGTGTAATATCTGAGTAGTGAATTAGACTATTCAAGGACAACAGTGCACTATTTGTTTCTTGGAAATCGTTTTTTCAACCTAATGTTCCCTGTCTATCGTTTGTCCACTACTCTTTTTTGAGCTTTCCATTGGAAACATTTTCTACGAAGCTGCCTTTTTTGATTTTTTTCTGACTCAATGTTTATGGATCAGCTCTTCACTAGCTATTTACAACCGTTCCAGACGTTTGTGAATCCAAGGAAGAAAAGGCCCAGCTTATACCCGTCAGTGCCATCTTATGAAGAATTCTCACCGGATTTTCAGTCTTCATCACAGATTGAAGAGGCGCCAACTCCTAGTGAAAGTGCGCTTCCAGATACACTTTCTAAACAAGAGCTTTATGTCCATGCCGACGAATTAGCTACTGCAAAGAAAAGCGGATGTGCACCGACAAAGCGAGCCCTTAGTATGTTGAGCAACTTCGAAGGCTTTCGAAAATCAGTCAGATTACAGCGCTTATTCGTGGGGTGTTGCACGCTCGATCCCTGTTAAAGACATCTCTTTCTGATCGTTCGGTGACAATTTTCAATTTCCATTCTACAGAATTTGCCGAAAAACTTGTACAGGTATGCACTCTTTGACTAGTATTGTCCATTATCAGAAACTTCCTATTTACAGTCAAACATCGGTAGCCTTGTCATTGTGGAGAGCGATCGTACCTATGCAAGGCAGGCAAAGGTAAGCGCATTGGAGCTGATTTTCAAGAAATCTGGGTTGTAAGTCTCCTGAAATGTTTTGTCATGATAGGTAGCAGTTTGCTCTCTCCAAATGATCAGTGGAAGTTCTAGTTGTTGTCTTTCTGAGCTATATGACTATTTTGTAGTTCAAGAATTTTATCAAATAATCATATGCAATATTAAGAGGTTAACAAACATAAGTGACATAGACAAGTATGATGCAGCACTATAGTACGTACTTCGCGCTCGAGAGCGCGGTAAGTAGTAAGGCTCCTCCCCATTTTCGTTCATACTCAATTCGTAATCTATAGAAGCGTGGGCATGTCGGTTTTGAGCGGCTAATGCTGCTTGGCGGTCGAACACCACCGTCTTCGGCCTATTTATGTCCTCCCTGAAACGAATAGGTCTCATGGTCATTGCTGCTCATGCACACTGGGTTTGATCGTGTTTCAAAAATGATCGCGAATCAGCACTTACCTACTTATCTGTACAACTCCTTGATCATTCCGAGTGAAGGAAGTGACTTTATTGGGCTTCGCATCCCAGAGATCCACAGGGTTTTGTTGCCTGAGCGGAGGCAAATAGTCATAACTATATCGGGTCGAGTCTAGAGGACGATTGTTGTGTGCACGGTGCTGAAAATTGTTCTACATGCAGAAGCTAGATAAAGTGATGCGTTGAAAAGGTCGGTTATGAGAGCAAAGGCGTTCTACTTCCTTTCTTCTTTCTTGATTGTATTAGCTGAGAATGTTCGCGCTTCATTGTTTCATTGCTTTTACTGATAATCCCCCCTCCCAGTTCCGAAACACTTGAGCATGAGCAAACTATAGCAGTATCTGTAGAACTCTCATTGTCAGGTTTCAATCTTAAATTCTGGCGGCGTTCTTTGGAAAAGTCTATCGGAATTGTTCCTTCGTTCCATACTCCACTCACGTTGTAATCAGATCGACCATTCTGAGAAAAGTTCAACAAGCAAAGTTACATACAGGGTGCGGCAAAAGTCTGGGAGCCTAATACTTTTTCGTACAAAACGAGAAGGGAAGTACCTGGAAACGAAAAATTTGGCGCACACATAATTCGAACCATTGCAGATACAGCCCAGTTCTTGAATTGCAAAACTGACTCTTTTGGCTTCCACGCAGCCCTACAAAATCTTGGCAAGTCTACCTGTCATGGCACGCAAATAGTCGTAAAGGAATTCGCCCCACGCCTTCACAATAACTGCTTCTTTTACTTTGGCAAATGCGCAGCGTGATAGAGCAAACTTTTGTCTACAACATACTTCCAAAAAAATTTTTTGCATTGCTTAGGAATAAAAATTTTGGATTTTCAATTAGAAGCATGTGTACGTCGCATACCGGAATTTTGGCTACAATTGCGCGAATAAAAACTTAAAAATATCGTTGAAAAAGTATAAAAAGTGTTCCCATGGCCGAATTTCAATAGATTCTAATTTAGAAGGCGTATGCAAGAAATACAGCCTTGGTTCCAGTTCCTGTTGAGCATTCTATAGCTTTTAAATTTATTCTGAGGACGGATTTCCACTGGCACGTAGGTAACATTCGCAAACTTTTAGTTTCCGTTCATGCAAGAACAGCTCTTGGCAAAAGCAAAACTAGGATACATTAGCGCAAAGCCTCTTATATGTTGTGTGCATCGAAGTTTTGTAAAATATTAACAGCATCTCTAGTTACAGCAAAAATTGTAAATACCAAAAATTCTGGTTTTTCGCTTTGCAAAAGTACTAGGGTAACCTCCATTCTTACAAAAACATAGGGCAGCCATTTCCAGCCAAATAAAGTGTGTTCTGTAGAGGATGACCGCAGCATCATGTGGCATAAAATTGAAATCAAAACCATCAGTATTTTTGTAATTGCAGTACTGCAAAGTTAGGCTCCCAGACTTTTGCCGCACCCTGTATAAATATTCTTATGAATAATTCTACTCTTTAATTCTAGAAGTGTGCTGTGCTTTGCTAAATTCTATCGAAGGGAACGTTTCCTATCTGTTTTTGGAATTTCTATCTACCTAACTTCTTATGCTCGCCGTTGAAAGTGCTGGTCTCTTTGAGAAACGGGGGAAATTAGTAGATCACGAAACTAGAGTAATGCGCTATGGTCACTCGCTTTGAAAGCTCATTGCATTCTGTGCATTAACCTTTATTCAATGTTTTCATTTACCCGGAATTCTGATAGGAGTCGCCTGACTAGGCGTATGATATCGGCGAAACCTCATTATGCCTTACCGCCTTTCAATGTTCTCATTTCTTGGTTTAAGTTCAGAGCCTCCTTCTCCTCCCCCTCCACCCCCCCCCCCCCTCCCCGGAATGGCTCGCGATATTTCTGAAAGTTACTCGCATGAGTTATAAAAATGTGAAAGTGACTTGTTAGTATTTGTAAATCAAAATGATTTTTGAATCTCTTAAAAATCAAATTTAGCCTTGTAAAAAAATTTTGAGGCCGATGCCACGTCCCTCCTTTCTGAAGTTTCGAGATTAAGGGACCGCGAATATTTGAGGAAGCATACCAAAATTTTTTTCGGAGTCGTAGCTAACGCCACGCATTGTCATCAGAAATTTTTTGTCCCCCTCCCCCCTCGAAGGGAAATCCTGGGTACGCCACTGCAGGGTAGTACACGGTTCTTCGCTTCTTCAGTAACGAATCTTGACCAACCAGAGGCAAATTTCCAGGCACAAAAAACACTATCCAAGCATGGCATACAGACCCAGCGAGATAATTATGTGATTTTTAACAAAATACATGCGTTGTTTTGATAATTGATAAGTGCGCAAGCATACTATCTCTCCTATCTCAATTGACAAACTTTCTCTATCTTCCCTCGAAGTCTCTTCCCATTGAATGGATAGAGGGTTATTCACTTTGGCTTGCTGGACGCGGCGGAAATTCGCTTTGGACGAGCCTCTTTAAGCAGCTTGCTTGAGATCATGCAAGAAAGTAGCAAAACTGCACCATCATCTATCAGACTAGATTTGACATCATCCATCACTGGGTCAGTTATCTGACAAGAAGCGTGCAAACTGTTAACGAAGGAGATTAGGTCAAGTTTTTATGCTGGAAGGGTAATCGCTCAGAATATGTACAAAAAGGAATTCGTGTAAAGAACTCACCCCATGTGGTACCTTTACTCGACTTCGGCTTGTCAATGTGTGCGTATTTCCTTTTTGAAAAACTGTTACGTGACATTGCCAAACGCCAGCATCATCCTCTACATGTACAGGTCGTATTTCCATAGCAAAGTCGCCGGTTAATTCATCATAATCGAAGAAATAGCGACCGTCGTTCAGAAGCACTCGCAGCACCGTTTTACCTGAAAAGGAACTGGACAGTGACGAATAGAATTTTGAAAATTTAGTATAGATATCTGAAGCTTTGTGTAGGACATCTGTTGCACGTATGGGGTATGTAAGTGAACTTATGAACCGGGGTTTATCTTTTTTTTTTGTTTTTCCTCTAGGAAGGGATTTCTCACAGAAAAAAAGCTGCAAAATTTGACTGTTTACGTGTTCTGGAAGCTGCAGAATCCCTGGATAAACAGCAAGTACTACATGCGCAAAAAATAGCAAAAGTACAATTCTGTTCGCACTAGCCAGCAGCTTTTGCAGAATGTATACTTAGACAGGGACGGATTTTAGACATATGGATGACTTTTTTTTTACACTCTGCTTGTTGATACGACCATTTATCTTTGTTGGCTGGACTTATCTTCCCTTCGAAAAAAATAGCAGCGCTTTTTTTTTGAAATGTAAACCCGAATCTGATTAAGAGAAGTAATCCCGCCATTTTCAAGTTTTGCATGTTGAATTATTTCCTACTCCCCCCCCCCGCTTCCCTCAAGTCAGCTGAGTGAGCTAAATTATGTGAGCCACTGCTCATTGCGAAAGCTATTAGCTCTGCACTTTGCGACAAGAATGCAGGCTTTTGGTCTTGTATTAATTCCTTTTACTTTCGAAGTAACGTTATTTTTAGAAACACTTTTGGAGTGGCACACTTTTGCTACAAAACAAAATCACTTCACGTTTCATTTCGGAACTCGAAGAGATCAGTTATTTGATGGGCTCATTTTGTAATTTAGACTTTCTACTGACTTTTCGTTGTCTCTTGCTCCGCTAGCGAAAGTTAAGAGGGCAAAATTCCCAAATATCTCGCTGGTCCAAGTTGGCTACAAGAAGCGTTCGAGAAGCAGGTGAAAATAGACTTGAAACACTATTATCTGTGATGGCTTTGGTTTGAGATGCATCCAAAAACCATGTGTTTGAATGATTATAAATTGGCTTTTGTGGGAAAAACATTAGTTTTCAAAATGAGTTCTTGTCTCTTACGTGTTTGTTCTACTTACCCGCTATGATACGCTTGTTGAAAGTAGTGAGTCTATTATATATTCGCTTCTCTCCATCTTCTATTTTCAGCCAAATAGTATCGTTTAATGTCCACGTCACTTCTATACGTACCTAAAAGCTTTCTTGTTCTTTTTTTTGTCAGAAATACATATCTAGAACTATAATAAGAAAAACTTACATTGCTATTACTGGCATCCGCTACATGTGGGCAATTCAGAGAGAACGAATCGTACTCATGGGATTGCGTGCTTGTAGTGGACGAGGCGGCTGATTTGTAGGGTGCCGAGCGACTCGCTGAAATGCTTTTCTTATGCAGTGCAATGCTCGGCAGATGAAAAATTTGAGATCCAATGCTTGGCATCTCCGTTTCAGCCTGTCAATACTCCTCTTGCCGAAGGATCGGCTTGGGACAATTCGAGAGCCTTATTAGGTTGTCGCGCACGGGTTGTCCACACGACATATGCCGAAGTGAAGTGTTTCGGTTAATGTTGTCGGCGTTCGTTGCGCGCTCTCCTACCGCAATTAGCAGTCGAGCTCGAAATTAATGCCTATTGTCTTTTTATTGACTACGAGCTGTTGACTGAACGAATGGAAGCTGGCTAGTAGTGCGAGTGCTATGTTCATGATGTGTAACAAGCATATGAAATTTGATGTACTGGTTATAAACTTCGTTTTAGTTTAGTACGTGGGTGTAGACATCTTCTTTTTTTGAAGTCAAAATTTTTATTACCTAAACGACCGAAAATTTCACTAACTGTTATAGCACCATCAATTCGGCTAAGTTCTGCAAATTGCTTCTTTTAAATGGCTAGTGAAATCAAACTATCTCGACCCATCGAAAGTCATTAGTTAGTGTCTGCGCAAATTGTTGTCATCTTTTATCGTATATAGGTACATTTGCAACGAATGGACCACAGTAGTGGAGCTCGGAATGGAGCGGAATTCAAATCTAATTTCCTGAAAAATCTACAATATGATTGAACACTATGAATGGCCGAAATGAATGGACTATAATAGTGGAACTCGGGATAAAAACAAATTAAAATCAAATTGCGTGTGGAAATCAAACATATATCGAAGTATTAATGGCGAATTATGAACTTTGCCTTGGAGGTTTGCCTAATTATATTCCTCGAATCCCTTAACGATATTCTGCTTGCAAAGCTTTGAGAATAATACATATGGAATCAGACAAAAATAACTGACGTTGACATCACCATGTAAATAGATGCTGGTAAGCTTTATTTACAAGGCAAATCATGAGAATGTTTGTTATAACCTGACCCTTTTTTCTGAAAAATGATGTCAAAATTGTAATTTTTGCGTGTATACGTGCGTGTTTGCGTGGTGCGGAGGTCCAACCTCCTCTCCTTATCTTTGAAGAAGAATTAGATCAAAACCGAATTTTTGCATATCATAGTTTCAAAAATGTAGAAAATATCTGGCGCGGGATAAATGAAAACTGACACGTCGGACCACTTCTAGTCCATCAATTTTGTGAACCAGAAATTTTTCGCACATATCGTCATTTGAATGCTTAGATGATTCGAATGATTCGTCCCTCTTAGAACTGTTTAGCCTGCGAAACTTTCGCTGTACAATCTATCTGGAGCTGGAAATTATGTTTGAGATAGAGCGAGCTTAATCTATCCGGTCATCATGCATAATCATAAGGGCTTCATGTAATCCCGCATCACGCATAGTCGTGAATAGTAATGGATGACGAGGGTGCTTCATTGCTACTCATGCAAGTCTTGCTCGAGGGGCTCCTGGGTTTGTCAAAAAACCTACGTTTGCCCTAGAAATCATATTGCGTTCAAATTGGTTTTTTAGTGCGGGTGTAGGACCACTACTCACGGTGGAAGCTCTCGTTTGGACATCCCTCCCTTCCTTTCCCATTTCCCTCTCTCTCCCTAATGAACTTGCTAATCCTTCTCGGACTTGCCACATGCATTTTGCAGAGGTTTAACTCGTTACTCATCCCACAGCAGTAGAACAGATTATGGAGTGCAAAGCCAAGAGAGTGTCAGCAGCATTCTTTGTACTTTGCACTCCATTAGATGTGCGTGCTTGTGTAGCAGTTAGTTATCCCCGAGGTGGTGCTTATTCGCAGTTACGAATGAGAGGGGCCGTCCCGGCTGTTATTACATGCTTACGCTGCAGTGGACCAGCCCCATTACGATGTTGCATATATTACCGGAGGAGCAATTGGTATCGGTTTTAGATGACTAGGAGATGAAAGATCTGATCAAAATTTAGAGCTGCCAGAGTACCGCAAGTTGAGAGGTTTTTCGCTTTTTATTCCGAAAACGAACGGCTGAATTAAATTGGCGCCCATAGAATCAAGCAGTTATGAATGAACAGCGGACCAGCGGACAGGCGAAGAGCCAAGCATTTGTCTTATGATTTATGACTGCGCGTAGAGATGATAAATGGCTTCGTTTGCATAGCGCAGTTATCATAATTGGAACCAACAAATCGATGTAATGTTGCTCACACCGAAAGTCGTGAACTAGGTGCAAATTAGTTTTGGTTTGAGTAGCATATGTTTCGTGATGTTATCGTTGCTATTTTCAATCTTGCGTCACATGCATGCGAATCAGCGTAACATGAAACGCATAAAATTATGAGATGTCAACGGAGAGGAGTGTAAGACAGATGAGATAGCGGCAATGGTGGAACAATGTGCCTGGATCCAGAAATATCTGGCTAAGTGGTTTTGCAATTTGACTTGCCGATCTGATTAGATTTGTCTTCGTATGAATTTTGCAGTTTCACCTAGGCAAAACTAACTCCAGTTGGATTTGCCAGAGACCTCATCCTAACTATCTGTCAGTAACAATAAGCATAAGTAAAAAAATATTAGAAATCAGAATTAAATTAATACTTTACGCAAAGTCATGCTGGGTATGATTTCTGAGCAGTCTTATACATAGGATTTTTGAATACTTCAGTTATATACAACATTAAAAAAATCATCATCAAAAAATAAAATCTTCTGTGTTCTTTTTTTTTCATGGCAAGGAAAGAGAATAATGAATCCAGGAGTAATTCAAACTTTCGCAAGATCATACTAGTATAATTCTGAGCAGTCCTATGTATTTTTCTGAAAGCCTACTAATTAGATATATTATTTTAAAAAGAAAGATTCACCTACCGCGCTTTTTTTCATGCTAAAAAATCCGGAGTTAGGAGATCTTAAGGCGGGAAAAGGGGAGATGGGAGAAAATGCATTTTAGTAATACCCTTTTTGGTTGCTTCTGTCATATTATGAGACAAAGTTTCGGCGACTATTCTTGTTGTAATATATATCATACTCACTTTATTATTCTAGTTTTTGAATTGATTTCACAAAAAAAAGGAATGGTGCAAGCCTGTCGCTCCAAGCAGAATGAGTTATTGCTTGGGTTGCCTGTTCGCCTTCTCGTTAACGTCAAAATTAGCATTTTTTATAGCAGCCTCACATGAAGACATGGAGCAAGCAAGCAGGAAATTCAGGCTTGCATTATTTTTCGCAAAGGCTTGATTCGGCATTCTATTGCATGTCTTGTTGGAACGACTCCCGTTCTAACATCATTTTGCTATTTGGATGTGGCGTGCATTATTTCATGGCTCATGAAGTAAACAGAAAAAACACTCATTTCCTAAGAATGAAGAGCGGAATAATGGAACATGCCCTTATTTCCAAGTGAAGAGTGGAGTATTGGTTGAATTTTGAGAAAGGGTAGAAGAGGTGGTGGGGAATTTGTACAGTCATCTTTGCCAACACTGCGAATGAATATCTGGCGGAATTGAAGCTACACATGGCAGTTTGTTGATTGGCAATACATATTTGCTCATACCTCGTGCATGTCTTGTATGATGAAAGTGTCGATTTGTAAGTGGCATCTGTTCCTCAACGATAAATTCCACAGCCAAAATGGCCGAATTCGTAAGCCCAGAGATGAGAAACGCGTATAAAAACACCACTTGTTGCCGAGCACCGACGCAAGTGAGCTCTAGTAGCTTTGCCTAAAATGAAGTGACATTTGGAAGTGTACTCCAAACTGACGCATTGTTAGTGCAGACAGATGTTTTGGCGTGATAATGATTGCGTGTGAACGACGTTCTCCGTTCACAAATGTGCACATTTCACATGCAATAGTTATTGTGTGCGCGTAACTGCGTAATTGCACTTACCATTTTGTCTGAATGTGATCGTTAGTTTGTGTATGGGTTCACATGGAAACGTCTTCGTTGTTACATGAAAAAGTTCTGAAAAAAAGATGCGTAGGTTTGTTACGGGAGAAAGCAAGCATGCTCATGTGATATGTTACTAAATTTGAAAATGATCGTAAGAAAAGTGGGAAGAAGGTGCCATCGTAGGTGACACCTAATGGGACCAATGCACCATTCAATCGGGCGTACGTGCCAGTCAAAGAAAAACGAAAAGAAACATCCTTTGAAGGATCAGAAAAACTTAGTTGTGCAAAGATTTTTACAAACAAAATTGCATAAAAGCGCACTTATTGTTAGCAACAAACTCCGATATAGTTATGAAATATGTGCTAGAGAATTGAATGTAAAACAAGACCACACTAGGCTCGCTTGCTATGCTCTAAATGTTCCCCGGAGCTGGGGTGCCATTTCACGGCCACGCCTCCGTTTCTTAGAGATGCACTCTCATAGGGCTCTTCAAAGTATCGAAGAGTATGCTAGGCTAGCGACTCGACTTTAGAGTTGTTGATTGATTGCGGCTATAATCATGAAAATCATCACTATAAATACCTTGAGTCGTTTGAAATGGAAGGACGTCATACTTGTAGGCAAAGAATTGATCATGGGGTCCTTTTCCATAGATTCCGGTCAACTACGGACTCGAAAATTTAGTTTATCTAGCTGTTACTCAAATGGCTAGCTCGATATAATCGATCTTGTCTCATTCTTCTCCGAAGTAAATCCTATCAAGCGCCTTTTGGATGCGACAAAGAGCAAATTGGGTGGAACTTCACTTCTCGATCCTCCTACGCTTCTGCGGAGACTACCTTTTTGAGAAGTATTTTTTTGGTACCATTAAAATTTAGTAAAAACATAAACTGCATTTATTATTAGCAACAAACTCAGTTCATAGTTCATCTGCCAATAACGTATACTTTTAAGGTAGTTTGAGCTAATTTTATGCGAACAACATTATATCACCACATTTTTTCTAGAAGAGTTCTCGAGTTTCCAAATGAGTCCTATCATCCTTTCAATCCTCAAGATGCTGCGAACGCTATATCGCTCAATCTCATCCTCATCTCGTTAAGTGATCAAATTATGGAGGTGGTCTGAGCCAATTTGAGGTGATTACCTCCTGATTGATGAGAGACATCTCCGGAAGTAGTGCATTCTAAATGCTTAGGCTTTGATAGACATTCAGAGTGTTGTCAGTATCTGATTTGCAACATCTGCGCTTCTGTTTTTGTCTTTACTTGATACAGGGAATACCCTAGGGGAAAGCGGCATTCCTGTTCACATGTGTGCGTTAGTCAAGCGACAGAATTGTCCCAATCTCCCATGGGTAGAAGACTGAGTCTGAGTAGTTGTTGCTTTCGGGAAAACATAAGCAATTCTACAAGCAGATATGGGAATGGAGTTGAAGGGACTTAGTTTGGGTGTTGGAGATGCTTAGGGAAGAGGGAAATAATTTCTTTTTCAGTTGCTGAGTAACAAAAAAAAGGCATTTTGTCTAAATTGGAGGGACTGTAAAAGATTCAAAGTTGAATGCTTACATTTTCTGCGTCCGTTTGGAGATGTAAGTAGCACATTTCAGATATATGCTAAAGCTCAACGAGCCCAGTCTCGGAATGTAGCTGCATACCGTACCGAACTTGCCACATTGCTAGGTATATCACGTAAGAAAGTATCGGCTTTTCCGTCACATCTGCTTTCTGCCAAACCGGAAGTGCCAAAACATCCATTTTCGCTTGCCGCTGTTGCTCCTGGAGGTATACTGTTCACTTCATTTTTCAGATGTAGTAATCTGCCTTTCAGATGAGTCTGGTAACCCCTATGCAACATCTCCTATTCTTGTAAGTACTCTGCCGGTCGATTCACAGCAAAAATCTGTTCTTGAAGCTCTTCTGGTTTGTTTATTCAATCTGCTCTCGTTCAAAGCGATGGCGTTTATAATGGGTTATGTGGCTTTCTTTTTACAGAACAATCTTCTTCTTCACCACGCTGGTTTAGATGAGGAAACCTTGTATGCATATGGACAAGTGGAGCTTGTTACATTTCTTAGTGCATTGTAAGTGCATTGTAAATAGCCGCTAGCGTGCAGAGAGAGAATTAATTCTCGTCATGATATAGTAGCCTAACTTTGTCGATTTTCGTCTTGCTAATAGAGCAAAGCCGAACTACTTTTACTAATTGCGGCTTCCACCGTAACGCTATTTGAAGATAGTAGGGTTTGAGAGTGTAGCACCTGTAAACTTCAGTTTGAAAACCTTGCGCCCACCTCTAACCATAAAGGAATACCTGCACTCCATTTGTTGTAAAACATGTATCGCTGTGTTTTCAGCACTATATCACATCTTCTTGCGTCGGCAGATCCTCGGCTTTCGTTTATGGCTCATTCGGCGCGTAGGAGTTCCGAGCTGTTCTTCAAGTTGTTCGATATCGAGTACGTTCTTGTCTATTTATTTGCAGTAGAGTAGCGAGTGAAAAGACTTTCACAGAATTCCAAGAAAATTTTCGAACAAACTTCGTAACTCACTTTTCATGGATGAAAATTATTTTCATCAATTTTTTTTGATCTATTCTGTAGAGGTAAAAGAATGTCACATTCTTTCGTGGCAGTAATTAATTATGGTGTAATTTGAAGATCGAGTACTCTCCAATAATATTAGGTGGGTGCAAAAGTTTTGTCAGTTTTTTCAATCCACCGCCAAACACGAAAGAATGGAGATAAACAAACATTTCATAAAGTATCCGATGCAGAATTTCTTCCTCTTTCCAGCTGCTTAACTCTCATTGTGTGTCGTTGAGAGAGCGATGGGATATATGCTGGAAATTACAACCACTCGTTTTTACCATGTCCAACTTTCGTTAATTTTCAAAATTTTTGTATGAGACTTTCGGAGGAGCCCTAATAACCAGCAGATAAGGCAAACCTTTTGCCAACCGACGCAATCTTTTGTGGCCCTATGGCTTGTCTTTCAGAATTTCTACGATTTATTTTTTGAGGTGACCAAATTTTACATTCAGCCTACTTCAACCTCGTAGAACATAAAATTTTAAACACTTCAGTCACCATTCGATGCAAATTTTTCTCCTCTTTTCAACACTTGTCTTTTCTTGGCGAGACAGGCGAAATTTGTGGGGAAAATCGCAGTATTTCTCAAGTTCAGGAGTACGCACTGACGCAACCTGTGCTTCAAAATCTTCGTGTTTTGAGGCGAAAATCGCTCATTTACTTTGTAATGATAGTGATAGTAATAATCGAGTGTTGAAACCTCAGTATTCTGTAGTTTTTGCAGTGTTTGGTACAACAACAGGTTACGCGATTTTTCCAAAACATAAGACTTTTGGAAAATTATTTGGCAAAATTCTGAAAAAGCAGCTGAAGAAAAAGCAAAAAGTTGCATAAGTTGGCAAAAGGTTTGCCCTATCTGGTGGTTGTTGGGGCTCCCTTAAAAGTCTCATACAAAAAATTTAAAAATTAGCGAAAGTTGGACAAGGTAAAAACGAGTGGTTGTAATTCCTAGCAAATATCTCATCACTCTCTCAACGGAACACAATGGAGGTTTAGCAGCTGGAAAGAGGAAAAAATTCTGCATCGGATACTTTTTGAAATGTTTGTTTATCTCCATTCTTTCGTGTTTGCCGATAGATTAAAAAAACTGACAAGACTTTTGCACCAACCTAATATTACTTTGATCATGAGTGGTGCACCAAAATTTTTTAAAAATCATAAGTATTGATGCTTCAAGTAAATTTGTTCAGTTCGACATAAGAAAGGGAAAATCGTACGCTTTTTGATGTTTGAAGCCAAAATGCATAATGGAATATCATGGCGATACAAGCTGATTAACACATTGACGACAATGTGACCCACATGGTGGGTCTGCATTGACTGTGGTTTCAAAAGTTCTGTTATGCTTTATTCCCAGGGATTACTTCCGCGTTTCTTGGCTGCTTCTCAGAATCACTGTGGGGATACTGCAGATGGCGGCCTGCTTGATTTTAGCTAAAAATACTCAACTTATTGTAGAAGACATCGTCCCATAAAGCAGACAGCTAAAAATGCACGTTGTCGTCAACGTGTTAAGAGATACACTCAAATCGCAATTTTTGACTTTTGGTCTCTGGAAACTAGAGGGCTCGAAACTAAGTTTATTTTTGATTACGGGCCTACAACTTACTCGTTTTGACTGCGAGAACCTGGTGATTTGATGTTCCCACCGATAATATGATTTTCGATTTTCTCAACTCACCACTTCGCTTTCGTTTCGAATAAAATCAATATGCATAGCTGGATAGAGCGTTTGTTGTAGGTTCAAATGTAATTTAAAACGTTATTTGAAATGTTTTCGAGTGAAATTTTGTGATATTTAGATGCAAGACTTATGCATTAACCTAATACATTGCGAAAAAGGCTAGTGCAATTTTCAGAAGCTGCATTTCGGAACCTCATCACCGGTTTGGTATTAAATAAGTTTAGTGAAAGTTTTGTTTAACAGCATTGTGTTTTGATTATTCCCTCCCTAATCTTCGAAGTCAGCATTTTTGAAGATCGATCACGTGCGCGGATATGTCTGAAAAATTTACTATTTTTAAATGTTTTTTTTTGGAAGGCGTAAATCTGATTTGTTGTTGCAGACATTGTTAGGAAATCCTCATCAGTGTTGAATGAGGCATGTTGTGAATTTGCAGCGTGAGCTAAAGTACATATTTGTACGAACAATGTTTTCCACCTCATCGCTTCTTTATCCTCTATGCGGCATCCTTTGCTGTCTCTACAAAGCCAATCTATCGCGCAAGAGCATCTGTCGTTTGCCGATAAGGTGCAATGACGGAAATCAAAGCGCTTTGTTGTGCAAAAATATAATCAGTTCGCATCTAATGCTTATGAAAAATTTGGCTTAGGTGTTAATGCTGGTATTGCCTCAGAAATAAGATAATCATAAAGATCAAAACCAGTAATTTGACTGAGGGTAGAAGTGTTTAGGAAGTATCGACTACAGTCATCGTCAACTTTTCCAGACTGCTACGTCTAGAAGGCTTTTCTCGTCGCTCATTCATACCGCCAATAAGCATACCAAAGAAAATACCTCATGAAAAAAGATTGAAAGAGGTGGGTGCTTTTTCTAGCCACATCGTTATGTAACCGTCTATGGTCGTCGTTTGTAGCCTGTATATGAGCCTGCACACTGCGCGCGGTAGCTGACGACTAGGAACTTTGCAGTAAAGTTTTTTTAGAGTAACAAATTGCAGAAATGTATACTGTTAACTAATATATATCCAAACGAGCGAAGAAAGACAAATACAAGGAGAAATCACTTGAAAAGAGCAGGTTCTTGTCTCAGAAGCGTCAAGTTGCGCGCGCGGTGTGCAGTATGGGATATTATGTCATAAGTGATTGGAGGATAGTTGGATTTTAGGTGGACATTGTTAATGGTCTACTATACGCAATTTCAATACGGCCGCATCGATGTGTAACGCTAGGTGGTGCCGATGTTGGAGGATCTTCGCTCAGCCCACGAGTTTTGCTGTCATTTGCTTACTGGTTGAATACCGTAGGGAAGCAGCAAGCATCGAAGAGATTAAGCAAGGTTTTGAAGTGGGTACATTTCATTTTTAGGTTTTTCTTTTGGGGTTGTAAAGCTAAGCTGCTCCCGAGAAGTTGAAGAGGTCGATTATCGCTATATTTTTCCATCTTTTTCTGTAATCTTGTTGATGCAGAAGTTAGCTTGACGTTAAGGGAGCTGTGCCCCGAATCCGCTTCCGCTGCTCTTGAAAAGGTGGATGGCAACTATAAGATCGGCGATGCTCCGAGCGAAATCGTGGAAACAGCTTTTCTTGGTGTTCGAGAAGAATTAGAGCATGCGAAAAATTTCGAGAGGTACAAGGAGCTCATAACGACCAAAAGAAGCACATAAACTGTTCATATCCTCTTAAAATTGACTTATGTTTACTCGAATACCGGTATTTTATTGTGCTTTACTTACTTTCATTTGTTCGTAATCTTTGTTGCATGTACCTCACTTATGTTGACAAGTTGTTTACGTTTTTCTCAACATTTTCGATCATGACAGATAAGCTTATCGTTGATAAAGATACGCTGATAAGAAGCTGCACAGACATGTACAGATTTCAGCTTGCGTACTTACGCGTTCTTAAGATAAATAGGGCTGCATGCAGTTTACGGTAATAACTTAAACTCCATTTTTCGAAGTTGTAATGTAATGTTCAAGTCAGTCTAGCAGTGAGACATCTGTCTTGGATTCTTATGGTTTTATGTGCATGGTGATGACATCCCTACAAAAAAATCGTATACAACGTAAATCCTCTAAGCATATTCCACCCAGGTCAAAAGAAAATTAGGTAGTTTTCCGTTATCCGGACCCATTTTTTCAAAGAAAGATATTGCTTCCATTCTTGTACCATATTTTGTCTCAGCTTCACAAGAAGGAGTGTCAACCTTCTGCCACGTGTCAAAAAAAAATTGACATGTCATCTACATGTTTAACAGGTTTTACCAAAAGTTTGCGCTGCACTACCTAGCAATGTAAGTTCAATCTGTTTTTTTAGTTAATTTTGATCTCATTTTGACCAAACAGTTTCAAAGCGAACATTATCATAATAACAACGACATATTATCATTGATGAATAGTTTAGACTTGCTCAGGATAAAGAAGTGCGCTAGGATTCTGTCATTTAAGAGGCGAAATAAGCAGCAGCCAGGTAATTCAGACTATCATTTGTAGATTTTTTCGGTTAAATTCGCATGGCGAAAAGGGTATGAAGAGACATACATTTAAATCACCGCTGAAAGCAAGCGAAAATTGTTCAAAAATATGTTCATGATTGTTGTAAAACAGTTAAACAGTTTTAGAATAATCACATATTCTCTTTGATGTTACCGGAAATGATTTTGAAAAAAACATGTCAAATTGGACCTAAACGTGTCAATTTTTTCGTGACACGTGGCAAAGAGGCAGTCATCGTAGAGTCTATGAAAAATTATTCTTAGACTAAAAAACATATGATATGAGAGCCTTTTGGAAAAATGGGTCCGGATAACGGAAAAGTACCGAAAATTATGCTAAGTTGCACTTTGATCAAGGAATTTTTTATAACATTTTCTCTGCCAGTTTTTGCATTCACAAATAGTACCAGTGACAGCCATGTTGATCTGCAGAGGATTGGAAAAAATTAAGCTTTCCAAAGGTTGATCTAGAAAGCTTTTGAAAGTTGTTCTGAGGCGCGTCCTAAACATATGTATCCGTGACTCATTCTAAAGTATTGCCTAAACAAGTCGGTCAAACGTTGTTCTCATCGTCATTATAGCTGTCTAATTACAGAGTTCACAGGTCGTTACATCCTTGAAAAATCTGGATCTTTACAATCGTCCCTCTAGCACTCTGAACTTACTCTTGAACATTTGCAGTTGGAAATCACGATGCCTCTGAAATTTATCAATACGCTGTAACATATTGTTTTAACTGTAATCGAAGCTTATTCATAAATTCTTATATATTTAGTAGGAGAAGAAGAGAATTCAGTCTCGTCTCTATGTCTGCTGAATCGCTGGAAGACAGATTTAAGGGTCATCAGTTCTCACACATACAAAGTGTTACATAACAAGCATGTTTGAAGACGCGTTCCCTTTTTTCTTGTCGCTGCAATTGCGTTTTGTAATTTTTGGATCCTCTGAAATCTTCGATGTTTTGAGGCGCCTTTCGAAGCATCTCTATCTTCAGCAAACATTGAGAGACCAGTGGGCCACGGATTATCTGAACGGTTTCGAAGTATAGTCAGTAGATGCGTCAGTAGATCATCAAATTTTGAAAACAGAAATTGAATTAGCAAATGCACAGAGACGTACTGAGTGTACAATCTATACAAAAGGACCATTAGTTGATATATTGAATTAAAGGTGAGTTGTTTCACCATATACATAGAAGCGAATGCATATCATTTTACAAATCCGCGCTTTCCGGTCACTTTTCAAATAAGAATACGAGCTCCACTGTAGCTACACACATCCTGACAGAACCTACAGTTTTTGCGCAAATGTCCAAAGAAGTCATTCTGTACGATTAACGATAAATTTGTGTTCAGGTTGGCCCCTAATTTTGGTACTTATAAGGTCAATGGTCAGATAGTGAACCATTTCTTAAGGCGTCCTGTCTGCAGGATGGTTCAATTATTACGCTAAATGAGCACATGAAGCTAGTACCTACTTTGCGAAACGTATCACATACAAATTTAATCATTTTATATAGCCTTTCGCAACATTTCTAGTCCAAAAATAATGTTTTCGAATTTTCAAAACTGTGTATTTTGGACATTAGGTGGTGAATCGTTTGGATTCTGACACCTCTTATTTATAAGAGTAGTACCCTATTTTCCGGTTTATAAGCCGCACCTTATATAAGCCGCACCCGCCGCAGCGAACAATGGCGCGAAAGAGCCTTCGAAAAGAAAGTTTTGATCTAACAAACTGAAAACTCGCTGTATTTTGTGACTGCTTTTCATTGCGCATGTTGGATGGGATGTTGGGATGTTTGTGTTGTGTTTTTTCCTCAAAGATACAATGGAGTTGACCATGTTTTCTTTTGTTTTTAAAGATGTTACTGAGGTTAAAACTGCTGCTATTTTATTTGATTTTAATGATTGTTGATGATGATGTTGATGTTTCAATGGTGCTTTCAATGCTTCCACAAGAAAGAACGAAAGCAATCAGGCTACTAGGTAAAATAGTTGGTAATTGGCTGCTTGCGCGGCTTCGCACATCGCGACCATCATCTCGCATCAGCCCGCGCGCGACGAAAATAATTGCGGCTTATACGCCGGAAAATAGGGTATTTCAATTCGAAACGTTTCATTTCGCTTCACTCTAAAGTGAAATTTGGCAGAAAAGACTTAATCTTGTTTAAACGAGAATTCCAACAATTGTACTGAATTCAACATTTTTATCAGGTCTTCTTCACCCTTCACTTGGTTGTGATTCGAAGTTGAAAAATTAATCATCCCTTTTACTCTGCTTGTAGATGTCATAGCTGTTCCAATCTTTTCCGCGAAATGAAGAAAAAAGGTGTGTTTGACGTCATCACAAGAAAACATTGTTCTTGTGGCTGTTCTTTTGTCACTGCGTAGTCAGATGCTTCACCATTCTTATCAGTTCACTTCGCCGTATCACAGAATCATTGTTTATGCATTCATCCTTCATTTTCTTTGTGCTGTACTTCTGGAACAGAGTTACAATGCAATGCCGGGCAATGCTCTTCGAAGAGTCTCGAAAATATTGTCTCGATGTCATTGAGTCTGGTTTTGCATTGATTGTTTTGATATTGTTTCTTTTCTTCTTTTTGAAACAAAATTTCCAACTTTCTTCACTTGGTTAGGTAATCATTGTTTTCTGATTGCAGCATATAGTAGCCCTTCTTACCTGCTATAAAATTATTGTCATAGCCAGAATTGTGCTCCTCAAATGATAATTCTTGAAATGGTATCACGATTTTCAGTACTCTGCGAAAAGCTACCTATATCCGAGCCAACATCATCTTTCATATATAAAGTTATCCCATGAGTCTTTTCATCGAGCCTTCAAATTGATATTTCGAAATAGAGCTGACAAGGCTGCAAATCCGTGGCAGTATTTCTGAATGAATAATCTATATAACCACATAATTGCGGGGGGGGGGGGGGGAACCGTAGAGTCGCTACCGGCAAGGTTCAAAAATTCAACTCATAAGATTTCTAGCCATAAGAAATGCAGCAAATTTATGTGTAAAAATTATGAGCGTATGCGAGAGTATGAGCGTGAGCGAGTGGGAAATTCGCAGGATTGTTTTGAATGAGTTACGATTATTTTCGTTTTTTCGCGAATTCGGAATTTTTCTGAGTTTCGACTTAACACTTAATGCGAGTCAAGCTTGGTGCGAACTCTTGAACGCCATCTTGTAGAGCTTGCTTTGATTTGGAGAGTGTTACCCCACAATCATAAAAATACAAGAAACGGACCTATGGTGGTAAAAATTCATATATGAAAAGACTTATGGGACAACCCAATAATTTCTTGAAATTTGCATCATGTATTACTTACTCATACATGCTTGTAAAGTATGTTGCATATAGAGAATACATGTAATGCTGACGTATACAGTCATTCATGTCTCTGTATCTATTTAAAAACTTCTATCAATCATTTACTTTAGGTATCAATGTGTGAAACCGATGTGCCTTCGTTCTTTACAAGAGGTAGCAAATTCCTTCTTCTTGACGGCAAAAACGTGAGTTTGTAGTTCATTTATCTCTCTAAGTGGGTGGCGACAAAGAAGAAGGGCAAAATACAGAAATATTAATTTTTTGCTTTAAGGTGGATGAGGTTCGAGGTTGATGAACATTCGGTTGATTTTACTTAATATCGTACCGCAGTCACCTCTTCACCTAGAGTCGCTTCTCATACAATCTTTGAGGCGCTGAACGTGGCCTAAGGCCTCGGACAGAGTTCATGCGATTTGATCGTCGCGATTTAATCGCTACAAGACAAGTGTTACGAGTTCATTGCATGCCGATCTTCTTGTATTTCGATTGTGATAGTTAGTGACAATTAGTCGTGTTGGAAAACCGAAATGCAAGACGATCGGCATGCAATGACATTGCTACAGTTATCTTGTCGCGATCAACCGCGACGATGAAATCGCGTGAACTCTGCCCGAGGCCTAACAGTTATCAAGCGCATCCGTATTCGAAATAACGTCATACGCATGTTTCATGGCCTGAAAATCTAAAGATTTTTACGCACATGTAGCGCGGTGTATAGTGCCAAAAGTTGGTCTGGATTTGATACTTCAATGAAAGGTAGTTTCAGCTCTTGGATGTACTAACGCGGAAAGGATGCTTGGTGGTCGTGGCTTTAATATGTGTCATATGTTATTATAGTGTATGCCCCGGCGAGCTTCCCATAGGTACCGCCGCGGCGCGTATGCAGCGCGCTCCCTTCCTGCTGCCTTCCGCTTCGTCAGGTGTAGTAATGCGCTGCTCACGCAGAAAATGAGTGGAAGAGAAAGAATGCCAACTTCTCAGTCCATTTTTTTCCATTTGCAAAAATAAAGTTTATATTCCTGTTATGGCTTGAAAATTTTATGTGATCCTCGACGACGGTTTGGAACTTTAACATGCAGTAGTAACTGGAGTTAGTTTGCACTGAACAGCAAAGTAATATTTGCAAAGATTCAACTTGATGAGCATAGCAAAATCCAAACACTCCAGCTCAAACACAAGCACATTTGATTAAACGAAGATCGAACGCAGTCATGAAAACCCTTCTAGGGCAAAGACGATAGAAGTATCAATCAAAATCGACCAGTAGACACTCATTTTTCTTGTAGAAGACGTTCGGACAAAAGATTCTCTTAAAGATTATTCGAACACCAATTTTTAGCTAGGAGAAAACATAAGAAAGAGCAACGCTCCCTTCTACGTTGACGCTAAGTTCATTGTATTGATCGGCCACACCTGGAACAGAGAAGTTTTGGAGAAACAATGATAAACAAGAGAGGAGAATAGAAAACACTCAATTAGAACCCGAAAAGACAGCGCGTCGAGGGCAGCAAAGGCGTGCGCTGCGTGTGCGTCGCGTCGGTACCTATGGGAAGCTGGCTTGAGTTCATACTATATATTCTACAGTGATTTCAATACTGTATCTTTGCACAAAAGTACGAGTAATGTCGAAAATGTTGAAGGTGTTGAATTGTCCAGCGGTTAGCGCTGTCGATTATTGCACAGTGAACGCTGGTTTGATCTCCGCCAGTGCAGGAATTTTTGGGTCTGCAAGCACTAGTTCTTCTGAGATAAACGTTCCGCAGATGACGAACATAATTTCGAGACCAGCATTTCGAGGCAAGCATTCCGATGTATAACATATACCAAAAGACCACGATCACCAGTTATTTTTCCCTTGTAAGGAAGACTTCAGGCAAAGAGGCTGCTTCTCGATATACAGTGACCGCCAAAAAGTTGTGGACAGACCCCTTCCCTTTTTCATCGCTCATTTTCAGATGGAAAACAAAGATGAAAAAATGGTTGGAATGCATAAGGTGATAGAGATCTTCAAGAGCTACAACTCGCACATTGCATGTTTTGGAAAATATGTATTCTGAGAATTTTAAAAATCCCTAAAACAAGTCCGAAAATGGCCTCGTCACAAGTCGCGGACAATAATTCTTCGAACGCGAAAATTTTCCTTTAGGCTTTGTTTGGAGCAAAAACAGAAGTTTTCTTAACAGATAAGCATACTGTATTATAGAGCTAATCGAGGACAATAATCAGGTAGTGGTTACTTCCAAAAAACTGAGCTTGAATTTTATTTTGCTTTTTTTGAATAACTTCTAACTACCTTTTCCAAGCCAAATTTCTTCACATGGAAACCTATTCAAAACATTCTAACAAAGCTATTCAGATAAAATGGATGCTCTTTGCCATCTTCTATGCATCGGACGTGTGCTGGTGAGTTTCTTTGCTGAAAATGGCTTTGACAGTGCGTGCACATGACCCCACCTGTACCTCACCACTGACTTGTACAGCTTTGCAGGCTTGTAGCTCGGCTAGCAGTCATTCTGCGAGACTGCAAGTAGGCTCATTCGAAAGAGCGTGACTTCCTCGACAAAATTAATGGAAATGAGTTGACTTTGGCGAATCTCGGAGGTTTTACGAATGGGGTGAAAGAGCGAAGTCTCAGAGGTGAGCAGAATGAAGGATCTTATTGACACCAGAACAGTCCTAGAGCTTCGAAATGGATCTATTACAAGAAGTTGACAGTTTTTAACTTCCAGGGTGGAATTGATAGCTAAAGGAGCTTTGTTTAACCTTAGCTGAAAAATCCCTAGCTTACCACCAAAGCTGCGTTTTTCCACCCCCATCCGTAAAACCTCCGGGATTCCCCAAAGTCAACTCATTTGCCTATCTTTTGTCGAGGAAGTCACTCCCTTTCGAACGGGCCTTCTTGTAGTCTCGTAGAGTGACTGCTGGCCGAGCTACAAGCCTGCAAAACGGTGCAAGTCAGTGGTGAGATGCAGGTGGGGTCATGTGCACGCACTGTCAAGATGCATTTTCAGCAAAGGAACTCACCAGCACACGTCCGATGCATAGGATATGGCAGAGAGCATTCATACTATCTAAATAGCTTTGTTAGGATATTTTGAATAGGTTTCCATGTGAAAAATTTGGCTTGGAAAAGACATTTATTTAGAAGTTATTTTTTGAAAAAAGCAAAATAAAATTCAAGCTTGGTTTTTTGGAAGTATCGCGGGTGGCGATGCAATTGAGCAATATCATGCATGAGAGTTGCACACGATGACCCCTCAATACCAGCCGAGAAGTTCGTTTCGCGGATCGCATTGCAATCAACCAATGTTTTGAATCCTTGCTAAATAAAAAAGCTGTTGCGGAACGCCAAAGAATGGATCTACGGTGCCAGATGCGACATTCCACTCGACAAAAAGATCTCGGACTACGGACAAAAACGGGAGCTGCAGAGGGAATGATGGTGCCAGCAAGCGAACGTCTACATATACTTAGTCATTGTTACTCACACACTTCCACATCTTACACTACATAATTGCTTGTGTTGCCTTTCTATTCGCTCATTTCTTATACGTAGGATAGCACACTGGAACCATTCCTATCTTGAGTTTTCTGATCTCCTTTTGTACATCTCTTACAAGTAGTCCAAATTCCACAAGATATTCAAGACATCATTTTGGTTTGACTAATCATCATCATAGTTCCAACTGTTTGTTAGCGACTTGTCACTCTCTCATGTTACTTTGCTCCGCTGTTCATGTATATATGTCAAGAAGAGTGAGGGTTCCATTACCTAAGTTTGAGGTAATCGGCAATAAACGTGTGTCGTTCGTGTGTTGGTTGGTGCGATTCATTTGGCAAGGTTGTGGCAATCTTTCTAGGAAGTAACCACTACCTGATTATTGTCCTCGATGAGCTCTATTATATGGTATGCTCATCTCTCAGGAGAACTTCTGTTCTTGCTCCAAACAAAGACCTAAAGGAAAATTTTTGCGTTCGAAGAATTATTGCCCCGACATTGTGACGCGGCCATTTTCGGACTTTTCTTAGAAAAAGATTTTTGAAATCTTTGAAATACACATTTTCCAGAAAACACAATGTACGGGTTGTAGCTCTTGAAGAGCTCTATCACCTTATGCATTCCAACCATTTTTTCATCTTTGTTTTCCATAAAGATAAGCGATGAAAAATAGAAGGCGGCTTGTCCGCAACTTTTTGGCGGTCACTGTATTAGAGTGTCTCATTTTTTACCGTTTTTACCACGACCGTCCTCTTTTTGTGTTTTTCCTTTAATTGATATGGTTTGAGTAATCGACAGGGAAAAGCCAGCACCACAAGATGGCTATGAGGAGTCCGCCTAAATAGTATTCTACGTGAAGTTTTGAGCTGAAATCTGATAGCAGTCAAAGACGGACTTTATCGCCAAAAATCGTATTTTCTCCTCAAAAAATCTCAAAAATTTCCCATCTATCCTAGCATATGCTTGACACGTCGAGTATTCAATTGTACATTTTTCGTATTCCATGGCTGGAAATAAAGAAAAAATTGGATGGAGTAATATGGCAAACTCCGCCCCTAGACCTGAGCTCTTTTCACACAAGTGATCATATAGCTCAGACATAGAGAAGTACGATCACGTAATTGTACCCTTTGTAAGTGCTCCAGTTCTCGAGGAATACTGATGTCTAGGGTAAAAATGGTAAAAAATTATGAGACACCCTAATAGCAGCGAAATCTAAAGTTGATTTGCTTGGTTATCAACCAATCTATTTCGCTGCGATCCAATTTACAGATGCTTTAGAGAGGTGAAACAAGGTAGATTTTTGATTGAAAGACGTTGGCATAATTGTAGAATAAGGGTGTTGGGTAGAGGGAGAAAGAGCGGGTGAGGTGTTTGTGAAGCTTGCTTCCTAGTCGTCTGCCTTGAGAACGGCCAAGAATAGGCTGGCAGTACATCACCGTAACTCGATGGCTTTTCTGCTTATACAGTTATCTGATCTGTGTGCCCTAAACTGGTGCATTGCTTTTAATTACAGGATTCGTTGAAACCAATTCAGAAGGTAACATTGCGTGTTGACCCACATGGCCACATTGTTTACTGGAAACCTTGGAATGTAAGTTTTAAACCTATCAATTGTTTCGCAAGGTATTCTTGCAACGCAGTCTTTGCTGAAGCTCGTTTCTTTATATCACAACGACAGGAGGAAATTTTCGTTGGATATTTCGTCAAAATAACAATACTGGAATGTCATAGGAAATTCACTTTTTCGCTTATCTTGCTTCGACGAAAATGCTGATAGTGTGATAATTGCTTAGAAAATACTCGCTATTGTGAAGCTTCTTACATCGTTCTGAATCCGCTTGTTGAGGTCGAATCGCAGCGGAACTACATTTTCACACAGGACATCGTCGATGTTAGAACTGGTAAGGCAACGAACAGGCAAAGTGTGAGTGTTCACGTCTTCAATTTTTCCAACTACAGCCTCCATAGCCTAGAGGTTTCTTACTTCCCTACTTCGCAGAGTAATTAGTAATTTTTGTATCATTTTTTGTGCAGAACAGCGACAATATCCGCACGAGCATTCATGATAATGTGTTGGCTACATGCTTGATGACGGTGGTGGACAATGTAGATTTCATCCATCCTAACTACACAACGCTGGCCTATCTAGAGGACAACGTGGTATGTGCAGTTCTGTAAAGCTCCTCCCGTTTTCGAGCCTATTTGGTTTAGAAAAACCTTAAAACATGGGCAGAGTTTCTGTTTCAATTGTCATACAGGAGAAGGAGGCGCCACTATGGTGTGCTTCACCATGTTCGAAAACGTCTTGCTCCCTTTCTCTATGCCTCTAATATAGAAAGAGCCTCAGAACAAGAGTGAGTGAGGATTTCGTAATACGACAAGCATGACAAATCATGACAAGCATGTTTCATATTACAGTGTCAGATATTATCTGGAACGTTTGGCCAAATATGGGGACTGCTCATTATGCTGCGCTAGGACAAACAACGGGCGGCACCGTTCGTTTGAAGAAGTAAGTCAAGGTTGGTAATTGCACTATGCCTTTGCATTTGGTACTGTTGTAAAGGATAGCTACAACCACAGCTAGTTTCTTTACGCAGAGTATCTCAAAAATTTATCCAATGTTTTCGCTACTAATACTCTTGTCTGAAGAATTTGAGCAGCAGTTCCTGAAGATCAATATCGCGAAGAGCGAGTGCACGGAACTGGGAGCTCAAACAGAGACTGTACAGATCGAAGATGCGCCAATCAAGAAGACCACTACATTCAAGTACCTAGGAAGTCGTATTTGCGCAGAGGACACGGTTTAGAACGATATAGTCGCCAGAATAAACGCAGCCTGGTTGAGATGGAAAAACCTTACAGATGTCCTGTGCGAAAAGCCGATGCCACTCAAGCTGAAGCCCCAGATGTACCGTACTGAGATCCGCCCGGAAGCGACGAACGTAAAGTCATTGTAATGGGAACGCGCAGGCTACGATGAACGGCAGGCGTCACCTGATCGACCACGTCGCCCGTTCCCATCCACGCAACGAAAGTTGAAAGTTGAAAGTTACCCCAATAGTTAAGAAGATACAGGAGAGAAGAGTTCGATGGTACGGTCACTGCGAAGAAGGGAAAGAAGCCATATCTCCAGATCAGCCACATTAGTAGATATACCAAGAAATGGGCCAAGAGGAAGCTGAAATGGTTGCATATTCAAAGCGGATCTGAAAGAACTAAAAATTGAAGACGAAGAAGCCTTAGATCGCGAACTGTGGAAAAGGTACAAGAGAGTGGCAGACCCCGAGTAACCGGGGAAGTCATGGATAAAAGAATTCTTGTCCCACTGTCCTAATTCCATATATGAGCTTACCGCTGTACTGTCATCTCTAGTTCAAAAGTTAAGACAGGTGTACTATGATAGCGTTTTTCCAAAATACCATAAATCTCACTGTGTGATCTGAACTGCTGTACAATTATGTACAAAGCTGCTAGAATTAGGTGTCCAAGAAAGTTACAAAGTTTGGTTCTGGACTTTTCTGAAGTGACAGCTGATTTGCAATGATGACATTATGCAGGGAGTTCTTACCTTAACACATTTCGGACGGTGCAGCACGCTGATTTGAAGGATCTTTTTGACGTTTACAGGTTTTCTTTTGGTCCAACGTTATCAAGTCAAGAGCCTGATCTCCTAATTTTTGAATGACTTTGAAGAGCTGTGCCGTGACTTTAGTTCAGGAGATAGAACAAATTGAGCAATAGTTGCAACGAAGTGCGGCGACTCGAACTACGCGTGCCTTCGTCGCAACATTTTTTGCTGCGATTTCGAAGAGAAAAACCGAAACTTCAATAATGATGTGTACTGTGTACAACATAGATACTTTTGAATGTATTGGAGACTGAGTTCTTGTTTCTATCCTTCAAGGAAGTACAGAAGTCCCTTTCAAGCGGCGAAATTCAAATACTTCGGCTTCACTCAGAACTTTGGGTATCGAGCTTATCTGGCATGCTGATAACAGATATAGTCCACAGTTTACGAAATAAGGTTCCTTTGTTGGCTAACAGCTGAAAGTACACTCTTTCTCGCCGCGCGCGATCTCGCGGTCCGAAACGTTTTAATTCTACGATAGCGGAAGGAGTTGGAAAGACTTTTTCAATACTATAAACCTTTGCTGTAGCTAGCCCTACAGTATTCTTCATGAAGGTCCCCGAAAGCCGTCCAGACAGCAGAGTTATTAGCGATCAAACGTTTGTTACATTTTTTCGGGATACACCATATATGTAATGCAGTGTAGTAGGTTTTCCGCTCATTGTGACTGCGGTGCCGAGATTTTGCAGTAAAAATTACGCGTGAACAAATGGCTAGGCCAATAATGCCGGCCATTGCGCGCGCAAGTTAAGAGAAAACAAGGAAAAGTTGATTTCATTGACAATGTGCAGAAGCGACGACTCGAAAGTCGCTATTTTCAAGAAGAAGATAGACCTAAAAATTAGTTTTGAGTTGAAAAAATTGTTTTTTCAAAATTAGCAAGTTAGAGTTGACGTTATTCCCTCTACACCCAGAAATTTTAGTTTCGTTGAAAGTTCCGCAAGTGGCTTTTCTACCGAAAACCTTTGATAGATCAACATAGACATCGATGAATTGTTCGCTGTTCAGTGCCGAAGCCTAATCAATTAAGCTATCACTAAATCAGATCCGTGACGATTGCTGAAATGACAGTCCGCAGTGGAGAATCTCGCCAGCACCAATATATTATATTGAATAATATTAGGCTGGAAACTAAGTTTTGCAACTGGTTTTATAACTTCACTCTCTTTGGATATGGCGCACTTAAACTTTGGCATTATATAGAAAGCATTGTGAGCTACAAGTGAGCACAAATTGTCTAAATTTTAAAGGCGAAATAGAAATGTTTCAGGCGTTTTTCGAAAACTAATGAAATTTGAGAATTTTTGGGGAAGCTAAAATGAAGCCTTTGGCTGCCTAGACCATGCCAGTAATCCGGATTCGTCTATAAATTATTGCTGGAGGTCGACTCCTTTGGCATAATAAGAAAGAAACAAAATTTAGGGGCATGTCGTGATTTGGCGTCCTTATAAAGTCGAACGAGTCGATGTACGCAAGAGCTGCTGGGGACGACCGTCAATGACTAAAGAGTCCGAAGCTCAAATTCCACCTAGACTTAACATAGTAAGGTTATTTGACCTGCCAAACGCGAGTATCACATTCATTCGTTGAATCAACGCCTTCTTCCTTGTTTAGGCTGAGACCCCATATCGTACACCTACAGCGATCCTGCAAAAAAGCCCTTATCACGCAATTTTACTATCGTTTTCGTGATCAGCATGTTGGATAACACCCCTACGCCAAGTTTCAGCCAAATCCGTCAAACTTTAAAATTTCCTCTTCATACCATGCACCTACCGTAACCCTCACTGCGACTTCAAAATTTGGTAGGACAGCAGCTGCGCTTGTAGCTTACGTAATAACCAACGCAGTGGCTAAATTTGAGTGCGCCATGTTGAGTGAGAGGGAAGTTATGAGACCAGTTGCAAAACTTAGTTTCCAACCTAATAATATAATATAATAATAATAATATAATATATTGAATAATATTGAATACATATGCAAGCGGAACTTCCTTCCCACAGCAGAGCCAGTGTTTCATTTGACTTGGTCAGATCTTGGTTTTCAATGAAGCCTTACAAGACTTTAAGAACTGATGACGTCGTCAACAATTTCCACTCTATAAATAGGCCTTCCGCGCAAGGTTCAAGCTCAGTCTCTGATCGTTGAACTTTTCAGCATTCCTGGTTAGTAGCTAAAACTCATCCCAAATCGGTTTTGCCAGAAAATTAAAGCCATTTTTGGGGAGGTTCACATACAACTTTTCTTGCATGAAAGGTTACAAAAATATTGCATTTTCAATGCCGTTATGGTAATCTACCGGTTCAGTTGTCTCATCCGCTTCATAAACTATTATCCTGGTTTGGTTAAGGCTTTGCATCCGATGCCTCACCCGGAATGTTTTCCCTTTTTTCTACGAAAAGATGGTGCCTTTTTGGCTGAGAAGCAGAGTACTCTTCAAAGTATCCAAGGAGCTGCACACAATTCCATGAGCTTGCTAGATCAAGCACTGAAGGACAATCGAAAGAATTGAAGATCTAACGAAGCACAGAAGCCATTTGTGAAGTGGAGACATAAAATGCCGTGAACGCACTTACGTTTTGGAAAGAGAAAATCATAGGTCAGGTCATGGGACAAAAAGGAAAATCTTGTTCGATCTGACGATAAGACGAAAGCATAGTGCACCTCGAACGTACATGTATGAAGGCGCGAGTAGAATGTGGCTGGAGAAGTAAAGGAACAATATTATCTCGTTACATCATTAGTGGTACGGCAATGTTTCGAACCGCGATTGAGCAGCCAGCTGTAGAATTTGTTGACCACGACAGAGAATTTTTGGGACATGAACATAGACAAAAAGTTGCTTTCAATTGAAAAGTCTAGAAAATTGTATTAGGCATCAACCAACACTAAACATGCCAATGTTCAATTGATGATTCAGGAAGGCACATCGATTATGGCAGACGAATCACGGAAATGTGCGGATATTACTGACCACTCTTTGGTGCAATTACTCATCTCTATGGGAAAAACCGACGAACTTTGGAATGTATATGAACAAATGTGAGTTCATTTTATAACAAGCACACAGCTTGTGAAGAAACATCGTACAATCATCGTGGAGACTAGGGAGCCCTCAATAGTGGGTTGTCCAGGGTGGCTTTGAGGACTGACAGGGCGAAATTTTCGTAAGGGCGTGGCTGATGCCACAATCCTTCACAACTTCACTGTTTGCACAAATCTAGAAGGCTTCTTTGGCTTCAAGGGCTTGTTAACTTGGAACGGCGGATTACCAAACGTGTGATGTTTTTATCAATTTACAGAATTACGAAGAAATTTGCCGCGCGTCTCCTTTACTGAAAACTTTATGTTTTCAAAGAAAGGCCACGAAACATTTTAGGAGTTGCTGAAATCAATGATGAATGCTAATCTCGGAATGCAATCCTTATCTGTGAAACGCTTTTCTGAAGAAGGCTGTGGCATCAGAAATAAATTTGCAAGAACGCTGCTTTTAAAGGGAATCTTACATGCGACTCTCTGTATATTGAAAGACCACGCTTTACGCTGCGCTATTCTTCTAAGATAGCTTTATTACAGTGTTTTTACTCGAGGTGATGCATTTACATGGTTAAACCTATATATTCTCAAAATAAATGTTTCGCAGATAAATGCAGTTTCAAAGCCACTATTAATCAATGACTTCAGCAACATATATCTGATTTCAAATGGGCATTTCGACAAAAAAGGTATTACCTTGTTTCTCTGCTAAATGAGTTATTGGAGTTGCTAACCCAGACAATGTTTGCTCATTCTCACCTCTGATACTTACAGTAGATAAGGCATCGTCAAGGCAAATTTGGGCACTTTGAGATAACATGTTAAAAACCGCTTCTGGGGGCCTAATTAAGACACCGCCCAAGCGGCAGCGCCAATTATGCACTGGCTAAGAAGTTCGCCTCCGAACTGAATCCCGGTATCTTATCAACAAACGAATTGTTTCGTGCTTGCATGCGTTTGCGGAAGACTCACGCGAAATTGATTCGTGGTATGAAATCATGCGAGCATGATGCAATTCGTCCATTAGTACGATATAGGTCTTATTTTTGAATGAATATCCCATCATTTGAGCTGCATTACTTCCATGAGATCCCCACGCATCCAAATTTGCCTGGACACTGCCTCTAAGGTACGTACACTTTACAAAAAATAAATTTTGCCTCCTCGTTTTGAAGTATTTCTGCAGTGAAGTTAGAATCATGAATTTCTGTCTTACTGGTGAAAAAAGGAAGCTACGTCTTCATTCTTATAAGGACTAACTTAGATTCGCCTTCCAGAATGGAACACATATATTTGGAATCATCTTCAAACGAAAATTCCAAATATGCTTTTCCTAGCTGATGCGCATCGTTCAGAAGCGAGTTATAAGTTTGCTGTTGTGAGTAATTGACATAATTTGGATATGAGAAGAACGGCCTGTAAATAGGAATTTGCTCGGAAAAAGTGAAATTTTGAAGTAGCTGAGATTAAGTCTTTGGATCTTAAAAGGGCGCATTATGCAGCTGCAAACCCACTTAGATGTTGCATCGTAGCATCAGTGGATGAGCACGCCAATTTTGTGCAGAAAAAGGACCATAACTCGCTTCAAAATAAAGCTCAGCAGCTAGGAACAGCATATTTGAAATCAGCGTTCGATGCTGATTCCAAACTTATGTATCTTATATCAACAGGCAATTCTTAGTTGGTATTTTTCCCTTGCTAGTTACAGGTACACTATTGCTGCGAAGTGGGAGTTTTTGCAATTGCTTTGCGCTTGATTGTTTGGAAAGAATAATAAGATTTATATCCAACGCTCCTTAGTACTGGGATGTATTCTTTTCGAGAATCACATGATGACAAGCATCTCAAGAAGATAATTAGATATTTCAAACCTCTAGATCAATGTCCTTTCACAAATTCTATTTTCTCAATTTTTCCAGTTTTTCTGGGAGCATTTCAAATTTGCATGGTAGTGTTTCATAGTTTCTCACCGCCCTAACCTTCAATCTCAAATTGAAATTTTTCCGCTTTTGCTGCCAATACTATATCTTACAAACGCGCGAAACCTTGAACACAAGTTACGGCAAACATAAAAATCCAAATCAAAGTCGGCTCTGCTATCCTGATTGAATGATTAAGAAAAAGATACAGGTTGCAATATAACTCGAAAATCTCTATTCCAGACGTGATAAAGATGAAAACACTGTATCCTTCGAGAATTTTCTTCGTTTTTTGAATACGTATCAACGTGATCCGCGCCTCAACGAGGTAGATCATCCACGAATGAGTGACCGCATGTTGAAGAGAAGACTTGAAGTAATTGGCCATTCGTCAGGTATAGGCGATTCCCATGCGTATAGCGGGCGTGGCCCTGCAGACATTTGAACAGGTTGAAAAACTTCTTGAACCTCCACTCTAAAGCATTATTTTTTTACTCTCTAGCTGCCAAAAACTGCCGCGCGCATACGTTGGCAGACGTCGGCAAAGCTCCGCCCGCTATAGAGTGGGGAAGGACGATATCTTTTTTATCGTTGCATTTGTTTGAAATATATTTTTTTGCTTTTAGGCACCAGTGTTACATTTCAAGCATTTGTTCACTTCTTGTGGAGTGATTTTTGCACCGATTCTTTGAATATGTCTATAGAGGAAGGTAATGGCATTCATTCAAAGCTGACATCGCGAACTTCTTTTTAGTTGCTGACATGATGCATGCTCCTTTGTCTCAGTATTTCATTAACTCTTCTCACAATACATACTGTAAAGGTACGATAGTTTTGCTTCAAAAGGAGATTACCGAAAAAATTCGCATTTTTCAACTCCTAATAGATAGAACACTGTGTGTCCTTACATTTTAATGACTATCACCACATGCGACTGTTCAAGGACTTCAAGTCAAGGTGGCTAAAATCTTGCATTTTGCTCCGCACAAAGAAGCCATAGCTGACGTAGAAATGTACAGACAGGTAATAGTGATCGTTGCAGCCTGTTATACGGACTTTCGTTTGCAGGTTCTCCTATCTGGATGCAGATGTGTTGAACTTGATGTTTGGGATGGAGCACATGGACCAGTAGTCACGCATGGTCCGTCCATAGTGATGCGCATGAATGAGGTCCCCCTGAAGGTAGACTTCGCAGTGTCTTGTGCTGCGTCAAGATTTGGTTCAATTCGGTATCATTGCTAACTGCTGTAAGAAATAATACTTTTAGGAAGTGTGCGTGGCCATCGCAGAGAGTGCGTTCAAAACTTCTCCCTATCCAGTACTGCTGTCTATCGAAAATCATCTAAGTAAGCAGCAGCAGAGGCAAATGGTAGCTATATTCCGAGAAACCTTTCGTGAACATCTGCTTGATCGCCCACTGCCTAATTATGCGGTAAGCTCTAAATTTTGAGTTGAATTTCAACAATTCTGGTATTCAGCTAGAAGAGCATTCACTGCTTCCACCTCCAAATGTTTTGAGGAAGAAAATCTTGATAAAAGCAAAGCGAAGGCGGGATAACGAAGACAATGAAAACTTAGATGATGATCGGAAATCTAGCATAGCATCTTCAGTTTCGGAGGTGAGTATATGGATGCACGCCTTTGAATCTTTCTTTTTCTATGTAATCTAACACTCTGCTAATTATCTTAAAGCAAGTTTTCTTTCTTACGTATTGTGTGTCTATCATTACGAAAAAAGAGCTGCTTTCTTGGAAACTTTTTTATTGATGGTGGTGGCTGCATAACACATGGAATACACCTTTAAAGGCTGTGGCTCGACAAGTTCTTGACCTGGAAATCTCTTGCTCACTTGGAGTTCGATGGGATGATCTCAGAAATCCACCTTGGGGTGGTTGAAAAGGAGTGGAAATAGCATTTTTCGAGCTTTTCGTTTTGAACTCGGATGAGTCAAACAGCTTCTGGCACGGTTAGAGACGCCTAGTTGTTGCGGAACCGTTATAAGAGTGCGGCATGCCACCTCCGATGGTGCTCAGACATTTGCGGCTAACTCGACCGCATAGAAAACTATGTAGCGACAGAATAAGTGCGGGTACGGCGCAACTTGTGCTCACCACTGTTCTCAAAAGATTTTTGCAATGCATTTTTCAGCCATGTACACAATGTGAATAAAGTGACTTCAGTATTTAAGCTAGGCTTACCGTAGCTACAGTAACAGAGATAGTTGATTCGTCCTATATCGTAAATCTAAGCTAAAGCCAGCTCTACAAAATGGTTCATACTCTCAAAAGAGTTCATGGCAAGAGTTATTAACAATCAAACAGTAGGCACATTTTTTGGGACGCCTTGTATATGTTTTGGAAGAGTACGTTAAAGCTTACAGTACCCTTTAGTACCTGCTATTTGATTCCAAGTAAATCTGGTTCCATCAGCTAACCAAACATCGCTTCGATCGTCGTCGTTTCCTCCGAGCCTATGCCAGAGACTGAAAACACGACAGTTTAGAAAAAAGAGAGAATTAGAGGAACCGAGAGTCACTAAAATTACTTCTGCTTTTTGCCGCGTTAAACCAAATCATGATTCAACAAACTTCATATCGCCATGGCCGTAAACAGGGTTTAATTGTTTTGAGCCAGAAGTTTCAAGCTGTTCGCTATTGTGAAAAAGGGTCCTTTTTGAATGGTTATTCTCTGTTATTTGTGACTCATATGCATAGTGCATTTCATGCGCGCTTCTTGGCACCTATGAGATTGAACCTGCTTAACTTTGTTTTTTTTTGTTTGCTTGTCCCGTTTGATTTGATTGGATATGTATCAGTTAGCAGACCGCACTTCTACAGTTTGTAATGATGAGTTACGAGTAAAGATTGTGTTTGGCGCATTGTGTGCAGGCTCACAGATTAAGTAATAACTTGACGAAATGTTCTTCACAATGACAGGCCTGTAAGCTGAGAAAAGATATGCACGCGAGACCCTCGGAAGCACAGATAAGCACCACTTTTGATGGAGTCGCTCTCAAAATATTTCGCTCGAAGCAAAAGTATTCCATTGGGTATAGCTACGAGAAATCTTTTGGATCAGCAAAAGTAAATTCAATGTCAGTAGTGCTTGCAGCAAGGAACTGCGGATATGCTAATCCAGTGCTCCTTTCTCCTGATACTTTCTTGGCATATTCAGAAACCATAGAGCTTGCAACTCACTCAGTTGCGTTACCAGTAAACCTGCTATGTATCCATTTGATGCAGTACTTAACGAATAAAAATTGACGAAATTAAATTAAAATCAAAATCAAAATTAACGAAATCAAAATTAACGAACAAAAGGCGACCGCTCGCACTGACGCAGTCTGCGTCTCTTTCGCGATCAGGCTCTGATCATTCCCTAACCTTGATTAGGCCTCAAAGTCCCGCTTTCCAGCCGCCAGTCCCATTGAGTCGAAGGATAACAACCTAATAATCAGGACTTTTCGCAATGCTTCAGTCACTGTTTTTAGCGGAGCGATCTGCAAATGCTGGATGAAGAAGTGCGTAGGTTGCAGTTGTTTCCTGACGAAGAAGAGGCTACCTCAGAAGAGTTGTCAGACATGGTTAATTATCTCACTGCCGAGAAAATGCCGCACACGTGGAATCGTCTGTACCTTTGCATCTGATTTGAAACTGACGCAAACGACATTAACATTTGCAGAAGATCCGCGGTTGTACTTGATGTGCTCTCTCAACGAGGATACTGCCGCCAAAATTTACAAGGATACCGCACAGCAGCAAGCCAATGAACTTGTGAAGCACACATCGAAGCGTATAGTCCGTGTCTATCCTTCTAATATGCGATTCAAATCTGATAACTTCCTTCCTAACGTAAGCCATCATCGTACTTTTCGCATTCATAGGTGAGCCTGCCACTTGTCGCGCACTAGTCTCAAATTTTTCCGCACTTCAAAAGTACTTTTCTGCAGAGGTACGCAAGTATGGAGTTCTTTTCAAAAACCATTAAAACAGAATACTTTCTTTTCATAAAAATAAAAAAACTTGTCTGGTTTAGATCTTTTGGATGATGGGAATGCAGATGGTTGCACTCAATTTTCAAACAAACTGCCTAGAGATGCTGATAAATTATGCCATGTTTGAACAGACTGCGTGGTGCGGGTAAGAAAATTTTCTACAGTTTTTGTCAATTACGTATCCCCTTCGCGAGGAATCACGCATGCGCAACTCGAGGGCTTTCCACGTACCTTTCATCGACCAGTTTGATTGCCAAGTCATACGCGCGCGACGTGGCGAAGCTTTGGCTTGGCGATTGAGCTTACGGAAAAGAAGACATGTGATTGACACAGACTGTATGTTTTTACGCACGATATCTCTGCTCTGAAGTGGAAGAGAGAGAAAGTTGATTTGTTTTATGACAAGCGCATTCACTGGAGGGCTGTAGAGAGATTTGGTTTTTAAAATTGAATCATACTTGTGTGACTGTTTAGATACGTGAAGAAGCCGGATTGTTTGAATGATTCCTCTCTGGATTTTAACTTCTATGGCGAAGTTCGGAACATCCCGCACCGGATGCCCGTCACGTTAAAAGTCACTGTAAGTCTTATATCTTACATTCGCAAAAACTTTGTGAAGTGTGTAATCGATTACGTTACGTCATGTGTGTCAGTAATTGGTTGTTGACCCAAAAACTGGGTTTTTGGTGGTCATTCACGACACCTCGACGTGCTCGTTTTTTTCAAGCGGTGTGAACTGAATTATGGGTTTGCCGATCTGGTGGATACGAAGCCAAGTTTTTCCTCAACAAGTGCATATCTAAACCTTGTCTGAAGATAGAGGCGCGAAGGCATCAGTGTTGAGAACGAACACATCAACTCCAGAATACCAATAAGTCCTCATAATGGGACACTCAGCTCACTCTGCAGCAACAAAACGAGCAGTCGTCCGCAATATTACAGGCCACGAGAAACGGCTCGAATTACGAAAGCTGGCACTACTGTGCAGGGTAACGGATATATATTACATTGACTCGGGAAGAACTCTCCCACTTCCAATGCCTATGTCTTCAAACAAAGTAACAATAAGTTCTTCTTTTGCATCCTATTCATATCAGATTAAGTTACTGCGGCAATTGAACGATTCACGTAACTGAACTGCAAATTAATGTGATATTAGTCAATATACTAATGACTTTAAAAAGCAGGTAGTTTGGATTGGATACGATTTTACGATTATATATGGCCGTTTCCATAAGTTCGTAGCGTTTTTAAACCAAGAAAATTAATTTACAGTGAAAATCAATCAAAATTGTATTCCTCATTGTAGCGCACGGCCTTTTGGCACATTCTTGTTGGCTCCTCGACCTCAATTTTTCAAACGGCAGCGCGCCGGGCCCCAAGAAATCATCTAACCAGTGCCCAAACTGCTTACTAAAATCGAGACATGCATCATTCATGAGGTTTGCCAGGGAGGAGCAAATGACAATCTGATAGAGCAAGGTTTGGAGAGTACTTTGGGTACTGAAGTACCTCCCACTCAAATCGTGCAGGACAGTTTTGACGATGTTTGCCGTATGACGCCATGTTTCGTCATGCAGAAAAACTCACTGGATGTGTCTGTTAGGCTCTTTCCGCGGCAGGACCTGATCTAAACGGTGCAGTTGGATTGCTTACGGTATGGTTGACCATCGCCTACCTGTACAGCAATTTTCAGTGCAAGACGTCCTGCCCGTCCCCCGAAAAGTCTGTTCAGGGACATCCTGCTCAGCCCTTGATCTTTTATAGCAATCCAATCCTTTTTTGTCTCATATTGTTGTGCTCCATGTTCCAGAATCGACGCAAAAATCTGTGCAAAAGAGCTTCTTTTTTCAAAATGCGTAAGTATCGAGAGTGCTCCTTTTTGCTCAAGATTTCCATCTTTGGAAGCTGCGAGATCCGAATGAATCAGCTTCCCACTAGAATCAAAAGACGTACTTCAAAAAGCACAATCAGCCCTTCCAAATGATATACTCGCCTTGCCGCAAATCAACCGCTCCTCAAAGATATGAGGCCGAGAATGAAAAAAACGGGTTTAGAGCTGGGTACGCTAGCCAGTGATTCATGTAGGGTCTATTTCCAAAATTTCGCGTCTCTTCTTTGCCACCCTCTCTCCCAGGCCGTTTCTGAATGATCAACTATTTAGTTCCAGGTTCTTTCTTCTATGTTTCTACCGGAGTTTGAGGACACCTCCTATGTTGTTAAGATGAAGTTGTTGGATATGCCACCATATGAGGACCCTACTTTTCAAGTTCGTTCTACGAACCGAAGTGGTATTTACACTAATTTCGAGAAGCAAGCGATTTTTAAAAGAAAGGTAAGCATTTGCATCAGCAAACAAATTAATTTTTCAAGTTAATCAGATAAGGTATCAAAAGCTGCACTTTTTTAGCGCATTGATTTTCTATACACGGGAGCGGTATTGTAGGTCGTTGTTTGATTTGTGATATTCAGCGTTGCGCGATGAGTTTCAATGCCATCATTGAGCATGAGAAAGGCATACAGATAGGCCCCTTGGTAAACCCTCAATAGGGCATGTTGCCTGGGGCTGACCTGAGTGGATCTTACGGCACTTCAGTTCAGCATCCGGCGAGCTATCGATCTAGACGCTGGTCGCTTTGTGGATGTGAAAAAAGAGCGTTATTAAGGAAGAGACAGCGACAATAATTGTGCGAACGTAATCAGATGGTTAATTGGTGGCCACCATTCAGTCGATGATGATCGCTAGCAAGAATTTCGCCTAGCAAACGAACAAGTTAAACGAAATTATGATATTTCGGCGTGATATTTTGAAAATCACAACTTTCGGAACAGGATAGAAGGAGGTAAAAGACAAATTCTTATTCTATGTCTAAATCTGTTCGTTAGACACTATCACGGGGTAATACGCTTGGATCATCTCCCATGACTCGATCGAGAGACTTGACTTGAAGCTCACATGTAAGGTGACGTTCGGTTAGTATAGCATGGGGAAATGGGCCGTCGTCATTTCACTGTCGCAACCTCACATGGGAGCCTCAGGAGAGATCATCTCTCCTGAACGACCTTTATAACGGGCTATAGTGAAATCAGTGCGAACCCTGCGGAGCATATTGAAAAGATTCACTACGCCTATCCCTCTTCAAGTGATATACTATCCTTTGCTATAATCATGATGAACGGAAGCGTACTGCCGTATGAGGCATTTTTCAATTCAGTTTACATGATTAGCCAATTATAGCCAGTACGATCTTTTCTTCAAATCACTTGCTTTTTTCAAAGTTAATGGAAACATCATAAAACTATGCTGTTCAGTAGTGCTAACAGTTTGATACGCACAATCGAGAGAATGAACTGATCAAAATCTTGTTCTAGTATTTTGTTAATTTATTCTTATCGTTAGTAAAAACATGCCTAACGCTATTGTAGATAACCAGTCATACTAATAGAGAACGCATGCTTCCGCAGCCGCACAACTTCCTCGATGTTTCCCGATGATCCCCAGCAGCCAGCCGCCTTTTTCTGAAAGTTATTTTTTCTTGAAATCAGTGGAAACGTTGTGCTTCTTCGTATAAGTCTGAAACTTTGAATACTTTCGTCGTAGTGTGTATACAAGTTATAGTTTTTATTTTCACCTCTGCACTTTCCTTGTTAGTTGTGAACTGCAAGCTATAGAATTTCATCTTCTCTTCTGATGATTCAGTCATTGCAGATCCTACTGGCCGAAACAGCATTTCTACAGATTCGCGTCTTTCGTGTTACAGATGATGAGCTTGTCCCATTTGCATACAGAATACTCTCAATCAACACGCTTCAGAATGGTACAGTCGAATGTCACTGAGTGTGCTGAACTTTTGACATATATTTGCCACATAAGGGTACCGTCACGTCACCCTTCGTACTCTTGGCAATCAAAATCTCGGCCCGATTTGTTTGCTCATGTACTTCGACATCTTCTTCTACGTTCTTGGAACACAGATATGTTCGTTAAGCTACTAGAACTTTTCTATGTTCCTCCAAGTTCACTTTCAGCAGTCCACAGTGCTTATATGAATCCATTTTCTGCTGCGAAGAAAGAAGAATCGCTTTCTCTTGCGCTGAGACATCCTTTCGCAAGGCGTCAGGAAATTGCTGAAGACGTGAGTTTCCACTTTTTCACTATAATCAAAGCACACAGGTTATCTCAACGGGCAATGACATTTGTATTTGGTAATAGAAAAACATTGGTGAGGTAAGTGAAGTGATAGAAGGATACCAAGTTGCGCTAGCGATCCCAATGCATATACTGTTGCAATTCTCTCTCTCCTAACTGCTGAATTATTCTCTAGGGAAATAATCTTAGGACTATGAAATCCTAGATTTGGCAAGCGTACCGGAACATTCATTCGAAAAGTTCTATAAGATTTTTCGCCCATTTTTCTAAAGAGTGTGTTTCTTCCTTCTAACACTCGACACCATTCCAATCGTGTTTTCTCAATCTAAACTCCGAAGAATACATCATCACCTCATTTGTGCACACCCTCAACACTCAAATCTCTCACTCAGACTCATCCCATACTTATTCGCATTATCTACTTCATCGCTTCAACATTGTGATGTATACATCAAGACCTTATAATAACGGGCTAAGGGTTGTTTACGTGTTTTTGTGTGTGTGTGTGTCCGTCTGTTACGAAATTCGTAGAGCGTGTTCCAGCCATCGTTCTAAGCCCAAATTTTGCATAGCGCATGCTACCTTCATGAAAGCTCAATATGTAAAAGCACGAGTAGATTCGTTGAGTGGATCCCTCAGAAATTGCGCGCCAAACGGGTCCACCTGGCTTCTGTCCCGCAAAATTGGGCCCGTATCACCACTTTTTGCAAAGTCGTGGATGTGTTTGGTAAGCAAATGTGCAAGCGATGGACTTTAGCCCGAAAAGTGGTCAAAAGTTTACGATATAACGAAAACGGCGCCAAAAAGAATTGGTTGCGTAAACGGTCAGTTTGCCAAGGTTCTAGCCAAGCATTTGAGAAGATTTTCGCACAGAAATGTATCTCGTCTAAAATATATGGACAGTGACGATTTTAGCCTGTGGTGCATGAACGGACGATGACGATAATGGAGGGATGCATTAGCTAGCAATAACCAGTGGCGACAGCAACTTTCATGTAAACACAATATTCTTAACATGTTGACGACGTTTTTTCGACGTCGTCAACATCAACGTCTGTCCCTGTGGACGAACCGTTTCCGGGCATTTTCACAGCTGGCTGCATGTATGTATGCATGCATTTATGCGCAAGACTTGCCAAAAGTGCGCGGCAGCTCCGTCCACTTTTGGCAAGCCCCTCCCACTTTTCAAAAATACCGGGAATTGCACAAAATTCACGAATCCCTGCAAATTCCAGCACTTTTGAAAAGTGGGCGGGGCTTGCCACTGAGGGGGCGGAGCCTACATAACGGGGGCTAGGTTAAAATTAAGGTTATTTTGAGTTCCCCATCATCTACGAGCTTTTCTATGCTATCTGAGAAGGAAAAGTTTTTTGTGGAGGGGAACAGATTGGGCGGAGTTTGCCAAAATTGGGCGGGGTCAACATGAAATACTTCCAAACCTAAGTTGGTTATGTAAACACAAATCGGAACCATTGTGCACAATAGAACTGATATTTTGGGTGTCGACACACAACATATCCTGCAATTGCGCGACACGCAATTGCAGGATATGTGGTTGACATAGTTGTATGTGCCTGCGTCATCAGCACAGTCATTTATGTTGATTTTTCACAACATTATGTTGTGATTTGATAACATTACGGCTACGACGTGCCCTCCTTTGCACCCCACTTCCTCACAAGTAATCCCGTACTTCTAAAAGCAGTTCGTGTTAAAGGCCTCCAAAATGGGGATACCTGTGGGTCTCCGCTTTAAAAGCTTTCAAATCGGTTTTGCTACCCTTGCGCTCTCGAATAAAGTTCTGTTCCTTCTTCTGTTTGCTGAGGCAAACTAGGATCTTTTCATATCCCTACTGAAACAGAATAGATAGATACATAAATATTTGCTTTTACCTGTGTATCTTTGATATAGGTCAGTGGTTTTAATAGAATAAAGAAAATGTACGTAAAATCATAACGGGGGGGGCTGGATCTTTCTACATTTAGTTTTGCACAAAAGAATCAAATAGTGGAGTTGAAGAAAGCAGATTTTGAATGGCGCAGCGTTAGATAAATACCACAGTTACGCGTACCACGGTTCTGTGTCCATGGCTATGTAACAATATATTGACCCCCCCCCCCCACCCCTCCAATCGAGAAGAAACTTACTTCAGCGAATGTTGATTGCTTGATCTAGTTGATACTGAGTTTTGATCTGGTGACGAAATTGGGGGGAGGGGGGAGGGCGCTCACTTTTATTTCCAAAGGAAACTCTTAAAGGGAGGGAGAACGAGGCAGGACCCAGGGGTCTCTCACCAGACTCCTTGTAGTTCTGTCTCAAAAGATGAGTCAACCAATGGTTGGTACAAGATGACTATGAATATTTAGGAAAATCTAGCTAGCTATGATCATGACAGCACTGCAAATGGTATCTCAATCTTTTATTGACAGAGAGTAAAACATTACCCAGTAAAGGATCTGGAAGAGAAGAACGGTCGGATGTCGAAAAGATGTCGTTTCAAATCACAGTACCAAACCTATATAACAAATATCGAATGTAAAAGAATGTGTTGAAGATTAATATTGACATATACAATCATATCAACCACATATCCTGCCAATGCAAGTTGAACAATACGATGTACACATACATGCAATCACAGCTGTTGCCACTGGCTGTTGCTGCCAAGTGCAGCCAGTCAGTAATGAGTTCTTCCTTTTATGGCATCGCAGCCCATTTTCATGGTCCATACGCTATGAGTAGACATCACTAATTAATGACAAATCGTCGGTACTGCGTTCTATTACTTCTGTTTGTTGTTAAAATAATGGTTTAAGCTACCGTTTAAGCGGTTCTGCGCCCTACACGTAGGCTTTTAAGAACACACATCTGTGTGTCATAATTACAATGTTGGTCTAGAATCACGTCTTATGCAAAGCGTGAGTTCTGGGCGCACCCAAATTCGTGTGGCTCTTTACAAGCTGAAGACTTGAGGGGAGGGACAAAAGAGGAGACCGAGGACGGAATTTAGGACAAACTCACCACTTGGATGCTTTTTGCTCATTCGCTCTTGCTTATGTTTGCGCGTTCAATTACTGTACACTCAATGTACAAAGGTTTTGCCGGGTTGCTGCTTGATACTACTTCGAACCTATTTTGTCATAGGTATACTCTTTTCAAAGAATCGAAGAATATCTGGGCAAAACATGAAACTCTAGTTACACGTCAGAGGCAACGCCGCGCACGAAATTTCATTGTGTCTAAGGGGCAAAACACGATATTTCGCCGGCACTAGTCTCAAATTCTGTTGCCATTAGTAACATTGTGTCAAGAGCGCTGACTCTTGTACTAATTGTCGTCGGTTCCGCCATCGCTTCGCGAAATCGCGCATCGTAAGCCCTAATTCGTTCTTTGGGCTGGAGCGTTTTTCTTGCTCATCTAGGGCCCAATATGGGTCGGTTGCTGGGGTACTCAAAACAGAATGCCCTTTAACTCCGTTAGGATTAGGAAATCTACTTTGGCCCTTATCAAATACCTATCGACTTCCAGCTTTCGATTTTACATGCACGCCCAGGGAGTGAACCTGGAAAAAGAAATGTAATGTTTTCGCTGAGGCGCGTTACCTAACGACGCGGTGGAACAAAATGGAAGCAAATACAGAGGAGAGGTAGTGATATGATTCTGTCTTTGCCTAAAGATAGATTTCTGACCGATAAAGTGGTCCATGATAGAGAAACTCAAACACAACTTATGTACTCATAGGAGTATGTATTCCCTACTGACTAATCGTTTGGTAGCGTCCTGGAGAAATCTTTTTGGCTACTTTTTGTTCCAAAGAGGAAGTAAGTCTGCCTTCAAAATACGCTTTGCCGGGACCTGAACTCAAACATGCCATTGATTTCAAAGTGCAGTTAGGAGTACGAAAACGGCGAAAATTGGCAATCCGAAGCAGCTGAGGGTAAAGGCATGAATTCCGTCAGTATGCGCCGCCTCTGCTGACTACGGCTTTTTGCCCGTGCTCATACCGTGTGAGGACAACTACTTAGTACGTGGTCGCTAGTAGAATAATTCGTTCATTGCTCACCACAGTCCGCCTATTTGGAAACAAGGAGCCATTGTGGGTTTTTATAGTCATATGTGTTTCGATATGCGCATTTTCATGCAGTATGAAATGGGTTGCTGACAATATGTCGCCGCCGAAAGGCTCCACTAACGCGAGCAGCTAATACAAGCTTGTGATATATAGAGGTGCACGGTTTGTTAGCTCCACTTGAAAGTTCTCCTTTCGAAGATAATGTCCTCAACCCGTTTGAATGCGCTGACTCGATGGAAGTGGCCGTCCCACAAAAGGTGGCTGTGTCAGAGCTTTCAGAGCGGTCTTCTCGCTTCAGAAGCGAAGGTATGCGCTTGGCCACAGCTTTACTAGGATGAACACCACTTCAACGCGTTTCGTTATCTTCTTGACTGCTCCGACAGCAAGCCCGAAGGCAACGAAAATACAACCTTTACCACCTATATGACTGTCTGACTATTAAGACAAGATTAGTCAACAAAAATCAGTGAATTCAAAGCTTAGAATACCCTGAATGGATGAAAATCATATAGTTCCAGGATACTTATCGCCAAGCCATTCTCGGTACCGCAACGAAACTAAGCGGTGAAACTTCTCGGTCAGACAGTGCACCTCCTGCTCCTTCTAAAGCGTTGACCACAAAGGCTGCTGGGTGAGTGAAAGTATGAGTCAATCCTTGTTTGCTGCAATTGTGACTTCAGAAAACTGCATCGGATTCGCAAATTTCTCTTCGATTGACGCGTCCCCGAAAGCTGTGCCTTTTCAAGGTTTCTCATAACCGATGTCAAGGCTGGAGATGAATAGGCAACAGAACTATGCATAATCAAAGTTTGTTGAAAAAATGAACAATTGCCAACAAATTGGATGCATGTGCATGCTGTGTTATAACCCTTTTAGAGAAGATATCAAATCGCTTTTCTTGCGATGTCGAGAGCAATTGGACGAGTATCCCAAATCTCGAAATTAATCGACTTTATTCGTAACTAGTTGGCTTTCTCGGTCCAGGCGGGGCCATTGGCTGCGGAATAGATGCTATGGGTTGTCAGCAAGATTACTGCACTGCGAGCCCCCCCCCTTTCCCATGTTATGGATGACTTAGCCTGGGACATCCACTTCATATCGCATCTTCGTGGTCCTAAAGTGGAAATGTGATTTACCACTCTCGTTCACGTGACTATGGGAAAATGCTTGGTTGCAACATAATAAGTCTTCACTTTCGCAGAAAAACGTAAAGAAATCAATAAATCGATAGAAGGACCCAACGAATCGTTGTAAAAAATAGCCAGTTATCTGCGTGGGGGTTGAAAATGTGTGTGTGTGTGTGTGTGTGTGTGGTGTGTGTGTGGTGTGTGTGTGGTGTGTGTGTGGTATGTGTGTAATGTGTGTGTGGTGTGTGTGTGGTGTGTGTGTGGTGTGTGTGTGGTGTGTGTGGTGTGTGTGTGGTGTGTGTGTGGTGTGTGTGTGGTGTGTGTGTGGTGTGTGTGTGGTGTGTGTGTGGTGTGTGTGGTATGTGTGTGTGGTGTGTGTGGTGTGTGTGTGGTGTGTGTGTGGCGTGTGTGTGGTGTGTGTGTGGTGTGTGTGTGGTGTGTGTGTGGTATGTGTGTGGTGTGTGTGTGTGTGTGGTGTGTGTGGTGTGTGTGTGGTGTGTGTGTGGTGTGTGTGTGGTGTGTGTGTGGTGTGTGTGTGGTGTGTGTGTGTGGTGTGTGTGTGTGGTGTGTGTGTGGTGTGTGTGTGGTGTGTGTGTGGTGTGTGTGTGGTGTGTGTGTGTTTAAGTTTAAGCTTAATTAGTTGAGGGGCGCTCGTTTCTATATAACGCACTTACCCTCCAAACCACAATTCTATCTATTATAGATTGTTCTTCAGTTTTGTGAATTTTGACATGTGCGTTTGACATCGCAGAATTTGGGAGCATCAGAGTTCCTTTGGATGGAAGTGATGTCATCAGCGTTTACTAAACGAACAACGGGTACATTGCAACTATGGATAAAAAAATCCCAGAATAGCATCCTCTTCTACATTCTCGATTTGAGTGTAGATAACCTGAATGATTTTCGGCAAACACTGCTGTCACGGCACCGAATTGCATGAAACGGTCACAGTCAGCAATCAAGTCTGTCAAGCCACTCGCTTGTCTCTCGCATGAATCCATATGGGTGTAGAGGAATGAATTTTTGAGCTCGAGTGCTGCCTGTGCGGACTATCGTTCTCCTTAGTTATGCAAAGCATGTGCGAAAGAAATCAGGGCCGGTAGTAATCTACCCTACCTGGTGGCATCAAAGATGCCGGCAAGAGGGCAGACATCGCGGGGAAGGTGCCATCTTCGGCGGCAGCTCGCGGAGTGATTGTAGGTTTCAATAATCTTATGTAACCTTAGCACGCAATCATTTCGCACATTAAATTTTGATGACGCAGACAGCCGCAAAATTGCTACCTCGCGCGCGGTCGAACCTATGTGCGTCAACTTGAAGTGCCACTACGTTAGCCATTCGACCATTCGGTCAGCCATTGCCGTTTGCACCAGCAATAGAAGGAACGCGCTGGTAAATGGCTGCCTGTAAGAGGGATCGATACATTGCGTGAGAGACTTTGACCTGAAAGAACAGCTGATTGATATGAGCCAGAGAGGGGCGAAATTGGTGCAAATGAGATTTATAAGGGATTGCCAAAAAAGATGGTGTTCTTTATGATTCTAAGGCATTACTGGATTTTTTCTCTGTAAGAAAATCGTCGTCAAAAAAGAAAAACTCATATAATGAGAAAAATGATAGTTTTTTGATGAAAAGTAGAATTTTTGGTTTTTTCGCCTGACGTACATTGTGTGATATCGCCGCAATTCGCAAACTCGCAGACGCCGTCGGCAAAGGTGCCAGCACCTCGACGTGGTAGGGGCACGTCGAGATGCCGGCAGTTCCCTCTCTCAAAAGAGCACGCTATTTCTCGTGCTCTCTGACCTGCCGGCAGCTGCCATCTTGCGGATTTCGGCGAGCTGCCGGCATGTTGGCAAGATGGCAGCTGCCAAATCCTCCTGCGCTCCCAGATATTTTTCTACAGGAGGATTTCTGGAACCGCAAACTTCGATGGAGGTTTCTATAGGGTCGAGGTGGCATCTTTATCGTGAAAATTTTTTGGAATAAGGCCTGGGACGGCCTAAATTTGGGGTTTTAGTTTCTGGCCACCTCACGGAAAGGTGCCAGCGATCTGCCGACGAGACCTGCCGCTAGATCGGGGGGACTACTACCGGCCCAGTAGCCCGCACAGACCGCGTTTTTCGGCGGAGTGCAAGACTCGTAGCTGTTTGCCTTGTTGGGGGAATCGCAGCGTTGAAATCACGTGAACTCTGCTCGAAGATCCTGGCAATTGTTGAAACCTAAGAGTTTTTCGTAAGAGAAGGGAAATCGGTCAATTTGACCTTCTGAGATAAGGTGTGCACTGCGTTGAAAGCCTTGGAACGCTGATTTCAAGTTTGCCTTCGTTATCTGCTGCGGATTCTAAGCAAGAAGTTATGAGGGCTCCCAATTGCAGACGCACCCAATACGATTGAGAGCGGCACTACATTGCGTGCTTACAAGGGTGCAATGGTTAGTGCGAGGGTTCTTGAAGCAGATGATCCAAGTTGCCCGTTGTGTGTTTCGTTTTGCGTTTTTGAGATAAATCCGTGCAAACGCGAGCTTCGTCTATACGCAATTGCCTTTTTCATTGAAAGCTCGTTCTTTAAGAGAGTGTTTTGTTCAAAAAACATCTCTCGGATGTTGTGGAAAAGTGCGGATGAAACTTTATGTGTGTTCATGAAACGAGGACAAAGCGTGCAAAGCAGAGGCATTTGTCACAGTAAAAACAGCAAATGAGGAGAGTACTTCCGTACAACCTAGGTAAATTAAAATCTCTATTTGAGCTGGAAGAAACGCAATATCGCACGGACGTTTCAGAATCGCGAATCTCCTGGGTGTGCATCACGGTATCTTCCCATGTTTCCAATTGGTTTTGTTGGCCCTTCTACTACTGTTTTACCTTTCTTGGATCTCCGAATAGATAACCGGTTCAATTTACGCTAAAGTAGATTGCGTACAGACAAAGCTCGCATGCGCGAACTTAAAGCAAAATGGCAAAGCACAAGGAAGGAATGGAACCTGGGAACGTCTGCTCCCAGGTTCCACTCCACGTCACAATAACCTTTACACCGCTATCCACACAATAGATAAACTCTTAATCGTTAGTGCAAATGTTCGGTTTCGAATCTCGACCTCCACATGTCTTCGTTCAGAAGCCCGCAGCAGATAGCGAAGGCAGATTTGGAATCAGTAAGCCGTATAAAGCGGTAAACATCTCAAAGCTACTTCAACCAACCTTCCTTCCCTTGACAGTGGCAAAGTTTTTTTAGCCGTGAGCAATATTTATTTGCAAATGCAGGGTAAACAAAGAAATATACGCGTGTGGACTATTAGACGCTACACAAAGAAAGACTGGTATTGCGGGTACCCGCATCAAGAAAGGATATTTAGAAAAAGATTATCAAAGAAGATAGTACTAACTAGAATAAGTTAATAAGACCGATTAACAGGTGTAATGACCTTTCCATCGTGTTCTTCAGCAGTGATTATTACATCCACGTCATTGGCTTTCGCAGATTCATCTGCTCCAAGATTAGTAGCAGATGATGAGACTTTCATATCTTCAGTAGGCGCAGCTCCGACACACTGCTTCATGGGCTTGGGGAACTCTTCTCGTAAATCAGGCTGATTGTCGCAGGTGAATACGGGTTTCGGCTTATCATGTACCTTATTATTCGACTTTTTCTCCTGGAAATGTGTCTTCACAAAATGTTATATTGGATACTACGGGCACCTACTCTTGTCTCTGGTATAATTATCATAAGAAGAACAGGAAGGAATAAGAGACCATGGAGCATTGAAAATGATACTACTAAGAAGACTGTTTTGAAGAAAATTTGTACGATGTAAGAGTCAACGAGTGTCAAGACCATTATGCCAAGAATAGTAGAAGAGGCACCCTGTAAGAAAAAAATATATGTCTAGATAATTTCTTAATAAACGTTACGAAATATGCTCTCCGCTGCACTACCATAATGGTACAGCTTTCAAAACAAATTGTAGCCAAACTTCGAAATTTTTAATGTTTTTTTATAAATTTTTCATGTCTTCTGAATGCTGATTGTTAGCTCCATTGTCATTGACATAAAAGCTGTAGATTATTCTGTTACAACTCACCAAAAATACTGGCCATCCCAGCGTCTCCATGGCAAACACAGCTCGCTCATGGGAAGTACCGTAAGCTTGAGAGTATGCGTAGGCGATATGCGCCGATAGATCAACAGCAAAGCCAATGCACATTATGACCTTAATTTTTATATCGGCAGATATTCAAAGCTTTAGCAAGCAAGACTGTCTCCCTATACTCACTGCATCGCTTAACGGATCATAAAATCTTTGCTGTTACACATTTGATGTCATCTTAGGGAACTTTTTGATAGGTTTAGAAGATTTATACTTATTACTATTTTCTCTTATATTTTCAAGAAAAATGATATTGGTGTAAGTCATTGACTTTTTGAGATTTCAGATAAGACAGTGTGTACATAATCTAGGGATACTTTGTACTAAAAAGTCTAAGTTAATAACTATCTTCCTGAAGTGCGTACAAATTTTTTCTTGATGTAGTGCGCGCCTTTGCAAAAGGAGTAGTTTTGGAAACGGGTTTTTCTGTCGCAACGGCTTTGATAGCCAAATCACATCTGGTTCTCTTTTCACTAAATATATATTTTACACCTGTTGTGTACAGATAATACCACCTAAAATCTCTTCATGCACCAAAGAGTTGACGAAATTCTGTTAGCACTAGCAAATCTAGCAAAATTTTGATTATGAGACGTTTCAAGGAAGTAACCGGTTGGTGCATTTATTTATGACCAGGAGGGGCACTCTCATAATTGAAATAGTGGTCTGTTATTTGCTTTTTCTCGCATCTTTTTGGTATACCAGAAGTGCACTAAAATATAAAAATCATTATAAAGACCTTACCGTAATCATTGAAACACTGTCTAAGTTTACTCCCCAAAACGTCATGAAACCCAGTACTCCTAAATAGAATAAACTTATATTAATTCGGCAAAATGTGTAGAGTTAGCTTCACAGACCTGTATTGATGCTGGCAATACACACAACAACTGCAAATGCTGCTCTCATATCGGGTATCATGATGAGGGTCACTGCCAGCATGGAGAGCAAGCCAAGAGTAAAATTTTGTTTGAGGGATGGTTTCAGCTCCAAATACTGTAAGAAGTGCGTTTTCGAATAATAGATAGCACTCCATGATAATCTCTCAACGTCCTCACCTGATCTGCGAATGGGTAGTACTCGTGGAAAGTAGTGACATTGAATTGTGGATATCTTGAAGCAATTTCTCTCATCAGCTTGCAACTATTCGTGTGGTCGGTCGGTGTACGATAATTTCTGAGACCAAGTTGGAAACGGAAGGCTTTCAATGTGTAAAAATCCTAAACTGACTCGTATGAAGCTTTAGTGAGCCTTCGAACACTCAATTAAGTAATGGATGCTCAACGCGAATCGTTGCGACAATGTGAATTGTGTTGAGTTATTCGCTAGCTCTAGTATTTGCGAGGATTGAACAAAATTTGTCATTCTGCGTTTTCCAAGTATTTATCACTAATTTTTACAAATATGTTAGCATAATTTTGCGATACGATTTTGATCACTGAGTTGGTACCGGTGAGCATTAAAATTTCTTATTATTTCGCACTGGGATTTACTTTATGTTCAGGACTTTACACTTTATAAAAACTCTGTGTAAACGAAGGTTGTTTCAAACAAGGTTCAAAAACAATTTCAGCACCGTACCTCATCGGATTGTCCCCATACCATATCCTTTTCCCACAGTCTCCGCCCACCTGCTACTAAAAGCCAATCTCGACAACGGTGATACCATTCCTTCGAGCTGCAACAAGGAGTTATGAACAGTTTCGCCGATAAATCATAACTGAACTTTTCATTTTCAGCATTTGCTCAATTAGGATTGAAGGGTCAGTTTCTCTATCTGACACAGTCAGTTATGAACAAACAACCTTTTGAGACATTCATGTAACGCGAAAAGGGTAGTGGGAACAAATTAAGCTCATATATTTTTGTAGACGCTAGAATTTTTCGAAAAAAGTGGATCGCTGATGTGATCTCAAAACTTATAAGGCTTGATTAAATACTCAATAAGAACGATCAATACCAGTTGATAACGTTGATGGAGAAATAAAATTCTGTATCGCATGTAAATGGTCGAGATCAAAGCAGACTGCGAAAAAAATGTTTATACCTCTTCGGTTTTTCAATATTCAACTCATTCTTCTCTCTGTCAAGATGCAGTTCATATGCATTCAACCAGATCATCGTAGCGTTGTGATTCATGGTGTAGTGCGTATTTTCAAAATCTAAAATTCCAATTCATAAAGTAAATATTAAAAGTTGCAAATCTTATAATGCAGTGTCTCTGTGAAAGCAGAAGTCTTTGAAATTAAGGTAGCTGAAATGTAGTAAATGCTGTGTAAACTTGTACCAACCGTTCATCATTTTGGAGAAATCTGCTCTGGTTGTTGAATTGAAAAGATCTGGCGGACGGTTCACAACCACTTGCATTTGCAAACCTAAATTTATTTGGCTTAGCGGAAAATTTCTGTTGGAGGGCCTTACCTTCTTGCCAAAAGGTCTCGTCAATGAGTTTATAAAAATTGCTAAGATAGAAAGATTCGCGAACAAGAAACTTTGGATCTAAACCTTCTTGCATGTTCAAGCAACCAAATATTGCTAGCACTATGTACACGAGATAAAGCAGAGTAGCACAAACCTGAAAAAGACTATTAATCTTCTTAACCCTTGCCATTGAAAATTCTTACCTGTGTGCTACGTTCCAATATAAATGGTCCGATGATTTCTCGAAACAACTTATTAACAAAAGTTTCCTCATGTGGTACAACGTTAACGTTCTAAAAAATTTAGCCAACTTATTCTTAATGTCGTCGACGGACATCGAAGTTCTACCTGCTCGTTGTGTTCAAGTTTTGTTTCCATCTTCCTGATAGCCATATTCAGTTTTGATTTCCATCCACTTGGTTTCTTCTTGAGTTCTGAGTTACATACTCAATATATCCCATTGTAATCAAACCGTCTCAGCTCTACACATTCATAACTTGACAAAATTCTTCGGACATGATGATCTTACACCAGTACTTCAGTAGGTGAAATGCCCTTGACTCTTTTCTGGGAAAGGGATTTAGGTTCATCCTTTGGTGATACTTCAGTCTATACAGAAAAAAAACCGGGAGTTAAAGGCAGTGTCCGGGCAAAAAGTCGTTTGAGACTTTGTGCTTACTCGGGCCTATTCGCTATGTTGAATCCGAAAATCCACACTAGAAAGGGAGAAAACAGCGAAAAAGCGCTCAAACACAGGAGGGAAATCAGAAGTGGGCGGGGTCCCTAGAGCCTTTTTCGCCGTTATCGCCCTTTCTAGTGTGGATTTTCGGATTCAGCATAGCGAATAGGCCCGGGTAAACACAAAATCTCAAAATCGACTTTTTGCCCGGACACTGCCTTTAAAAGAGCAAACTTTAAACAATTCAGAATCTACAATCATCTGAACGGCTTCCACAACATTCAGTTTATATATGGGAACTGTGAAACAGCAAATTTTTTCCGTCAAAATGAAATTCTGTAGAGAGAGAGAGCTACGATATACAGCACAAAGTGGCCGACCGAAGGGGGGGGGGGGGGGAATTTGAAGGGGTCCTCTTTAAAAGTAGCGTACGTGGGTTACCATTTGTGCAAATGACTTGTTTTTACTCTATATAATACATGTTTTGAAATTTTTCAAAAATTCAGATTAGCTCCGCAGAAATTTGGGGAGGAGGTGGAAAGGGTAGGTGAAGGGGCTCGTCTACTGCCACGGCCTCTTTCTTCAAAATTCATTTTTGTGTTGTAGCCCAGCAATGAAAACTAAAAGCATCTCAGAAAAATCTCCGGCAAGTGATTTATGTACCCCCCCCCCCCCTGGAGAAAAATTCTCCAGCGCCACGGTGACGGCCGGTGGACTGATATTGCGGTTGCTCGCCTTTTGTACGGCATACATACTTCAAAGATGATGTTAAGAAAAAACCGCATTTGTAGGCATCTATAATTTTGGTTTCTTACAGAAAATTGGGTCGTCTCAAAAATTTCGTTCGTTTTTTTTTCTCATCACAAACTTCATCTGAAAACTATGAGTGATTCATTTGCAGCTTTTTTTCCTTTTTGACAGTTAAGTTTGCTTTGTGATCCATGCCGTCTTTGCAATGTTATCGTATGATTCTTCGAGCGAACATCAAAACGGAGATTCCCCTGATTTTGAAAATCATTTTGGCTGGTAGCTAATACGCCTGCTAATTTAAAACTCGAAAGAACTTCTTGCTTGTAACGATTATCCATAAAGTGAAGACGGACAGAAATACCTCTTGCAATAGTTCATCGTACAAGTGAATACATCTGTTTTGATCTGCTTATGTAACAAACTTCTCCGTTACGTAAGGCTTAATAGATTCACGATAAGGCCGATTTTTCGATTACTGCCGTTTCGGACCAAAGCCCTTTTCGCGTCAAACTTACGACCCTCCCGGAGTGATAGTCTTTTTGGAATAAATTCAGAACATGTCTCCGAGAATTTACTCGGATGTTATCGAAGACACTGGAATGGTTATCAAATCATGATTCATTTCAGTTTTTGGCATTATGCGATAATGTTACGGTAGTCACTGTACGGCAATGAACCCAGCAACGTGGACTTTCGTGAAAAATTGTGTCTTACAAGGGAAGGATACTTGGTCGAAGTGCAGTTTCAATATGGGATTTATATTGTTTTATAGATCATGGAACGCTGATTTCAAATTTGCTTTCGGTATCTGCAAAGCGCTTCTGGGTTGGGAGTTATGAAAATCTTTTTAGGGGAAAATTCAAGGTTTTGGATAGGGTGAAAACCAGTATTTCCGACGCTTTCCGGCGCTTGAATGGAGTAGCGACAAGCTTAAAATTATCAGACTGAAGGTATCATTTGCACGAAGTCTCCCGAGTAATTATGACTCCATCTGAGCTTGCAGACTACACTTTTGACTGATTTTATTGTAGCTAGGCCTTGCAATTTTTGCGTCAAAAATTTCCATAACTCCCCTCCTAGCAGCGCTTTGCAGATACCGAAAGCAGATTCGGAATTAGCGTTCCATGCTCTATAAGACAATATACCATTACTCTGGAAACGCCACTTCAACCAAGTATCCATCCCTTGTTAGAGTAATTTCACGAGTAGTGCACTGATCACGATCGTAGTGTCCGCTTTGTCCCATAGTGGAGCGATGGTAGCAGTACGGTGGAATTCAAGTAATAATCAAGAAACGGACGTAAGAAGACGGTATTGAAACTCGAGGCTGTCATTGTCGTAATCAATATGCTACGGAATCAATATATGTAAAATTTGAGCTGCGACGAACAATAAAACAATTAATACACTTCAATTTTCAAAAACAACGTCATTCTGCGAAGAATTTAAACTAAAGCCTGTGCCTTATCTCCACTACGGTATACCTAGCGTAACACAACACTACAGTATCCTGAGCCCGGACGGACCACTCTAGCTGGAGCTTCACCTAGGTGTCCCCAAATGTGCCAAATCCTCGTAGAACTCCATCGTAAACTGCCAAAACTAGACCGTTGGTCGTATTCTCCGAAATGGCAGAACACGTACGACCCACCGATGAGTCGTACTGTCGTGATTGTTTAAAGCCGCTTCATAAGATTCTTGCTAACAATATCCAACATCTCTTTTATCAGCATCGCAACAACTGGGATTTTGTTATCAAGCATTAACTACCGCGCAACCTTTCAAATACAGCTTAACACTTTGATGCAGCCAACTGAGTGATGTCTGCTACTGCCTCTTCATTATTTTGCCATTTTGAATTCTCACCACACAATGTGAACACGCATACCTGGTGAGGTTGTCTGCGGTACGACTTTCGTGCTCTCCAAAGATTTTCTGCTTACGGAACCAGCCAAGAAAAATAGCTTCCACCTTGAGGCTAAAGCAGTTCTTATGATCATTGTGATTTAGTTTAATTGATTCGATGACCGCACGGAATAGACATCACCGCGGAGCACGCGCCGCGAGTAGAACGCTTGTCCCATTACAAATTCGCCATTGTACAAGTCGTGCTCTCGCGAAAATTCAGCCGCGCCGGATGTGGTCCGCAGGGTTTGAGCAGTCCGTGCGGTCAACGAATCAATGATACGTTGAAAGACTCACTTTCATCGTTTGGCTCCATGGCCTTTCTGAACAAAAGAGAATGAGTGCCGTCATTTTCCATTTCAGCTGCATAAGCAAGTACAGGCGAGAAAAAAGTCAACTAGAAATTGCCATTTATCAGTCAAGACGTTTAAAAGCGAAAGTTGAGCTTTACTTGGTAAATGTATGTGAATGTCACTTGTATGCATGTATATAAGCAGAACATTCGCACTCCAGGTAATGTTGTGAAGATTCCTATACCGAATGTCATCTGAAATTATGTATTTTGTAATCATTCTTACTAATAATATGAAAAGCGAAATACCTTGACGTCATGAATCAAAAATTATGGTGTAATACAAATAGTTTCAAAAAATCAAATAGTGGATCAAATCAGCTTGCAGTTGAATTTTTCAATAATTGATATCCATTCCGGTTGTGAGAGAGAGAGTGTGTGCCTTACTAGAGACGCAGGCAATGATGCATTGGGTAGCAGAGACGCAGACAGATTGCAAATGGCATCGTTTTGTGCGGGATCAGTGCGGGACAGCGCGAGGGATTCTGGCTCTTTTGCAACCAGACCTCATTCGTCTACATATTCTACCACCTATGCACTCACCGTATCAAGTCAACAATGAGCTATCGACAAAGCCAAAAATAATCAATGTATCGATTTTCTGCACTGCTTTGTCACGTATTTATAATCTCGCTGACAACAATCCCCTTTTAAGTTGTGACGACAGTTTGTGTCAACTCAATTTAAGCCGAAAATGAAATGGCGCGAGTCCGCCTCGCAAAGATTCGCGCATAACTCAACCATAGAACATTATATCGCGCTAGGAACCCGTGTCTGCATCTCCTCATTCTCTTTGGTCTTTAGCTGGCAAATTGCCAGTGCTGTCGCTATCTAACGCCTGCGAAGCAGACGCACCACTCCACAAAAAGCATCGGCTTACATTTGGTTGAAACAGGCTTAAGTTTCAATCTTTTCGAAACCTGCCTTAGGCCCGTATGCACTAACATTTTTGCGGCGACGGAAGCGGCGTCCCCCGTTATGAAGGGTCCGCGTGCGGACGCCGCTGCGGCTTTTTCATCATTGGGGACGCCGCTCCCCTCGCCGCAGGGATGTTAGTGCATGCGGCCCTTAGACTCTACGAAGTTCCCTACTATTTGCCCCAAAAAAAATACTAGTCTAATCTCATGCTCTGTTCGACCCATCCTGAGTATGAGTGATGCAGGTAAGGTTTGCAGGGTATACGGACAATTCAGTGGCGTACCCAGGATTTTTGCTCGGGGGGGGGGGGGGGGGGAGAGGCGCGACAAAAAATTTTTTCGAATGAAGGTGCGTGGCTTTAGCCACGCACTACAAAAATTATTTAGGGGTGCTTCTCAAAATTTTTGCGGGTCCCCAACCCCTAAAATCTGGAAAAAGGTGGCGTGGCGTCAGCCACGCTCCCGAAAAAAATTTTTTTGCAAGACTAAATTGAATTTTTAAAAATTTTTAAAAATTATTTCAATTATTTACAATTATAAACAAGTTACTTGCACATTTTTATAACCCATATAAGTAACTTTCAAAAATTTCGCGACCCATTCTCGGGAGGGGGGGGGCGCCCCCCCCCCCCCTCCCGAGGGCGTTAGGTACCCAGCCGAGGTGCGGGCGTTAGGTACCCAGCCATTAGTGGTAAACACTAAGCCACGCCCCTTGGTTGCTTCAACTGTGGAACCTAACGATACGCCAAATCCTAGCTGCTAGAACAGCTCACATAGATTGCTAAGCGCTGGCGCTCGCGACCCACAGAAAAATGAGAGTTCGAGAAAATCAAAAAAATTGCGCGAGTGAAAGGGCAAGTTTGCAACGCTTTTTCTATTGCTTTTTTCAATCCATCTTAGAATCACAGAAACTCGGTGCTGAAAATTGGAGGGGTAAACTTTTTATGAGCACTTCACAAAGTTTTGCAAAAAATCGTGATGATCTAGCCGAAAATGTTAGCGGAATTTCATAAAAGTAAACTTTGTAGAATACCAATAAATCAATTTTATGATTTTACTGAAGCAAAGCGCACTTTCGGATGCGCTCCTGGCAAATAAGTTGACGGAGTATTCCTTTGTTTCAAAAAAAAAAACAATTTTGACAATGAGGAGTGGAACCGATTGCAAGGAAAGCAATTTTGAATTGCAGTTACAGAGCTAGCCAATTTCGGACAGGAAAAAGTAGCAACACTTAAATTATTGACAAAATCTTTCGCTTTTTAGTGAATTGCAAAAAATTTATGGTTTTGGTTGGATAAACAGCATTTGGCTGCTAGAAAAGAGAATGAATATGAAACAATTGCAATATGAAAGTCCTCCAAAGAAGCACTGCAGAGAGCATAGTTATGATAAAATATAGTAGCTCAATGGAATTTTCATACGGGATGTGAAATCTTCCGAAATAAAGAAAAATGTATGCTTATCAATGTAAAATCCCATAAATCTGTTGGCCTTAACTATGACCAAAGTAATAGCCTCAATAATCTACAATAACATAACACAATCCCTGTGGCAATATCGACGCAAATATTGCGACCCTTGACTTTACGCCTCAAAACGAGCCTGACGACAAAATGTGAAAGAAATATTTCGTGCAACTTATTTGCCAAAAGCGCATCCGAAAGTGCGCTTTGCTTCATTAAAATTATAAAATTTTGATTTATTGCTATCCTACAAAGTTAACTTTTACGAAATTCCCGCTAACATTATCGGTTCAGATCATCACGATTTTTTTGCAAAATCATGTGAAATGCTCATAAAAAGTTTACCCTGTTTAGTTTTCAGCACCGACCTTTTGTGGTTCTGAAATGGATTCAAAAAAGAAGCAATAGAAAAAGCGTTATAAAATTGTGCTTTCATTCGCGCAATTTTTCTTTTGATTTTCTCAAACTATCATTTTCTGTGAGTCGCGAGCACCAGCTTTAGCGAGCTGTATCGTTAGGTACCTACTGTTAAAGGCAGTGTCCGGGCAAAAACTCGATTTTGAGATTTTGTGCTTATACGGGCCTATTCGCCATGCTGAATCCGAAAATCCACATTGGAAAGCGCGAAAACGGCGAAAAAGGGCTCTAACACAGGAGGGAAATCCGCAGGTGGGCGGGGCTTTCCCCAGTGCGATTTCACGCTCCCAGCTCTCGGAGCGATTTTCGCGATTCCGCTAGCCATCCTAACATCGCTACCGGCCAAGTGCGAATGATTGACTTGAAAGCAGAAGCGAGAAGGTCGCTCCGGAAGCCGGGAACGTGAATTCGCAGTGGGGAGGACCCCGCCCACCTGCTCGTTTCCCTCCTGTGTTAGAGCCGTTTTTCGCCATTTTCCGCTCTACAATGTGCATTTTCGGATTCAGCGTTGCGAATAGGCCCAAGTAAGCACAAAATCTCAAAATCGAGTTTTTGCCCGGACACTGCCTTTAAAGCAGCCGAGGGGCGTGGCTTAGTTTGTACCACTTATGGCTGGGTACCTAACGCCCGCACCCCGGCTGGGTACCTAACGCCACGCGCCCTTTCCCTTTTCCATAATTTCGAAATGGCTCACGATATCTGTCACAGAAGTGATGGTGATAGCAACAGCGGCTTCCGAAAGTGTGTCAGCAATGCGTCGAGCCGGCGAATGTTCAGGATTTGTCCGATGCCATTCAGCTGACATCACGAAAAGATCATCGATTCCTATACCTGAATATGTCATTAGCCATACCGAAAAGAGCAACTTCTATGAGAAAAACAAAAATGCTCTTACTCACATAAAACGAGGAACGGCGAGACATTTACAATAGCATTATAGAGCTCTCCTAGCCATAGAAGTAGCCCAAACGAAGTGATAACAGCGAGGAGAGGGCACCAGATACCTGAGCAGAGAAAAAACAAGTTTTTTGAAGTGAATACATAGAGCTGTCGTTTGTACGAAGATTTTACCCTCACCTGCACATGCAACGATTGGCTTACTGCGCACCCAGTCAATGCCAATGAATCCATTGCCATGGTTGATAAGCACAACGGACACAAGGAAGCAGAATGTGAAAAGAATTGTGCATGTTCCTAGATATTGTTTTAAAGGCTGTGACGTTCATTTTGCAAAAAATGAGCGTTTCATTTTTCGTTCTAGAAATCTATCCAATTTCGTCGAGTAGCTCCGGATATCATAGCTTTGACAAGCTCATTTAATTCCTTTCTCCCAAGATGGGTCGCAACTTTCAAAAATTTAACTTAAGACTCATAGAATAATTTAAACGACTTATTTTTTGCATATAGTTGCATAATTTCAAGATTGTTGCGAAAGCCAGACTGACTTCATAGAGATTGTTTTTAGGGGCTACAAGCCTGCGAAGATATTTAGAAAAACTCAAAGATGTAGCTAATTGCCATTTGATTCTTTTGGCCTTCCTCTCTTCTGCTTCCCTCTCCAATCAAAAAAAACTACACCTCAGGAATAGGAAATTTTTGAAGAAAGACAAAAAGGCCACGCTTGTCATTCTGAAACTGCAGCATTAACAATTCTTTCGAGCAAGAAGCTTCAATTTTCATACAATTTTCGTGAGATCTGGCAAAAATTTGAGCATTTACAATGCAGGTGCACTTTTCTCGGGATTTTTGAGGACGTCATCAATCTTTCTATTGTTCGAAAGTACATATTAGGTCCTACTTTGTCTTATATTTCACAGTTTGATTAGGAACTACGAAAAATTGCACTATATGTTAAGTTGCTGGAAGTGATTTCAAGCGATAAAAATCGAACATATTTACCAACAAATTTCGGAGTGAGGGTATCCGCCACGTCTTGTAAGCCTTCTGGTAATGACTCGTTGTGAGTTACTCCAAACTCGACGAGATCTAAGCAATCACTATGGGAAAATATTATCTAAAAATATTATCTAACTGTACGTGAGTCTGTCGACCAACCTGATGGAGGATTTTGTTTATCGGTAAGCCAAGAAGCCAGCTTTTTCCTCCATATATAACTGATATTTCCTACCTGAATCACTTAGAACGATTGCAGTGTAAGGTTGAGCTTTACTGAACCTTTTCCTCTCTGACGTTGTAGGTAAGTCGGAGAGCTGTAGCGTGATCGAAGTGACCATCACGATCGACAAGGTGTGGATGGCCAACCAGAGCTCCGAAGTAGATTGGCTCCGATCCTCTCCAGCCGATAGGATATGTGATGTTGACCTGGAATGAAGTAATCGGTCTTCAGAAATTGGATCTGATATCTCATACTTTCTGACTGAAATCCCCAAGTCATTGGTAACTCAAAATGTGAGTCTGCACACTATGCGGCAGCCGCAACCCCGTACTAGTAATTGAAAAACCTTTCCAGGCGCACCTAACTGTAGAAGTGTGTATTACTCAAAAACAAGAAGAAATTGCTTGAGATCTAATTTCATAAGTCGCCAATTAGCGCGCTGGTGTGCGATGCGCATATTAAATTACAATCTCGACGATAAGAAGCGTGAGGTTTAGCATAAAGAAGTGTTACAGATTAAATGCCAGAGCAAACATTCAAAAAAACGTACATTGTGAAGGTATAACGCGTTCTAACATTAGTTAATACTGCTTGGCCATGAAGAACAAAACGATAAAAGGTAATAAATATTGAGAATTAAGTACAGAGTTATTTGCTGTGCTTACCAAATATCAGAGGAGGAGGGAAAGACTCTGATACTTTGTAAGAAGAGTAAAAAAACATTTATTGAAGAAGCTTATCTGCTTCGGCCACCAGCAACAATTGCAGAAATGGACTTTCAAATGGAAGTACAGCAAGTTCAGTATGTTTTTGTTGTGATGTTTCCGTTTTTTTCTTGCCATTCCTCGGAACGGAAAGAACGATGGTTGCGGTCAATTTGTTCTCTATTAATTTAGCGTCAGTACTTGGTAAGGAATAAGACGAGGGCTTTTAAGGAACTATCAGATGTTCACTCTTTTCAATGCTTTCCTTCTCCTAGCGCAAAATGCTTTGAATTTCCTCACCCTCCTTTTCTTGAAAAATGAAAGTTTGGAATTCGTAATGTACTGATGCAGTTGTACTAATAATAATCTCTATTTCCTTTCTTGTTGTTAGATAATTAGTTTATTAAGTAATTTGATTTCATTGATGCAATACCCTTGACCAAAATCTTTGGCAGGAACTGACCTCATTATTAATGATATCACTGGCAAATTCAGCTATCGGACCACTGAAGTTTCCCCATCGATCCTTCGGCATTAACATCGTTAAATGGTCATTGAGATAGCAAGCCCAATCATAGGTCATGCACAAGTCAGTGTAAGCTGCCTGTAAGGTTTTTTGAGAATACGATATGCTTTGAATTTTCGAAACATCACCTCATAATGCTTTCCATCAATATCTACTGGAACCGTGATGTTGTGGATGATGTACTGATTAATACGAGCAACCTCATCCAAATATTTTAAAGTGAGAATATTGGGTCTACCATATATTGGATGCTCTCTGCCGGCAACTACAAAAAATTCGAATTTCAAAAATAGTTTCGTTTCAGTTTTCATCAATTACCTATAATGTCTAGATAGCCATTGAGATCATAACTTTTACCCGGCCAAAAGCTCTGCTCGTCTAGAGGCCAATGTTCTGATAAAACCTGAAGATGATATAAGAGATTTTGGCTAGGTTTAAATAATACTCACATTCCGCTCATACCTCCAGGGAGCATTTCGAGGAGAAAACACAAACTGTGGATCCCTTGTAGTCTGGAAATAATGTTTGCACTGGTTTTAAAAAGCCAGGATGAGTCAAATCTATGAAACTAGTTTCCAAAGAAGCATTCCCTTCAAAGTCGCAATTTGGAGATTTGGCCATCTTATGACATCATTGACGAAAGCCGTTCTTTATCCACAAACCTGTTCTTCAATCCATACGAAGCCATATCCACAAAATGTGGTGAACAGCAGAGAACCAACTAACAACTCGAAGCGAAACTGAAAGAGACGGAATTTGGTTACGGGAAACTGGACACTTTCCTCATTATGCTTGTAACGGCTAAGTAGTTTTTCTTCATATACTCATTTCACTTCTCATGCAAAACTCTAATCATGTGCTTTCGTCAATCGCATAGAGAAGATATTTCAGTATAAGGCATCAGAAAGCTTCGAAAACCTGTTTTACACTTACGAAACTCATTAGTCAAACTCGGCTTGTTATACGACTTTTGGTTTTGCCCTCCGCCTTAGGCCCATATGCACGTACATCCCCTCGGGGAGGGGAGGGGACCTGAGAGGGGAAGCGCCATATCTCGCTGCTCTATGTATCTTTCTTCCTTCTTCTCTATCGTGCTTATAAAGTTTCTCATACCCTTATACCTGCGCATGATGGATGCCAGGTTACTGCCATACAAAATTAGATATTCACTGTTTCGTTCACCTCACATTTTCAAGGTCATTTTTATTCCCGAAAAATCAATGGAAACGCTGCAAAATTGTATTGAAGATATACTACGATTTTGCTGAGCATTTTTCGACAGAAGAAATGGAATCTGAAGATTTTGATTTTTTCGATAATCCCTGGCTCGCGAGCAGCGGTTCATCGAAGATTTCGATATTTTGAGATTTCACTCATTTCTACCATAAACATGTTTAGCAGTGCTGTAGTATACCTACAGTACAATTTTAGAGCATTTTCATCGAGTTTTCAGGAAGATAAATAACTTAGAAAATGTGAGGTGATCCTCAGGGGATCCCCAGGGAATCAGACGAAACAGTGAATATCTAATCTTGTATGGCAGTAACCTGGCATCCGTTATGCGCAAGTATCAGTATGAGATCCTTCAAAACCAAGACAGACAAAGAAGAAGAAAAATACATAGACTAGCGAGATATGACGCTTCCCCTCTCAGATCCCCTCCCCTCCCCGCGGGGATGTACGTGCATACGGGCCTTAGAAACATTGCGAGCGGCCACGGAACTTCATGATGCGACCATCTCTACTTAGCCCTTTTTCTGCAGCAAGCCCCGTGTAACAGGCTTTTTAGATATCCTCCAAAGATTCTGTGGTTCCGGAGGATGGCACAGCAAGCCTCACGTTTTTGTGGTTTGCAAAGACCAAACACTGAGGTAAGTCCAGGCCTTTAACGAGTTTATCTTCAAGAGTTCAGGGACAGTACTTCTGCAAGGTCAAGCTTTGTTTTACTCTCATTTGTTTAAAAAATAATTAAGAAGATATGTAGATTTCGTACGAAGAAAAACTGAGGACATCTATCCGAAACATAGAGTTTGGCAACAAGAATGTTTCTTAGAACTATTTTTGATGGTTGATCGTCAAGCAGCTGAGAAGAACAGAGGCCATTACCATAATCTGGATAGTAGTAAAAACGAAGTTTGCCGTGTGGACCTGAAGTGACTATGCGGTCATTGGAGCGTGTCTTTTGCTCTTTGCGTAAATGCTCCACTGTAACTATGTCAAGATCCCCTCCTCATTTCTAGTAAAATGTAGCTAAACTCCAAAAGTGCCCATACTTCAAGTCATTGCCGCGCACAAGGAAATGAGGGAGTCGAAATTAGGATTTCACGGCTTTCCTTCATCACATTCACGGCAAGGCCGATTTTTTGATGACTGGCTTTGGACCAGTGCATATCTTGCAATATGAGTTTGCGCATTTTTTTCTGGCCACTGATGAGTTCTGTGGTCTGAAGTGTTGAGGTCTTTTGGGAAGTATTCCAAGGGATGTATAATGGGGTTTATTCAGTTTGCCCAAAAGCTTTCATCGTAAACTAGCAAAATCAAAACCTTCAGAAAGCATGTGACCCACTGGTGGATCGTACTGTCCGAAACGGCAACATATGACCCACCATTGGGTCGTCTTGTCGTGAATGTCTCAAAGAAACACCATAGTCATCAAACAATGTTTTTTTCACTCGTTATGGAATCAGAGTGTTGCTCTGGAAATCTGAGATGAGACCAAGAGGCTGAATCATGCATTACAGCGAGATGAAAAAAAATTGGATTCGGTCGTTTACAGACGCTATGTTACGACACTGGAATCCGGATTCATGATCGTTTATGACAAGCAAGCAAAAAAGTTGACGTAATGCTGAAAAGGATGTTAGGAAGGAAAGCATCAACGAAATTTCACGATTTGCTCTGACTGTAAGTAAGATGAAAAATCAGATACTATGAAATTTTGCTGTGATTAAAAACAATGATCTTGATGGGATAAGATATAGTATAAACATAGCAACATAGATATATAGCCAACTAGAGAAAAATTCATAAAATCAAGTAGTATAGACGTACCTTATGTACAATCAATCCAAATCGAAAGAACACTTTATGAATAAAGTCGTCGAACTCTCTATGTACAAAGAGCATTTTGCAATTCTGGAATCAATCATTACGTTTTAATGCACATCCAAGAGATCATAAGAGATTTGCACTGGGACAAGAGATATAGGACCTGAACGAAGGTTCTTGATATAAAAATTTTGAAACGAAAAGACAGAGAATATATCCATCGTTTAGAACCATTTGCATGAGAGATGATTTGTCAGGAATGGCAGAAGTTTACAAAGGTAGGTTTTGCGTATACACTTTTGCTTGTGTAGTTTCGGACTTTTCGAGCACTTCATGATTTGTTGTAAATAGCAAATCTTAGGCAATTGGTAACATGCTCAAGCACCAAAGGTAGGTGAAAGAAAAGAGAAACAGCACAAAACGGCAAAATTAATTTTTTCAGCATTTTTCTTGAAAAGCATAACTTTCCACAGACAATAGTTAGAAGGAAGTTGTCATAAAATGCTAACCGCTGTTTTGGATTTTATTGCATAGTTCTTAGATTTTTGGCCTGCTTAGAACCGAAACTCGGATGGCCTCATCCTTCCATATTTATCTATGCAGTCAAGAAAGCAAGCTTCCAGAAGTCATTAGAAAGACATCATTTGCTAATAACAATGTTAGAAAGGAGCTATAATTCTTCAAAATAATGCGATAGAACATTAGGTTCAACCTAATATTTACTACAATTTTTTGATAGAAATTGAGAACAAAAAGTCTCTGCATTTTGTGTATTTGACGTACGTCCGCTTTATGACGAGGAGGATGAGGAAAGGATACAGTTGCATGAAAATAGGACAAGATGATCGGACTACTCGGATCGATCGTACGAAATCGTCTGGCGCAGCTCCTGTTTTCGGATGCGCATACGAGTGGCCAATCGCAGGCGGAAACGACGAACGTCGCTCGAAGCAAAAGTGAAAGTATGGAAAGATCTGTGCAAGCAAATTGTGACTTTTCGCGCAAAAATTACAAACAAGTGGAGTTTCTGTGGACTGAAGGGACAGACCACTAATGGCCTTTCCCTACACGATTTACGTCATTATGGTTGCCTTAGTGTGATAATTTTAAATCTGACACCCGTAAGGTTTAAGTCGCTGTCCCAGAAAAATTTCGCTTTCCAATTTTCATCTTCGCGGAACGTTCGTATGTAGCCTCTGCAACTAGAATGGAAAAAAGCTTTTGCTGGAAACCATGTAAGTAGGCGGGGTCCGGAAGTATTCCAAAGTGATTTTAGGCTTTCAGACGCACTTTTTCGTTCCAGTCTGCGCTGATTGTTTATTTGGGGGCTTTGCCATTGCAACGTTGTAAAATCCCGGTACTCATCATTTTGCCGAAACCTTTGAGCATTTTCAAAAAAAGTTACACCCACTTATTGCGGCTTAATGATACCGAATGACAAGGACTGCAGCGGCCGTCTCTTTTGAACCTCTTCTTCTGATGACGGATGTGAAGAGGGCGCGAATGTCAAGCAAGAGATACCGTGTTGACGTCTCTAATACGGGAGATCGTGGTATGTTGAGTTTTCAGTGGGGTGGGGGTCGTTGAAGTCTTAGTATATTCATATGGCGGTAAAAGCTTATTTTTTTCGTATTCCAACTGTTTATTTTACCTCCAGCATAGGACTCTGAACAAATTTGCCAGCGCCCTGAAGGATAATGTGATAGTAACGTTCAAAAAGCCGTTTTTTTGCTCAAATCAAGTTCTATAGCGTGAAAGTAGCCAAGCATTTGCTACGAAATAAATTCTTCTTCTAATTAGCAATTATGTTTTCAAAGCAGTAAGTAATTGCCAAAATTCTAGTCTACTCATCAAAAACATCAGTGGGTGAGCAAGTCTAAGTCCGCAAGTCCGTACCAGCTAATGCGCTTTCTAACTGCTATTGCTATTTCTTCGCAAAAAAAGAAAACTTCGCGGAGAAAAATGCTAATTCTATTTCTATATTTTGAGTGGTATAACTCATTTTTTACATTTTTTTGGTTTCTTTATGTCGAGTCTCAATATACCTCTCAATTTATGTATTCTCAGCAGCTATGAAACTTGCAGTTTTTGGAAGATCAATTATCTGGAAGGCCAGTTGAAGAAATAAAAAAAGTATAGCATCGCAAAGAGTTCGTCTTATCTACTTCTACAAAACTGCTACAAAGTCTGTGTATTTTCGTTATATGCAGTTTGCGGATAAGACGGGAGGAATGATCAGAACTTTCCTCAGTTTTTCAACAAAGTTTGATTGTAAAGTTCTCAGTCCCAAATTTCGGGCCACAGCTGTGTTTTGCATGATGCCCAGCTTGTCAAATCCCAAACAAATAACAAGATATGCATTGACAACCTGAAGCGTGGTTACGGTAAGTAATCCATAATCTGTTGTAGGACCATTTTGGACCAAAACCTTTGATGAGGAACTCATGATCTTCCGGCTCTCCTTCATTACCCTCCAAGACTCGTTCAAGTGTCTTGTAAAGAAAACTGCATTCTTCCGCTCAGTGTTCATCTAGCGCTGTGAAAAGCTGGAATTTTACTCTGGGATACATATCTTTGCGCTCACTGCAGGTATCCTGCCGCAGCCTTGATTAGAAAAGTCAGCTAGAAAGCGTTCTGCTTTTTGTAAAGTTTTGTTTTTTCAGAAACGTGGTTAAATTCTGATTCAAGCAAGTTTTCGCCAAATCTAATCAAAGTGAGTTTCTGCCTACACTACGTCGGAAGATGTTTTTTCCAAACTAGTCGCAAAGGGATTGCAATGTAAATTTTCTCAAGAAAGACATGCTCTTAGGAGGAATAAAGGTGGGGTGGAGGGGGTGTACGAAATAAATAAAAAAGGCGTTTTACAAGGAGCGTGTCTGGGCGCAGAGACTTCTATCATTTACTCAAGCAGTGCATGCCTTCGTATCGAATGAGCTTGATACATAGTGAGAAGATCTAAAGCATCACACAAGTGAAAAGAGCAGATAGAAACGTCTTTATGTCTGTTCTGATACTAATAACCAAGAAAAGCAGCAAGCCATGGTCCTGTTAGGTTGTCCAAAAGTGTTTATGTTTCCTAAATAAATCGAAATATTTTTGCTCCAGGTAAAGTTTGAAGAAGAACTAAAATTATTCAAATACCTGATCGCATCTCTAACCAGAAGATCCTGAGGACCTCCAACTTGGAAGTCATCCAGGTAAACCATTAGTATTTATAAATGCATCTGCGATTTTCGCAGCCCAAAAGAAACAAAAATGGCCCAGAAATGCAAAAATCTTTTTTGGTCTTCTTATGTTGAATTCGGTATTTCAAGATTATCACGGCATATATAAGGTTAGTTAAATATTTTAAGAATATGTTTTCTAAGGCTCGGGTATACAACCGCATATGCGGAAGAAGCTGGGGGCGGAGTTTGCCATTCTTAAACTATCATTTCATTAACGATTTCTATGTGTGAATAAAACTTAGCAGATGAATTCATGCACTTACACCAATTTTCGATTCCATCTTATGAAAGTTTTCGATTTTGGCTCGCACTCTACACGATTCATAACTTAGGACGCATCTCCGGTGGTCATTATCAGTGCTTGCTTTGCTCTATAGAACAGTGCTAAGTCTGCCAGGAAAAGTTTGATTTAACTATGAAAGGATTTTAGGTTTGGGTTACCTAAAACAGCCATATTCGCTCAAGCAGTAGATAATTAACAGGTGTGGGTTGAGTGAATGAAGAAGAAATAATTACAGCAACGTTTGAAATCATTTTGGGTATCTACAGGGTGTCCCAAAAGTCTTTGAGCTATGAGTACTCCGTCTAGTTTTTAGTATTCCTTAAAGATTTTGCACCATTTGTGCTGTACATTCTCAAAATATTGTTTTTGAAGTAAATACTACGATTTTGAGGACGACCCAATGTCAATGTACCTTTTACTCAAACATCTATAGCTCTTTTGCCTTTGAAGCCTCGTGGAATCTTGAATTGCATATTGTAGAGCTAGCTTCACTCTACGTCTGCAGTGCAAAACTAATCAGTAGTCTCTATTCATTAATGCAGGATTAAGAAAAGACTCAAGGTAATGTCGTGTCAATATGAAGAAAAAGTTCTCGAAAATAAAAATCCGAGAAAGCTGAAAACTCCAGCACCAATTCAGTTTTAGTCACTAATCCTAACTGTAAGCTCTGCATTCTTCACTGAAATATAATTTTAAAGTCATCCCATGCATACCAAAATTGCTGTGTCCTTGATGTTTTCAAGAAGTTGATTGCTACATTTTAACACTTTTGTTAAATCTCGCAGACATGCTTCTCACAATCAGATTAATGTGCTTGCAACTGCCGGCTCAAGAGCCTTTGACTTTTCTTTGTGATCAGTCATAGAAAGCAAGGCTTGCTCTGTTCCACACTGAATTTTGGGCAGTCTAGAATGCTTGCTGCAGCAGATGTGAGACATTCTTGACGTCAACTATCTGTCTACCACGATGCATGCGTTCCGCAAGAGTGTGAAGCCTGTAAGGCGAAATAAGGGTTTTTGGAAAACTGAGTGTATGTTATTTTGTAGGTTCTTTAAAAGATTCCTGCTTGATATCATGTGAGTGTTCTTCGTACAGTTGCAGCTGAGGAAATACTAGGCTTAAAGACTTTTGGACACCCTGTACTGCAATGAATTGTAGACTTTCCATGGAAGAGGCGGAGGAAGAGTTTTGACACATTCGCAGGAAGGTGGTTGAGATGAGAGCTTGCAGTGGAGATGATAAACTTCATGAGACGAAATAGGTTTTGTGATAATTCTTCATATTATATATTACCCCAGTGTCGCCACTTTAATAATTCACCACAAGATTGGTGGAAAAATCAAATTATATTACACCTCTTTTAGGCTTATACTTTTCGCGTCAGAATAATTGTAATACATATAATTCTTATTGAATCTTGAAGAATCCAAAAATCTATCAATTCATTTTGTGCCCTTGAGTCACTAGTCGAAGTCTTTAGCAAAATGAGCTCGTATACATCGCAGTACCAAGCAACAAATGCTCCAAGAAGAGAAAAGAATATGTTTACATACCGCTCATTGAAACATGGTCAGAAGCAATATTTTTCTCTGTTGGGAGTGACTTTTTGCTGTATGGATCGCTGTCATTCTTGCTGACAGTGAGGTGCAAATATGGAGCTCCTCAATCGAAGGACCGCCTTCTATAACTGAAGTCTGCGAGTCGAGTATACGAGCTCAAAGAAATGTACCGGAAATTATTTTCATTAGATCTCCGCCAGGAGCGAAGTTGCAGTTATTTTGTTTATGATTTTAACCATATTGAATGGCACACACAGCGAGGATCGCAAATTCACCGCTAATGGCGACGAATACATTTCGAACAACAAGACGTACTGCTATTCTCTTCATCTTGGTTTGGTGAAAAAAGAGTGCTTGAAGGCAGTGGGTCGGCAAAATGGACCCTTCTCGGATTTTGGTGGATTTAGATAGTAGACCCCTCAAGTACACTGAAGTCCAAACCTCACCGGCCCCGCTTACTCAACGCAAGTGGGCGGGGCCGGTGAAGTTTTGAAGAGCATTTTTTAGGACTTTTCTAATGATGGTCCCAGAATGCAAGCTGAGAAGACGACGTACATACAATTTTAAACTCTGAAGACCCTGTCATTGAGATATTATTCAGGTTAGGACTTTCCCATGAGACAACTACAACCTCACACAGTGAAAGTTGTATCCTTCCCTTGTAAGGTATGCGCCTTTTGTAAGAATTAGAAATCATTAATTTCAAAGATATGTTATATACGAAGGTGTTTGGACAAATGGAAGCTCTGACAATTGCTTATACCCAAAGTGTGGAAAAGAGACCATACAAATCTTGAAAAAACTTCGATTTGATTTGTTTTGACGTAGAGTGGTCTTCGATTATATCCGTTCATGCAAGCGTTGGAAGCTAATCTGCCGCTTGCAATAACATGCTTTTATCTCCGTCGAAATGCAAAGTAAATAAGAAAAAATGTATTTTTGTCAGATTTGATAAGACTGTGGTGTGAAAGAGCTCAAAGTCTTGGCAAATACGATTTTAGCTTTTATCACTATTGAGCTACATATGGTTTCATCACATTCTTCCCTCGAAGGCAAATGGACTAGACAATATGGTACTATTTTCGCTTTATGGTCGTAACAGCTTGAAGGGAGAGTTCTATGACAGAGATAAAAAGGATAAAGAAACCAGGCATTCGTCAGATGAGCAGTTCACTGCATCGACGGTCAAGAAGTATCTATGACATTCCCGAAACCTCCGCCAATTGAAGATGGAAATTCAAAAATAATCTCGTTAAGATTAGAGCATACTGCAATCAAAAGTCAATGCTTTTTAACGAAAAAATCTTTTTTATGCCCTCCAAGTATGAAATGAAACTTTAACTTGGAAGGAACATGAAGCTCTGTTTCTTATGTCCTCGTGGTGCTCTTATCGTATATGAGCAAGATTTTTACTCAGCAAGCATGTCCAAGCAAATAACCACTATCGCTTTCTAGATGTGTAGCTCAATCTTCACGCGATTATGAGTTGTAGAACTTTGATTTCAACAGAAAAATTCACTCGAAGACTAAGTAGAATAGTAGTAAGTTTGATGTACTACGAGATCTGTCCCATCAAGTGAACTTTTCTAAAAAGCAGGGAATGAACTAAAAATTGGCACAATTAGGGTTTATCTTTAACAAGGTATTATAGGTCTTGATGGATTTTGATATAACAATTCAAAAAGAAGAGATATGCTACACATCAGATGCATCAGTTGCTGCTTTTAATACCCTCAACGATATAATAAGGAGATCGTAATGTGGTAGCATGTAATTAGAATTTCAACTTTCTGACCACTTCAACCCATTCAATAAGGGGAAATCCAACCAGTGAAACATTTTTTTAACTACGGTAAAATCAGGATTCGTGAAGCACTGAGTGGAAATTTTAACATGAATCCAAAGCAACTCCAACATTTATTTATCAAACTATCCATAAGATGAGTTATTCTCTTGCCATCAGCAGATTCTTTTTGACCGTTTCCCTCAAGCCATAAGGGTAATCGACTCTGAGACGTTTATGATGACCTACGGCCCCTACTGAGGTGCGAATTGTTTGGGCCATGACATGAGCAGCACCCGAGGCCCTTCTTCTGGGCGGGAGCCCAGAAATAGCTATAAATGCACACCAATTGGGGGATCCGATCAGTGCTATACCATACTCGCTCTTCTGGCCCTATTCCCCAACCTGCCCTTCTTCTATTCACCCTCCTCCACCATTTCTCCTCCCTCGTCTTATTCCTGCTATTCTTCTCTGTCTATCCCTCTTCTTCTGTTCGACAGATCCCATACTTCCTGCCATTCTTCCCTCTCCTTCTATTCTACAGATCCCACATTCCTTCACTCGTCTTATTTCTTCCTTCCTTCCTCATCTTACTCCTCTCTATTGCTCCAGTCCTATACTCAGTTACTCCCCATATTCCTGGATCCCCTCTCCCATCCACCCCACCCCACCCACCCCAACCGTCGTAGAATCCCGTTTGTAACCGAACAGGATTTCACCGGGTATCCTGCGATGGCTGGATGGATAGTATTCTGAAGACTTCAACATTTTCGTTGCCGCTATCAGTAGTTTGCTCAGATTTTTAAATCAACTATAAATTTTTGATGATGTAAATGCCGATTAACCAGCTTGCTTTGTAATTTCTTGGAATACTTCTGCAATTCACGGGAGTTTTCTCACGCTTCATGACAGTTTCTGCGCGAAACTGAGACTCAACTGCATAAAGTGAACAAGAATCCTTTTTACATTCTGTTTATTACATTCTGCAGACACCCGAGATTGGGCAACTTGGATCACTGAGACTTGAAGGTGAAAAAACTATACAATATCAATAAAATATCAATAGATTACATAGTAGCGAATTTACATGCCAAGGCTAGCATTTGTACTGACTATGTACTTTGAACAACATCGCAAACTACAATTATAGGGAAACTCCGACCCGAAACTTCAAGGATTGACAAGAGCAAATCTATGCTAATAAATCCCGTTCGACTTTCGGCACTAGGCAACGAAAATACGCTGTCTGGCAGCGTTTTTAGACTATACTACTAGTAAGGAATAGATTATATGACGTCGAATGTCTTTCGGAAGACTGTATAGTTTGCCCGTACGGTAAGACAGGCGATTGCGCGAAAATAGGGGTTGTGTACCAACTGGAGTGTCTGAGCTGTGGGGCCTTATATATTGGAGAAACGGGTAGAATGTTGCGGGTAAGAATTAAGGAGCACTTATCGAATAAAAGTCGAGCTAATGCATTATCACCGTTGGGAAAACATAAAATAGAAGCACACGATGGCGGTGAATTTGATGTGAAATGCACAATCCTATCATACGAGGCAGAAATTGTAGGACGAAAAAGTATGGAAGCAGCATGGATTTCCGTCAGAAATCCAAGCATGAATGACAGAAATGAATGCTTATCAATAGCGACCGAACTCTTGCCATATCTGTCGATATGTGAGTTACAGCCTGCACATATATAAAGAATGATCCACTGAGCAGCTCTCAGTGTCGTCCGTGTCATTTGTGCGGCAACTGACTTCTCACTAACACCGCGGTGGATCAAAGGTCAGTTTCTTCATCGGCGTGTGCCTCAGTACGTTGCGCGCGGGACGAAGTCTAGGCTCACTGATGTTTGGCAATGGCGTTTGGCGGTCTTGTTTCAAAGATTCAACTGCAATCTACTTCAGACCTCCGAAGACGACGACTGTGTCGAAACGTAAGGTCGAATAAAAGATACCACCGTACTAACCTGGGTTCGGCATACTGACTCATAAAACTACTACATCAGAATGCCCAGGTTCAGAGAAGAGAGAACTTGGAACTTACTATACTACTAGATTACATTCAATTGTGGTTATAGAAGGAACTGTAGAGATCAACATTCGCCTGGAGAAGAACAACTCCAGATTGTACGGAAACGTGGACGGCAGAGAGTCGCAGAGGTGAGCTGAAACATGGTGAAATTTTGCTTTTGTCACAAGGTAATTGCTTGAATAGAAAAGATGGGTCATAATTGGCGTTCTGTAAAAATGCTGCAATATGATTAGCATATACAGAAAAAGTAATTCAAAGGTGACTAGGTGGTGAGCTTGTTTGGCGCAAAAAAACTTTTCTCACTAAGAAAATGGTGCAAAAAAGTGTAATCAGCTGTTCTTTTACAAAAATCTTCGACTAAGACAGTTGACGTGAAAATCGCAGGACAAGCAAATTTTGCAGCAGTTCCGCAGGATTTGTTTAATATTGCATAAATGGAGACGTTGACAATGGGTACTTCGCAGGATTTTCGCGTCAGACTGATTGAAAACGGCAACTCCCGCAGGACTTGTTACAAAGCGCTGCGAAAAGTCCGAAGAATGCCAGCGGTTCCGCAGCACTTTGACCTGTCAGTACCTGCAGGTTTTTGAATGTGCTGTTTCTTACGATGCTGTCTCCTCAACAACTAGAATGCATTGTCTAGCACGTCATCCGTAGCGAAGAGGATAGTAAGTGAGTTTCGCAGTCAGTAGAGTATTCAAATCTCGCTTAGGTGTTTTCCTTTGCTGCTGTGGTTCGCATTCTTCGGAACTTCTGCAGCACCCCTTCGGGAACTTCCGCAGCACCTTTACGAAACTCCGCATTTGCGGGTCTTTCCCAAATGTTCTGCGGAATTTCCCGCCATCTGCCTGAGTAGATAGATTTTTGTGGAATTCTGCATAAAAAATCGAAAATCTTCCTAGTCAGCCTAATAGAATTACAAAAAGTCAAGTTGAAGCTTACTTTGGAGAAGAATTCGATAAAGGAATTCCAGCATTGAGTATGGCATTCGCCATATTCTCTAGGGCAGTTTTCGTAGTTTTCCTCAAACCATCCAAATCGTCGGCTGTCAATTTGAAGAACTCGATGCCATTGTTGAATGTCAACCTGCCTATGGACACTCGACCTATAAATTCAAAAAATGAATAACACTCGATATGTGCCTCGAGTTCTCACACCTTTCAAATGATTTCCCACTGTCTGCAGAAATAGCTCCACCTCTGTCGTAAATGGAATGACACCGACTTTTTGTCGAGTACCTTCCAAGAAGAAGAGACATCGTCCTTCCATGTATAGTTTGACAACATCTGAAAAACTGAGGGATGCGTTGCTACCAGAGGAAAAAACAGAAATAGATTTAGAATGCCGCAGAATATGAGAATCAAGCATTTTACAATTGCACTTGCAAAGTTTTCTTAAATCATACATACAAAAGTTTGTATTTGTCGTCCAGAAAGCTTGAAGTACAGTCCAAAACAAAAGTTCTGTATAATAAGACAAAATGAAGGAGCTGAACCATTTCTCACTTCCTCTAAGTGAGTTCTTTCCAACATGATTCGATTTTCGAGGATTTGATTTTCGGACTTCTCGGTTTCTACCAAAAATCGGAGTCGCTAGGTTTTCCCTTTACTTGGGGCTTAGTTATAATCTAGTGATAAGTCTTAATGTTCCAGTCTTTGCCTTGCAAGTCTATACAAAAACTTAACAGTATGAAAGTGTTACCTTTTCGGAAAGCCATTATTGGAGGGCTAGTTGTGCGAATGATGAGTTCCAAACTCTGGCCAGGATATTCCCTTCCAACCTGCAAAAAAAAATTATCCACAGATTTAATATAAACATAAAGCGAGCAGTGTTTACCTCCTCTACTTGATCCGACAAGCAAACTTCATCAGCGGTGCACGTCGTTTTCAACAGAGATCCGACACCAGGAGAGTGCGAATCCACATGGAAAAGAAGCGAATTCGTCCTAAAACACCTAGTGCATCAGATTTTTTCATGTATGGGTAGAATTTTTAGTCCTTAAAAAATGGAATGCGGATTTTGCTCTAGAAAGGGCAATCATGCCCTAAAATTTAGAATTGGGAAAGAAACTTTGTTCATCGTAGTATTGATAGGTCTGCACATCTGTCTCTCATACGAATATGGTTATCACCTTGAATTGTTTGATTCTAACGATAAGTCTATTATTATCTAAAATCTGTTAGTAAGTCTATTTGAGAAAAGAAAAGATATCAACAAGAAGCATAAAACATATTCGACGGCTAAATTTGGCTAAATTTTAACATTTATGTACTAAATCTACAAGTATCTTGCTACAGTTACAGAGCATATGGCCAGAAAATTTCTTCAAATAGTAATGTAAAGAGAAAACGGAAAGAAACCTGTGAGCGAAATAGAGCATGCTATTGACAGAGTACTCAGAAATAACGATTTCAGCCATTCGACGATTGTGATTTTGTGGGACTCGAAATGGAAATGGCACGTGAAATGGTGAACCATCACCTACAAAAAATTTTTTTCATCCCAAAAAGCATCTAGAAATTTAACTTACCTATTTTGGTGCTGGACAATCGACCAGACATACCAACTGTAAAATCTTCACGGGTAGCACTAGCGTCAAGTAAGGTCAAGTCGATCATCATATGTCGGAGTCTATCCTAAAGAGGAAGAGAGCAAGGGTAAAAAATTTTCTTTACAGCTTGTGAGATTTACCACATTAAAGAAGCGATTGACATCTCGTGAGGTGAAGGTGATCTTCTGTGCTGCTAAATCACAATACATAAGATTTGTAGAATTCGACGAAATTTCCCTTTATGGCACTCATCATTGAGTTGCAATTTCCTCTGTTCAGGTTGATATAGTGTTCTTACGGTGCTGACGATATTTGCTTGTAAAAAACCATGGAGCACAATTTTTCAAGTTTTGCACCGCATGGGCTTTTCACGCGCAAATGTTGTGCCCACCGCAGAGACACTATGTCAAACTCAATCATCCATTGAATTTGCTACAGTACATCCTTTTAGATATGCACACCAGTGAATGTTTAGGCAAGAATAAGTTCTATTCTATCTCAATATTTCCTTCACCTTTCAGTTATATTTGACTTGAGCAATAAAGATGCTCTGCAAATTCCGAAAAGCAAATTAGTTTTGCAGTAACGTTCCTGCTATAACATTAATACTGACCTCCCAGTGGTCGACTCCTGTCTATTGGACTGCCATTCGAAGACCCTCTATTGATTGTAGGTTTCTTCTCAGTCTTTTCAATATCGTCATAGTAATCATCACTGCTGGCACGTTTTTGTCGCACTAAAAGTTTTAGTGGTCGGAAAAGTTTTCCTGCCTGTGATTGTAAGCATACCTGGTTGAGGAGTGACTTCGAGCTTCTCATCAGTCTGAAAATATTATAACAATAATTTATTTTTGAAAGCTCATAAGTGCTGCCATTTCATAAATCCGGATAAATTTCATGAAATTGATACGAAAGCTCATTTTTTGTTAATTCATATTTTACTGCACGAGGATTTCTCGAGTATTTTACTGCACGAAGGTTTTCTCAAGAAACCCAGTTCAAACGGAAATGGATGCTTACGCACTTTTCCAGCCTTACATGTCATTGTAGTATTGTGCAGGCTTTAGATGCAGAAAACCCTGAAGTGTGGACAAAGCAGTTGTTTGATCCACTGAAGATTTACTACATGATTTATATTTCGTGGAAGAAGCACGGCATATATTAGACTAAACTTATTAATGCCACTGATCATCAGAGGCCACGGTACCATGCGTTATCACTGCCCAATGAATTTTTTGGGCATGTAATAAACGTTATGAAATAAAACTCACCGATAAGAAAGTTTTCAGTAGTGTGTGAACTGATATTTGAGGTGGCAACTTGGATATTCTGCTGGAAAAATGCTGCTGTGTGAGCCGATACATATTCTCACAGATGGCTTCTTCCAGCTGACGTTTCGATTGTGCAGACATCGCTTCCTAGAAATAAAAGTTAGAAACCAGGTGACATTTCGACCTTTGAGTAATGACTTTTCTACTTCCGAAAAATATATCAAAAGGGCAAGGACTGTAGGCTACGATAAAATTTGTTCTTTTGCGCCAATCTACGATTTATTTACAACTCCGCATTGTTCACGGAAACGAGCCCGAGGCAACACTTTTTTAATTTGGCCAAAAGAATCGTGAGCTCTACTGCAAGTGTCAACAGTTTAGCCGGTTTAGAATACTGTAAAGGTGCAAAACAGTCGCTTTTGCACCTTTACAGTAACTGCTTTGACTGAGAACAGGCCTCGGCACGAGGTGGCTTCCTAAAAATCAAAAAACGAAGTGCCCTTTGATTTCACTATGAGAGTACGACATGCGCCTTTAGATATTAGATAAGAAAACACATGAAAAGGAACGGAACAAAGCAAAACAAAAAAACGCCAAAGAAGCATCAAAAACGCGCCGGGAGCAGCGTCGCCGCATCCATTCAAAATTTTCAGGGGGCTGTAATTAAGCGGGGAGGGGGGGGGGGGGTTGAGGCGGTTTAGAAATCATTTTGTAGGGTTTGGGATGTAGATGAGATTTATGTAAAAAAAGTAAAAGAATTATGTGAGAGAGGGGAATTTTATGACTTTTTCTTTCCCAAGCCACCTCAGGTGTCTTCCAGGTGGCTTGAAAACCACCTAATTCCGCCTTTAGTTCACATAGTTTTTTCATAGTTTTTCATACATAGTCCTAACTCCTTATTGTCCATCTACACACCGATTTTGGTTTCATTTCATTTTCACTTCGCTGTAAACAAGCCCTCTGTTTGTTTGGGAGAGCATGCCGCCGGAATGTCGGCAGCGTGCCGGCGGCACGCGGACGACAAAAACGATATCCCCTTTGCTTTTTCTCCCAAAAACGATATCCAGCTTGCTTGGTAAGCCAATTGTGCCGTGCCCTGATTGAGAAGCTGATCGAGCAAGGGATTGCAGCGAAACTGCTGAAACGAGCCGAGAGTGAAGAAGCTTGTCCAACTTACCCGATACTTGGTGTTCACAGTTTCCGTGATCAGGCCCATGTTCGCAACTCTCGTCTCAATAATGCCGCCATCTATTTGGCAATTCAGCATACGCATGTACGGCTCATCGTTCACTGACTTTTGTATGTCGAAGAAGGCTGCTACCGAAACTCGCATTCCTGCAACAGGTAAATTTGCAAACTCTGATCTTACCTAGCTGCGAATCATTAGTTCTTGGACGGACACTTTCATCTTCAATTTCAAATATGACGTTTTTTTGAAAAGAGTAAACCGAAAAATCATTATCACTTTTCCTTGACTTTAATATATTATCTTCATAGCCAGCTTCGCTCATGCAATAATACATGAAACTTGTTTATCAGGAAATACGCATTTTCGCGATTCACCTAACACATTTGGCATTCTTAGGGAGCAAAGTGTCGCTCTGCTTATAAAAAACTTTTTTTTTTCTAAGTTGTTCTACGCCCTCCGTCCGTTTCGAGAATCATACTTGCAAACTCGCTCGTTCAGTGGGCCTTTCTCAACAGCAATAAAGTGCATGGCAACAAGCAAAACAGCCTCATTTGTCCTTTACATTTTTTGGTTGGTTGAAAATAATTTTGTTTTAGCATATAAATCTCCGCAAAAACTTTCCTGCTGTTTTAATCAAAATTTTTTGTAAACGATGTCAGAGAATTTTTCATCCTCAACAAAAAACGGTCATGTCCCGACAAGGCTGATTTCCAAAAGCTCATTTGACTTTCTAAGCTTCGCTTACATGATTCAATGGAAGGAGTAAATTGATGTTTAAACACATGTATTCTCTGTTTCACTAAAGTTGGCGGCTGGAGGGCGGACCTTCGATCGATTAGAGAGCACATAAGCGTGGGAGAGCAGGCTAATCGACCGAAGCCCCACCCTCCAGCAGCCAACTCAGTGATATAAAGGGTAAGTTTCCTGTAGTTAGCGAACAACCAAAAAAGTGTGATCTCCCTTTTCGAATTTCTTTGACTTAAAGACACTGTGTTTTCACATTTGCTCATATTGAAAGAATTAGGACTGCCATTTTGGATTTATTGATGAAAGAACGAAGTCCTCTCACATTTGTCCACATACGAAAACTTTTGGTATCTCACATCTTCGTTTGCTCCGTCGGAAAACTAATTCCACTCAGAAAGAATTTTCCACATTCATTGAAGTGCTCTTTCCATAGTCACCAAACACTGGACAAAAATTTATCTGCAGCACTTATAGGAGCCGCAATAACGACTAAATTATTTGCTAGCTAACTTAATAGCTTGGCTTTCATTGATTATTAACTTCCTTGGCAGATTTAAATTTGAACCACGCATTTGAGCCTGATAAATGGTAGGCACAAAGCGCTATGATGTTGTATACAGTTTTTTCCATCGATAGTCTCTATCGAGAAATCATTCAAAGAATAAATCCACTGACATTCATGGTTGAACCAATTAGTGATGATAGGGCGAAAAGGAAACTACTTATTTTTATACACTTGGTTCCCTTTACGAAACACCTAGCATGATTTATGAAACGTTTCGATGCAATCATGTTTCTCATGTTTTTCACATTAACTGAAAAAGGTTGATTGGAGCAGCCAATGCAGAATCTGAGAACCAGTTTTGGATTTTAAAATAGATTGCAGCCATAATATACATGTGGACTCAAGCGTCTCCTTTATGACAAATCTGCAAGCAATCAGTCAACTTCACTTTTGAGAAATGCTATATTCCAAGTAAATCAAAAACTTCATGAGATTGTCATAAATGGAAGTGTTTCAAGTTGGGCAAACAATCAGATAAAGCAGCTGCAGTTCATACTGCTTAAGTACAAAATCTTATAACTTATCCCGATTCCAGTCATGTGAATTTTTCTGAATAAAGCTGCTAGATACAGCAATGTTCACTAGGAGGAACACCAACAGAAAAACGTAAATGAGGCAATAAAATAAGAAGAGCAAAGCTGTTCTAGTTGTCTAAAATTAAGGAAGAAAAAAGTGAAGAAAACAACAAGGGAGAGTCCTCTGGTGGGAAGCTTCGTTTCAAAACAGCCTAACAGTTTGTAAACAACGTTATACTACGTAACTGTGACTCTTTGAGTAATAACTCTTTGTTTTAAATGTGAATGAAAAAGAAACAGAGGGCAAATAAGTAGAACAAATGTCAGAAACACCAATGCTTACCCGTGATATGAACAGTTCCTGCTACAGGCAGTTGTATGAGAACTGTGATTGTACCTCCTAATTGTCCCATCACACTGAAATACACGCTATTTTTGAAGAATTAAAGTGAACTTGCAATATTTTTACGCCAACATAATCATTCGCAATTTTCAAATGAAATTTCAAGTGAAATGCGAAGTATATTTGTTGCATTTCACTCAAGAATTGTAGGCGGATAGCAACAGTCAGTACTTTCCGCGATCCGTTTTAAAGTGACTACGGTAGCATTATGATATACTAGCTGGCAAACCCGGCTCCGCCCGGCCCTGTCATTATTATTCGTAATTCGTAATCAGCATGCTCGATTACCCCCCTGTGCCAACTCCCAGCCCCGTAGCTCAAATTTTGTAAAAAATCGATAAAATCGATATCGATCGATAACGAAAAGTAGCCTATGGCACGCTCCCTGCCCCGAAGTATATGTGTGCCAAGTTTGGTCCAAATCGGTTCAGAAATAAAAATTTCTATTCCGCACATACGTACATACAGACAGACATACATACACACATTCAACTTTATATATAAGATGAATGCAGAAAAACCCACTGTCTGCTGCGTTACAGTGCGTTTCCTACAATCTGCTCAAAATGAGGGCAGAATTTTTTTTCAAATTTCCTTTATCTAGGTCATGTTTAAGAAGAATGGACGCAAAAATGGATAAGCGTGGTAACTCTGTTTCCAATTCTATTGGATTCCAATAGTTGGTCAACATGAACTACGAAAGTGCGCATGCAGTCAATTTTTGTTGCAAATATTCAAAACAATTAAGTGTACTTGGAAACAAAGAATAGCTTTGTAAAGAATTTGTACTGGAGGCTCTGTGTCTGTTGAGTAAACACAAACATATTAAGATTCTCTCTCAAAAGTTTCTCGTAATTCGTAATCAACTTTTTGCTTATACGAAACTTCTTTTTATCCCCGGTTCGCGAAGAAAGCTGTACGGTTCTCACAACGAAAGGAAGGTTAGTCGCAATGGCCTTCCTCTATGAAATGTATACTTACTTGAAGAGTATGGAGCGTTGATTCCAAATCTACCTTTCTTATCTGCTGCGGGCTTCTGAGCAAAGAGTTATGAAAGTTTTCATAGGTAAAAAACAATGCAAGATGTGTAAAATCAGTCATTGACTCTTTTTAGTGTTCCAAGATGGCAGAAGGGATATCTCGAGTTAAGAATATTGCAAAGAGTAACCCGAAAATTAATTCGAGCCATAGAAAAAATGCTACGATTTGCAAATTTTTGCTATAAAAACATTCGTAACTTCTCACCCAGGAACCCGCAGAAGATAAAGAAAGTAGATTTTAGAATCAGCATTTCTTATAGTTTAAGGCAGTATCGATCTCATATCTAAAGGCCACTTGACTACACTTCTTTTCTTTGTCAGTATGCATGTATTTTAGTATAATACAGACGATGTGTAGCCCTAAAGAACTAGTCATTCTTCTAATGCTCACATGAATCTCGAGATTAAGAAAGCTTGCGAATAGCTTACGAATAAAAGAAGCTTAGCAATCGTGTTTGCCGCAAATTGCTTGCTATGACTGCTCTTTGCATACATAATGGAGATTTGACTAGTATCCCATATTGAGCATAGTTTCAAGAATGGTTTCAACAACGTCCTTTTCACCACATAAAGATGAAAAGCTCTCCATCATGGCAGATTAATCGCTTCATTATCCTAAATTTTCGTTAAGCACTAATTGTTTAAGTAATTTCCGTAATGAAAACAGCACCTATCAAAACGATCTACCCCCTTCTTTATCGCAGTCTCAAAATTCGCACTTCCACTGAGCCACTTGTAATGTCGGCTTCGCAGTCTATGCCGACCTTTCAATCACGAAGTGAAATGAGCGTTTTACTTACAAAAAATCGAAATCTGTGACTCTGATGACAAACTGATTCGGCGGATGCGGGCCCATTGTGGTTGAGGCTGGCTGTCGGAATGATGTCATGTGGAACGAATGTATCTGAAGGGCGAAGATCTTATCGATGTTACACAGGAGTGAGTCATAAAGTTCCTAAGATAAATATTCGTGCATGAATTTGAAGCTGTAAAGCATTACTCACTCAGCATTGCTAACACTGAAATTTTTTGGATAGTGTTAGCGGAAATGAGTTGTTTTGGGATTGGTTACTTAAACATCGCAAAATGATCCAAATCCAAGCAAAATGATAAAATAAAATAAAACATACTGCGCTCCAATTCAAAAATTCAAAGATCTGTATAGTTTAATTTCAAATATCTCACCTGCACGCATCCTTCCGTAAAGCACTGCTGTGTGGGAGGCACCTTTATTCGAGGCACTTCGTATTCCACCAATCCAGCTGAACAAAACTATTCAAAATCTAAAATTTAGTATGAACCTAAATTTTCACCGAGGTACTTAGTGGTTGCATACTATTTCTTGCAAAGCAACGTAAAGAGATATGAAGCGATTTGCTTATAAAGTGGTAGATGTTCTTTCTTATTTTTCTTTACTTTTTTCTGTTCTTTTGCTTATTTTCTGCAAATCCTTCACAGTTTTTCAACTTGGCTTTCTCTAGAATTATTTCATGATTTCTGCACGATCAAAACGTTAGACCTAATTAAACTTTGCATTTCGATGGATTGAAGTGAAAGACTGGATGAGATTTAGCTGAGAGATCCAGATAGATAACTTTTTGCTTGTGGGAAATGAGCGAAATACAAAAAAATAATTAGATCATCTCCTAATTCCTTCGTTTTGGAAAAGCTTAATCCCTTGCAGACAACCTGAACTTCCATTTATCCTATACGGGCTATCCCTGGTATGTAACTACCGTATGGTTGATAACTTCGTTACGTCAGCATAACACATCGTACGGGTTCTGATTTATGATATGAGGTCAGCCCCAGTGCTCCATCGTTACTGTAAGACTGTCGTAAGAGCCTTCCGCACAAAATTGCTAAATCAGCCCTTTAGTATCTTTTGAAAATGAAAATTTGCAAGGGGTATTGAAAACCCTAGCGCATAGTGAATTTCTGAGCTCATTCAAAGCTGTTTATGTTATGGTTACAGTTTGAGCATCTAACAAAAGAAAACAAAAAAAACCAGAAAGTAAGAAAACCAGTTGTAAGAAAACCAGTTGTCACCATAGGAAGCTATCATGCACGAATTGCATTTTCGTATAGAAACTCTTGTTATAAAATCTATTTTCGAAAACTAATGCTCAATATAGATGTTCCACAGGTGAAACATCGTTTAAAGAACTCGATGAGTTGAACTTTGAAATTGCTAAAGACTTCACCGCTACCAGATTGTCTCATAACCAGGGTCAATGGCGGGCTGTGGCACGCCACACCTCGGAGGTCGTATTGGAGATCAGAGAGGGGGGGGGGGGCGTTATCGAAGAGATGCTGATGTTAGCGATCATATGATATTTGTTAACTATGGGATAAATGAGCGCAAGATAGGCACATTATGCAAAATATAATACGCACACTGATGTTTTGGCCAACGAACATTAGTACAGTACGCACAATGAAAGAATCATAAAAGCGTAAGAGCATCATTTTCGTAAAAAAACATGTTAAATGACCCCTATGGGCCAAACTTCAGCGAGTTTTGAGCTTTTCAAATATTGGACCACCCAACTGAGATGGTCATTTTTGAACATGCCCTTTGTTTCAAGATGAGTTAAGTACTTCTTTTGCACTTAATGAAAAAACTACTACTCCTTTGCTCACATTAAGAATCACACTCCAAATAACATCCAAACTATGGAATCCGGAGCACGCCAAAATCTCGTTTGTCCCATCACTTTCAATATCTCAGACTAAAGAAGACCAAACAAGCTTCAAATGACTTTGTAAAGTTACGAGGTTTGGACCATCGAATACATTTATTCTTGCCGCCTTCCCTCGCGATTTACGTATAGCGCAGACTTAGCATATTACCGTACCCCAAAATTTTCGTAGTATTTTCCACTTGCATAGGCAGGGAAAAGCCATCTATATCTTTCCCTAGGAGATATAATTTTACATGAAATTCCTGCTGTGTAAAGAAGAAGGTCTAGCAGTAGCAACAGTATATAAAAGACAGACATCTGAATGCCTTGAAGGTAAGTTAATGGGGTGTGGCACAACCATTAAAAAGGTGTGGCAGCTATAGCTTTACTGAGGTTGTGCCACTTCCCATTAACTTGGTCTAAAGCGAATTTTAGCGAGCAATACATATATAGTTCAATAGCCAAAATCTCTTGGTTTTTATAGAAGTAATTAGAGCTGAATTCGTCTTCTTTCGTTTGTGCAATAATTGCTGGAAGCACAACCACTGTAAACTAAAAATGGAGCAGATGAGAATTTGGCTGGCTCCTCATTTCATAATTCGATGGCTATTTGTAGCAGGATCATGATATGGGCAAATAGTGAACAGTGTTTTGTAATGGGTATAAAAAGAGGTACTAATTCACCTTTGAATGGTAATCAATTATAGTTAGGTTTGAAAATGACCACTTCACTTGGGTGCCCCAATATTGGGAACCCTCAGAATTTGCTGAAACTCGGCCCATGGGAATTATTAATATGATATTACGAATTGTTACTAATTATGTTAGAGCCTTTATGTCATGCTTACGGTAGGGAAAGAATAATGCTAAGGGGGATAGTATTAAGACAGAGTATTGCTCATAATGATTGAGGTAAGTGGAAGATTATTAGGATGTCCTCGGACGAAGATACCATTTTTTGACACTTACATTCCAACTACCACCAAATTCAGCTTTATGTGGAATATGATTCAGGCGGACGTTTGATAACCATCTTGTGGGGCTTGCTTTGCTCTGACGAATGGTAACCCAAGGTGCATCAAAACAAAGGAAAGAGCAGGGTGATTATTATCGCGAAATCGAGAATAATTATGGGAGAAGCTAACACAGTATGAAAACGGGTATGTATGCGTGTACTACAGCACAAAACTTTGGAAATGGCTTTCTTCACTTCCTCAATGAATTTCTAAGTTTTAGAAACGCTAGGCTCTCCTTCTTGCTAACTTTCCCGACACGATAAAAACGATTTTGATCTTATCGCATACATACTTGCATGTGATACAGTACAAATAAACTGCCCCCAATGACTAAAAGATTTTTCGTCTTCCACAAAAATCCAATGAGTGGTCGTCTTGAAAGATTGAGAAAGATGGTGTTGAGTGATGGCAAAATTATCATAATTAGCGCTGGAAGGAAGGTGAGAAATCCACAAGAGCACCACTCTGAAGTGCAATATAGAAATATCTGCCACTTTGTGCATGTAAAAATCAACTGAAGATTATGAAAACTCATAAACCATAAGTTTGAAAGGCGATATAACCATCTTCAGTTGCATGTACCCTCGTCAGTGAACCTAACTATAGACAGCCGTGAAGTCGAAAAGCATTAAAACGGAACAATGAGTGGTCATGCCGAGGAAATGAAAACTTCAGAGAAAAATGATAATGATAATAGAGTTAGAATGAACAAAGCTGAAGACTTTCACATACTACTTTCCTTATATTCTTACTTTTGCTCATAAGTGTAAGTATATAAAAAAATCTTGAATCACATCGATAAGTGGAGCTTTTTCTGTTCTTTTCCTCATACCTCACTACCTACAGATTAAATTCCTACTGGAATTCATCAGTTTCTAACATTAGAGAACATCGCCTATTTTCTATTTTGTTTCGCTTTTCTGTCATAATCCTTTAGAACAACGATGAACAATATATTAGTGGTTTTGTTCTTTTTACAAAGAAGATTTAATGCAAATTAAGAAGTGAAGAAACGCACCCACAATTGTTGAAGCCTGCTCGAAAACTCCTTTGTTCAACCGAACTCGAATCGCTGGTTTTGGAACTTGTCCTTCTGTAGTGTCAAGTAAACACCATATCTGAAATCATCCGAACATCATCAAGACGTTTCTTTCAAGCAAAAAAAATTCTAAAATTTTTTCATTCTTGTCGCATTTGTTGTCGGTCCAAAAACTTATTTTGCTTATTTGGACTGAGTCATCAAAGAACGCATGTTTCAAACTACACAGTAAACCTAACCATTTGTTGCAAAAATCTCACTTTCTTACAACTAGTATTTATAGCCAGTCTTGGTATATAATTCAGGAAGTATAGGATATAGGAGAGCTTTCATCTTAAGACAAGATAGATTGATGTTTTTGGAAAAGCTTATCTTTAAGCCGCAAAATTTTCTTAGCAATGTTAATCATGTCATAAGTGAGGAAACTGTGTTTGTTTGGTTTTGTCAGTCTGTGAGGGGAGGACCCAAAGTCGAAATCGTCTTTTCAGATGAATTAAACACCAATCTAAAGAGCATCAAACGCTGATTTCAAAAGTGTTTTCATTTCTTGCCAAGCGGCTCTAGACACTGAGTTATGAGTGTTTTTTGAGCAAAAAAATGATAGCAAAATCTGGGTAAATTCAATGGTCATGATCTTCCCAACGCTCAAATAAAAAAGTGCTGAGTACGAGTTTACTAGACAAAGATTTTTTATACATAGAGTGTTCTGATTTTCAGCGCCGGGCCATTTGCGCAATCTTGGACAAATCTGTTCCAAATGCGGTTCAATTTTTTGAGCCAAAAACGCTCATAACTCAGCATCTAACGACGCTTGGCAGTTCATTTTCAGTTTTTTTCAGTTCAGTTTCAAAGAAAGTTTTAAATCAGCGTTTGATGCTCAGTTGATATTGATTTCTTGTTGAAAGCCGATTTCGACTTCGGGTCCTCCTCTTGTTGGTTATAAATGGGACCAGACTTTTGTAATTCCTTAATTTGCTTTTTTTTGAAGGAACACAATTTTTTGGAGATAGGATGATCAAGCAGTTTGTCGAGGTGTATAAATCAAATGTTTTGATCTACGCTCACTTAGAAAGTATACTGAGCACATCGTTTCTAGTTTGTAGTATGAACAGAAGTCGTTTATAGTCAAAAGCGCTGTATGATAGGATAGGAGTATTTGCGAAAAAAAAGTGTAAGCATGTGCCAAAGGCAATAACACCATATTCAGACAAATCGCTAGAGAACAGGATCAAAATGAGAGTAGATATGGCAAGCAATGGACAAGTGGGTGGATGTAAGTACCTATTATCCAAGTCTTTCTCAGTCAGATCATAAATTAAGCAAATTCTGTTCTCGATAAAATATACAAAATATAGTAACTGCAGTAATGTTGAATGTAATTTTTGCATCCCGAAGATTTTATCTAACAAGTAGTAGATCAGTAAAAAACTAATTCTCAATTGTGCAGAGGCGATAAAGACATAAATCCATCAAACTGATGTATAAGAGTCCCTCTTGTGGAGGAAGCGTACGTAAAGGTCATCTTCCCAAGCGACAATCTCCATCTCACCTCTTCAATCACTGATATTAGGTACCCTCCCCTCCCCATATTCAGGTCAAGCCAAAAGCCTTCTCGTGAATCATTTACAAATGCAATTATTTACTGATGTGTAGCATCGTTGCCATACAGAAAGAGAAGAAATTATGGCACGTTAGTGAGTGTTGAACCTCGCCAAAATGAAGTTGCGAGAGGTGGCATGAAAAGAAGTTGAGTAACATTTTTCAGAGTGCAGACCAGGGCTGGCGTTTGGGAATTCTTTGAAAATGAAGTCCCCCTTGACATTACGGGGGATGACGATATATTTTTGGCTTTTGTAGATGTAAGGCTTCAGAGTAGTCTGCGCGAACGATGAGCGAATGTAGTGAGCAAAGCTACGAGCAGTAAGAGATAAAAAAACAAAAGGCGAAAAAGTTAGGCTGTTCTATTATCAAGAGGCCATAGCAAAGAAGAGAGAACAATACTTAGGCTAAGATGAGTATTCTGCGGAGCTTAAACAGAGAATGAACTTATGGAAAATGGAGTATGATGGAGTATACGAGGGAGGGGAACGCACCTTTGTTCATTACCGCATTCTTCACAATCTTTTCATAGTCCTTCGATCATCGTCTAGAGGCTACACAAAATTTCATGGTATAGTAGTGCTTATGCATTGTTAAAGGCAGCGTCGAGGCAGATTCTCGACTTCTTATTTTTATGTTATCCAGGCCTTTCCATGGCGCTGATTCCGAATATGGAACTCGAAAAGCGTGAATTTCTCAGAAAACCACCTTTTGGGGCTATTTTGGGAAAACCCGGACGAGTGCTTCTGATGTTATCCTTGTCGAAGGCAAGTATTAACAGGTAAACGCTGTAAGTGCGACTGTGTTGGTCATGTGAAAACACGTCAAGGCTGAGGAGATTTCGTTCATAAGGGGTTGGCCGTCCGAGGGAAGTGGGCGTGGTCGTCGAGCTCGGATCTGCCTGGACGCTGCCTTTAACTCATTGATAACAACGCCTAATTTTACATGGCGGTGCTTGGGACGACGCGTTTTGCACAAAACTTTCGGCGTGGGAAGGTTTTGTGGTTATTTGCGAAATGCAAGGTTGTTTCGCAGACAACTATGAACATTTTTCTGAGCAACGGGGCCCACAGGTCCTAAGAGTGCAAAAATTGGAAAATATTGACCTATGAAAGAAATACTATTGCAAAATATATGACTTTACAACAGGTGTGGGCCTCCGGTGGTCCACATCTCGTCATTGGAATAACTCATTGACGAAATCGGAAAAAATTTCAATATCTGGAAAAAATACTGGACCTGCAAATAAAATGACATTGCAAGAGGTGTGGGCCCCAGTGGTCAGCATTGTCGCAGTACGTTTAACAAACTGACTACCTAATTATCGTGTTGTGCATAAGAATTTGTTTTGACACGTTAAAATCGCGTGCACACAGGTTTATGCATTAATCGTGTTTGTGAGTTGTTGATTGCTCTGCGTACTATCAAAATGATATTAGAGTTTTGGTTTCTTGCGAATAAAAGTTATGCCTGTGTTCGCTATATTTTATCGGATTTCTGAAAATCAGCTTTGTAAAACGAGTTCTTTTTGCTTTCTACTTGAAAAAACCACATTCAGCACGTAAAAGCGCCACTCCCGTTGTACCCCAGTGCAGACAAAAGCAAAATCAAGTCCTCCGAAAATTTTATGATTAAACTGGCCCTAGAATTGCGCCAGTATAGTTAAATGAAAATGCGTTTGAAATAGATAAATAAAAATAGAGCAGTTCAACAAACTGGGCTACGTAAATTTTTTGATTACGCGGCTTGACGCTACTTTGATCATTGCTCAAAAGGATAAATCAAAAGTGAAGTCCGCTGTCAGGTAGTAGTTCTAATTTCAAACAGTTAAATGATGCGGAAGAGACTAATTCGAGGAAAAAACCACTTTTCATTTAACTTATAATTTTCGGGAATGTAAGCTTATTGGTAGGTCAACTGCATGAATAGACAGTGTCGACCCTATCTTAAGAGAAACTGTAGATGCATTAGGTATTCTTGCAATAAACAGAGTGTTTCAGAAAAAATCCCCTATTCTGATTGCTAGTAGTTTTTTCCTTCACGTCTTTCTCCGCTTTTGAGTTATCATTCTATAAAGCTAGCTTCAACTCAAATTTCAGCAAAACGAATTACCGATTGCTCTTGGTTATTGTAGGATTGCAGTAGACATCCCACCATACAGCGCCATGTGAATTATCTCGTTCAGAAGAATTTCAAAAATCTGAAAAGTTGCATAGCAGATTCATGCATGCTGTTCTCACTGGACAACACTTCAAAAGTTTTCTGAGCTTCTTGAATGGTGTAATCACACTTCTGAGGACATTGGAGGGAACGATTATTACGGTTGTCGCATAGCTTATAAAAGAAGCACCACCGTAAAGCGCGAACTTTGTATTTAAAATTAGCTACTCTGATTAGCTCAATAGGAGGCTTTTAGCTCAATTGGTCTCCTTCCAGAGGTAAAATGTGGACCTTGACGGTTCAAAACTCTATGTTCCTATAGTGATCACACAGTTACTGAGAGCGATCGGTTATTCGCTCATATACTGAAAGATGCTGGAAGTTGAGGAAATTGAAGTCAGCTCTGCAGATTGAAGCCATGGTCTGTTTGAAACGGTCTACTACCTAATACCACCAAATCTAGTAGTGGTCCATTTTGTTGAGCTACTGCTTTAAAAGCCGTTAAACCAAAAGCCCCACTTCCACTTTTTCGCTCTTGAATTTCAAATGATTTGAATACGCTTCGTCTAGTTGATGATTGATTGCTTCAAAGATTCACGAGTTCTGACAAGGACCAGAAAATGTAGCCGAAAGTCCGTTTTAACCCGCTCCCTTATTTCCTTGGTCACTGAGACAATGAAGCAACATAGCGAAAAGAGAAACTTCAGGAAAAACCTGCTTCGCTGTCACTTTGATGTTGTGTTGTCGTGGATGAAGAACGATCAAAAAACCAGAACTCTTCTACCGTCTGTCATCAATACCCTGATGATTGAGGTCTATCTCAAAAACTGCATCAATTCACAAATTCACCAATTCTTTTTTGATTACTATTCTTATCAAATGTAGAAGTCTGGTCAGCAGGCAGCGAGCTCTACCCAATTATGTTACTGGCTAGGCTTTGTGTTTGTGTTTCTGGGTTCTTTCATTTTAATGGCGCACCTTGAGTGCATATAATAAATAAATAAATAAATGATTAAATAATTGATTAAATAAATAAATCAGCATTTTCTTTTTCGCGCATCATCAAGCATGAAGCGAAGGTAAAGCATAGTTTGGTGATAAGTTGTTGACAAAATTGCTGCAACATCCATGGCAAAGCGTCAAAAACCACTTGGTATCTTACGCTTAACTAGTTTTGGAGGATCGAAAAGACATGAATGTTTTCGCTGATGTGTGCTCAACGAGCGTATCATGTAATTCCACAAGCATGAGAACGAATCATTACAAAGGAGATTGAAAAAATTGCATTCCAAGCAATACAGACAAGCAAAAGTGATGACTTTGCAGAGTTTTACAGAAAAATTCTGTGGTCATGACTCTCGGGAATGGTCCATGGTATAGCAAAATCTTTTGGGTCAACTTAGGTTGGTAAATAAAAACGTGTCGAAACTTTGGATATTTGCAGTTTTCGTCTAAAAAATTTCTTGGCAAAAAAGACAGACTTGAGAAAAAAAACGCTGTGAAGTTTTTGAATTTTTGACTTCTTCCTTGACAAGTATTTTCGCAAGTCTTTATATGTGTCTTATAGCCAATAAACTGCTCAATACATGGAAACTAAGGTCTTGGAAAAGTTGACTTTGTAAGAAGTTATGACATTTTGAACTCAAAAAATTCAAATCGGACAGAACTTATGCAACTTATAAAATATGTTACTCCAACTGGCTCATACAAAAATAGAAGTTGTACAAACTACCACTGATTGCACCATACTTGCTTCCCTCTCGCAAAAAGCGGCTATAGTCCGTAATCTTTAGGTTAAGAGGTGCTAATTCGTCTCATACAAACTAATTTGCAGTTTCTTCTTCAGTGTGCGCAGCTAGCATATGGTGTGCAAAATGATCGTACAGTTTCGATGACGTTATTACACTCGTAGTGAAAATTGCGGTCACTTAGTGCAAATGCACTGAAACGTATTTTTGGTCGCTTGCGTTAATGTACTAATTGTAGGTTTACTGTTTTTTCTAGCCCAGCATGTGCGGTTGTATGCACTGCCATGAAACTTTCTTAGAACTTGGGCTACACACGAGAATTCAAGTGCTGCACTCGGCGATAATCTATGCGCAAAAACCCGACTAAATATGTTGTTTACTGGGCACCAAACTGAAAGGTGGTTCACCTCGCGAAAGGCTTACGATAAGTGCGCTTCTCGGCAATCATTAGGCTTCAACAAGTAACATACGCAAAGCTCTTCAGACAAAGAAGTGGAATGCGAGCCGATTGTTATGACATTCTTTGACGCTCAAGAACTTTCGAGAAAACAATGGTTTTGAGTCTTCAAGAGATGGCGTAAGGTGCATAGTTACCCATGCCAGCGTCGTGCTGGAACAAGGCCGGAACCTTGAATGATCAATAGGGAGCTCGTCCAGTGAGTTTCGGCACGGCGCTGGATCTGCGCTAGAACAGAGCTGGCTGGCACAGCCGGCACAACTTTGAATGCTACCTTAGGGCACAACAGTAAGTTCAGTATACTCAACAATTATGGTTAAAGTAGGGTCATTTACAAGGCCGGTGACAATAGCCACTGGTCAAAACTGTGATCTGCATTTCTATCAATCTAATCGTCCACACTCTCTCGCTAAGATGGACTATTTCGCTAGGAAGCAGTGGGGTGTAGTCCTTGCGTGCAAATGTCGTGCGCGGTCGTTCCTATTTCTTCTTGGGGACGAAAAAAACTGATATCGGGTTTTATTTGTATATTTGTGATTAAATTGATTACTTTTGTGCTTTGAGCAAGCACAAATTTGTTATCAAATTATGCTACGCACGATATTGAAACAGCGATTCAAGTCAAAGCGATCAATCCACACTCTTTGTTCTAAAACAGACCCTATTTTGTCTAACGTTTTCCAATCAAACAACCACTGTCTGGCGACATTCAGAGACGCAGCGATCATCATTCACTACGACACAAAAAGCAGAAAAAATGGCCTTGACGAGACTTTCTCCCTGTTTTTTTCTCTGCGATGGCCGATTTTCTTCAGTCATGCGCGATTGCCTTTCTCGATTCTGCGGGTTACAAAGGGTGAGGTATGAGATGTATGAGACAGATATTCCTTCGTCGACTTACCATCGATGAATGAGAAAAATAGCCTCTTAATGGCCGTCATACCATGACAGCCATTAGATGAGAATAGTCTCACTGGCAAAAAGAGCAAGCCGGCAAAGAATGACTGCGCCGAAGTCAAAATAGGAGACTTGCAGTGTCAATATACAGATATGAGGAGTGGGAAATTCTTAATGCTAAACATTTAGCTGTTGAAAATAAATTTGCTCATGGTACAAAGCATACTCAAAAATATAATGATAGTCGTAGTATGAATTATGCTACAGAAGCGTTCACTTCATTTTCAGCTCATATTAATTCAGTTTCTTAATAAATGTACCAAAAATCTTTATGGCAGAATCAATTTTGCAGATTCTCTCATCAAACATTCCACGCTCAGATACAGAGGATAAAAAATAGTCCATTCGAGATTCTTGGCGTATTAGCAATTACAGTTACCATCAGTTGATTTTTATCTTGATCTGCAACAGCGTAAGATTACTGTAGTATCACTGTAGCGGTATATGATGAAGAAACTCCGCTTACTAGTACGAGACTTTTCTTTTGAAAGAGTATCACGTCACATACTGGATCATTCCAAGTGTCTCTACAAAAACGTCATAAACAAAATTTTAGTACATACTTTACATTATCAAAACTCATCATAGAGATACCATGCCCGGAAATTTTTTATTATTTTCCCCTCATAACTATTATTGCCATTTAGTTCTATTTTGAGAAGGTAAACACTGTAATTGGAGTGGTGCACTCAAGGCGAGTAATGACACAAGTTTTTATTCCAAAATTATCGAGAGAGTCGGAAACCGGCCAGAAAAACAGATGTTACACTGGAGAATATTTGATAAAAAGAAAAATTTGTGAAGTTGTAATTTTGCTAGAACGACGTTACTTTAATCTCTTCTCAGACTTGACTTCCGCAAAAAAAAGTAATTGCTATGACAGGTCACGGTAAAGCAAAAGTTTTGTTCTTTGAATGACCCACAAAAGTCCCTCGCTGCGCCCTCAGCAAGACTTCAAAACAGAACTTTTTGTTATTGAGCTAATAGATCATTCACAGCTGGTGATGTCCGCCTTTAGACCGGAAAACATTGAAACACGACTTTCTGAGACAATGATCAGCAAAGAATTTTTTGCTAAAAAACATTCTATCTTTTCCTTCTCTCTCGTTACTCACACTTCTTCCAAAAAAGGATATCTATGCAGCGGTCAACAATCGTTCGCCGAAGTGAAAGTAACAAAACTCCGACAGTAATCAGTTCCAGTTTTATATTGTCTGGTCTCCTATATCTTTGCGACATCAGGTTCCACTTGCGAAGACATTATCAGTGAATGTTCAAAGAAGTTTTTGGTGATACCGTAAACACCTAACGAATACAAGTTCGAGAGTATCGTCGAGTCATTCTATCAGAGTGTCTCATAGTTTTTTACAGTTTTTACCCTTACATCAGCATTTCTCGAGAACTGGGGCACCTACAAAGGATACAAACACATGATCGTACTTCTGTATGTATGAGCTATATGAACAGTGCGTGGGAGGAGCTCAGGATTTCTAGGCGCGGAGCTTGCCATTTTACTCCATTCATTTTCTTCTTCTCTAGCCATGGAAAAGTTATGGAAAATGTACAATTTAATGTTCGATGCGTAAAGCATGTGCTAGAATTAATTTGAAATTTTTGAAATTTTTTAAGACAGAGATACAAGTTTTGATGCTAAAGTTCGTTTTCGACTGCTATCATATTGCAGCTCAAAACTACACATGGAGTACGATTTGGGCAGAATTTTGGTAGCCATCTTGTAAAGCTTGCTTTGCTCTGTCAAATGATTTGAGCGGCATCATTTGAAGGAAAGATACAAAGAACGACGGTTGTAGTAAAAATGGTGAAAAATTATGAGGCACCCTAATGACTCAATATGCGTATTGCACACCATGTTCGCTAATTGACGAACTGCAAAATTAGAACCTGCTAATTTGCAGTGATTCCTCCTGGTTCCCTCTCCTCTTTTTTGGATATATGTTAGTCAGTACACATTTCTACAGCTCGTTAGGCTAAAAAAGTGTTTTACTGAAGATTACTAGCAAGGGTGCCGTCGCTTATCACGCATAGTGTGCGGTCTCACATACTTTACAAATGACTCGAACATACAAGGGTTTGTGAAGTGCATTTGTATGCGTTAGCCTACGACTGGCATCTTCGACCCTTCCTCTTCCTCCTCACCTTCAACTAAGCATTATGATCAAATCATTCAAGTCATGTCAAGCCGGTCTCTTTATCGAGTATTGAACGCTTAGAGTGTTGATTCGAAAACTGGACCGAGCGAAGGACGAGCGCACTTTCGTCCTTGGAACAGCCGTGATCGCAAAACAAGTCGAAGAGTCACACACACAGAGGCTGCAAAATGACACTCGCGCGCTTGGCGAAGATGGTGATTGAAAAACGGCTCTAAGGGTCGAGGTCAGAACGATTATTCCAACATTATAATCCCTCTTGAATTCCAAACATGCGACCCTAAAGCCTCTCCTGGTCGTCGAGGCCACTTCGATTTAAGAAGGATGTGTGATGCATTGTTGCCTAATCTGCTACTGAAACATAGCGAAAGCGATTTGACAATACTGTCTCAGAGATCAGGAAATAGAAGTGAATAAGGAAATGTGATACTGGAATCAGGAGATGAAGGTAGGCGCATCATAACTGGAAATCGTAGGGCTTGTGTAATATCAAGAGTACAAAGGAATCAGCAGCCACAACATCATGCAGATGCAAAATAAATCAAAAAACAAGCAAGAACCAAATAGGTTTTGAAAAAAAATTCTCAAGAATTCACAGCTATCCCATGAAAGAAAAATGGGAAAAATAACATCGTAAGCAAATGTTGCGTTGCAAATTTTTAGAACTTGACATACAGCGAGCAAATTGGGTCCTTCTCAGCAGTAAAACAAGTGAAAAATTAAGATACCGTAGTAAATTACCGTAATGCTAATTAGCAACCTCCTCATGGCAGCATACGACGTGATGTATGTGGCGGCAACCGAACCACGCCTACATCTCCCTGCTAGGGGCTAGAACGCGGTGAAAGACAGTGGAGACGAGACGATGCTCTAAGAGGCAAAAAGTCATTCATTAGGCTCAAATTTTAACACCAGGGATAAGGAAACTTGAAATAAAGTTAGCTACTAGTTTCTAGGTAAATTTGACAATTTTTTAGCATTACCCATAAAAACTTCTTAAAAAATCAACCAGGAAACACTGGACCAATGTACGCTTTTTTTGTCCGATGTTGATCTCTTTAAATGGCTGGATTTCGGGGCAAACGGGCAGTGTAAATGTAAAATAGCACGCACCAGATCCCGTAGGTGAACCTGACACAATCGCAGACCCAGTCTGAACGGAGGGAGTTCTTTTTATATTCGATCAACTTTGCTACTATGTACGGCACCAAAGAGCATGTATGAACCTTCTTTTGGCTTGCAGAAAAGAGACATTTCTAATTAGATTCCAGTCAGGTCAGGTTTGAAACTCCAAAAAAGCGGTAATGTCCGTTAGTTAAAATACATGAAATCTTTCTAATTTGATGAGATTTATGAAGACTGCAGGAAAAGTCGATAAGCTAAAGTCGGTTAGATTCTGTTTTGCTTTTGGAACTCACTGAGCCTACATACAGGGTATCCCAAAGAAACGGTTGTCAATATGCCGCGCCTAAAGTCTTATTTTTTCAAGCGATATGTTCTTCACTGGATTGAAACTGGTGTCGAACAGTAAGAATAAGGCGGTACAGAGCTTCAAGCGTTTTTTCCAAAACTTTAGATGTCATCATAACGTAAATCTAAAATCTAGGAAATATTTGACCTACGCAACGCATATGGCTGGCACATTCTATCGTTCATGTTGGCTGCCCCCCAAAGAAATGTGCTTACTGTTTGACTGTTGGTAACTCTCTTGTTATGAAATCTTTCGACAAGGTTCAGGTACCATTTTGTAGAGTTGTCTTCAGCCTAGATTTGTAGTATGGAGCGAAATACCAATCTCCGTCATTACTGTAGGATTATGGTATGAACTCACAGCATATGGCTCCACTGTGAGATAGATGTTCAAAATTTTTTTCAAAAAATCTGCAAAGTTGTGCAACAAGATTTTTACGCTTGCTGATTTCACTAAATAACTTTTGCGCCTTCGCAGAACTTCAAATGGCGTAGTTAAATATCAGAAATCGGTCATTACATTTGGCTAATCTATAAGAAAAGCGTTACGGTGATGTGCGCATTTCATATTTGAAATCAGCACCTCTGACTTACCTAGTGTAGGAGTTTTCAGCTTCTTTATTCTTTTTAGGAGTAAAATACGACCCTCAATGGTGCGAAATCTTTCTCACAGTTTTTACCTAGTCCTACAGCAAAAGAGATTGGTGATTCGATCCATACTCCAAATCTAAGTCGAAGGCAGAACAAAATGGTACCTAGAGCTTCTCGAAAGCTTATGATATAAGACTTCATAACAATCAATTTGTATGTCGCCAAGCGACAACAAGAAAAAACAAGTAAATACTCGAGGCTTGCAAGATACCGTACTCTCATACTTGCAAACTTTACTTCAGGCTATTAAAAACAGCGCGACCGAGTGACTCAGGGCGGCAGCTGCGCCAGATGGCAACAACGATCCCGACCATGAAGAGCTTCATTTGGTGTTCACTCGGATGCGCTCCGCGCACTTGGTTTATCACTTGCTTTACCACTTGCTTTATTGCTTTGTTTGATCTCCTTAATTATGAAAAACTATCCTCTAACTGTTGTAGTTTAATCATGATTCTCAGTCGCTCCGTTTGCATTTAGTTTTCTACTGATTTTGCAAAACAAATCTAAAATAAGCTAAAACTCAAGTATTGTAGAGAAATTAACAAATATCATTAAATCACTTTTAATCGCATACTTTTGTGCAATCATTATTCCTCAATATCATTACTATTTTGGAATTCCACAATCTATTGTTATGTAGTTTTAGAGACATGTTGCGTTATTTGTTTATTGTTTGTTTACTTTTAGTAAACTGTTTAATTACCCAAGTTTGAGAAGAGAATCTTCCAAATTCGGCACACAATCGAGCAGACAACTGCTGCTCCAACGACTGCAATACGTCTGCCAATATCACCTTCACCTTCAAGGAGCAGGCAATGGAGTCTTGCTCGCTTTATGCGATGTCCCTATTGTGCATCATTGTAGGTGGTATCCGTTCTGCGAATTTTGTGAAATATCAAATGAGCAAGAAATGGTTACTTGAGGCGTCCATCTCTCTGCCCGAAGCAAAAAAGTTCCCTCTCACTGCTTCAGCCGTTCTTTTCCTCTATCTTTTCTTCAAACCTGATGGACGCGAATGGCTTATGGGACCTGGTGGTAGGCATGTGCCTGAAACCTATTCGGCAATGGTCAACAAGACGCTTGCTAAGAGTGAAGGACCAGGGCTTTTCTCGAGAATCGGGCAACGTCTGCCCGAGAACATGCGGCCATACCTGGAATATGTTCCTTCTGTCTGACCAAAGATCATTTTATGGAGTTTTTATTAGTTCTGCTCTGCAACGAAGAATGTGTGGCACTCGCGGCTATTTTGAAACCAGTGTTCTCGTTCTGGGAGATATAGTCATTCCTGGCATATTTATAGCTCTCTTGAGGAGATTTGATTTGAGGATCACTAAAAACTCGGGACAGAACAAGGGAGGGCGATACTATTTCATGCTTACTATAACTGCATACGCTGTCGGTCTTCTCATCACTATGCTTGTCATGCATCATTTCAAGGCTGCGCAGCCTGCTTTGTTATACCTGGTTCCATGTTCTTTAATCGTTCCGCTGTTGTTGGCTACAGCCAACGGAGAGGTGAAGGAGCTCTGGAATCATAGTGAAGAGCATTTAACAGATAAGAGTGAGACGGAGAAGAAGAAAGTTGATGCAGAGAAGAAAACGAATTAGGCAAAGAGCTATCTGTTGTATTATAATGAACAACTTGTTGTGTTTTGTGGCTGATGCTAGTCTCTTTCTCTCTGGGGAGTTGTTTTAGCTTGCAGTTGCAAGTATCCTTGTTTTCGGTCTGTCTCAAGTGTCTATACGTCCATTTTCACATCTTTATTATAATTCTTCCAATTGTCATAACAATCACAATCCTTGCAAGAATCTTACGCCGTTGTTGGCATGTTGCATAAATTTCTATCTTCTGACATATCAATATACATCGATGGATAATAATGAGGACATAAGTTTTTGAGGCAAATAAATCAGATCACTGGGAATGTTTGGCTGTGGATTGGCCTGAACTTTTAAGGCACAAATAAAGCCTTTGTTATGAACAAAATCCACAACAAAACTACGAATAGTATTTGACGCCTCGGCACATTTCAAAAACCAGCAGTCATTGAATGATGCCCTCTTCAGGGGTCCGGTGATTTTTCCAAAGCTGTTTGGCATACTACTATGGTTCCGCATGGGCAAGATCGCGATGATCTCGGACGTAGAAAAAGCCTTCTTACAAGTGCGACTACACGAGGAGGACAGAGACGCAACACGATGCCTGTGGCTATGGGACCATAGGAAACCGCCTAACGAGCAAAACGTACGAGTCTTCCGCTTTACAAGAGTAACGTTTGGTTTACTCTGTTCTCTATTCCTTCTAGCCGCAACCACGCATTTCCACCTAGACCAATACGCCAAGAAACGTGATCTAGCTGAGGCAATAAAGAAGAATCTGTATGTGGACAACAACCTCACAATGGATACACCCACTCAAGCAATAAAGATCTATAAAAACACAAAAGAGATATTCAAAGATTTGAAAATGAACCTGAGGGAGTTCGGCTCACTGTAGAGAAGCTTTGATAAAAATGAGCCCACAAGATCGAACAGAAGAAACTACTAGGAAAGTGCTGGGAGTACCCCCCTGGGATACGGCAAAAGATAGCATACAGATCGGTTGTACAGAAAAACAAGTGACAATCTCACTAAAAGACAGGTAGCGAGCGCAATAGCAGCCATATACGATCCAATGGGATGGCTGTTACCGTCGACACACAAAGCAAAAGTGTACTTACAAGCACTTTGGAGAGATCAAGTGGATTGGGATGAGCCACTTTCGCCCAAACGCAAAACAGAATGGTTAGCAATCTGCCAGAAGATGCAAGGGTTTTCAAAACAAATGTCACGGGTCGTCGCCCTTAGAGGCACCAAAGCAAGCATCATCTTGTTTGCAGACGCAAGTTCAGAAGCGATGGCGACATGTACCTACCTCAAAACCCAGCAAAATGTAAATCTAATAATGGCGAAAGCGAAACTTCCATCTATAAAAACAAAACCCACCACCCGAAAATGGAACTCAACGCGATCACGCTATCAATGAGACTTACCAATGCGGTTATCACCTAAATCGGTCAAATCGTTACTTTGGAAGAAGCAATTATCCTCACAGATTCGGAAATCGCATTAAGCTGGATAACCACATCGGCTAAGCAAGAAACCAGTTTATTTATAAGGAACAGAGTCAGAGATATCAAGGAAATCAGAAATCACCTACAAGAACAAGGGTACACAATCCGTTTTGGACATGTCAATTCGCACCTAAACCCAGCAGATTGTGCGACGAGGGGCCTGTCAAAAGAAGACCTTCAACACCATCTTTGGTGGACAGGACCGCAATTCCTGACCCAACCCCAACAGAACTGGGAATCAATCCTCAGAACAAACGACATCGATCACGAAGAAGAAATGACTGAGGAAACGCCAGAGCAATTTAACATACAAAAGGAAATCAGCGGACAGGTGAGTCAAAACCTAGAAGAGGCCCCACCAGAATATGAAGATGTCTTCAAAGGTCTGCATAGTCATGATCTCGTACAAATCAAATGCGTAGTGGCATACGTCTTGCGTTTCATAAGGACAGTCACCCGCAGCGCCAACAAGAAGAATAAAACTAGCATTAGCTTGTCAGCACTGCTAAACGCACACATAGAGACACATGACAA